CAATCCCGCACCAATTTTCTCATCGCTAGCTTTGTTCAACTCTATGCGTATCCCCCTCAACTTCTTGCCACTCGTCATTGGCCAAGTCATCGACGCAAACGCTTCTGTCAAACGTATCCAAGAATTTTTGTTAGCCGAAGAAGCGGAAGAGAGTGGAAAGTGGGATTATGACGCCAAGGACGCTGTGACGCTGAAGGGCGCAAACTTCACCTGGGAGCGTCATCCTACTCAGGATGCGGAAGAGGGGGCAGGTGGACCGCCAGGAAAGAAGCCGACTAAACAGGAGAAGAAGGAGACCAAGGCCAATGCGAAGCTAGCACAGAGCAGTGGTGAGACAACATTTTCCGATGCCATCGCTGTGGAGGAGGAGAAACCTTTTGAGATTAAGGGGTTGAACCTCAACATTGGACGAAACGAGCTTGTGGCTATCATCGGAGGCGTGGGTTCTGGAAAGAGTTCTTTGCTTGCAGCTCTCGCAGGAGACATGCGTAAAACTAGTGGCGAGGTCATCTTTGGTGCCTCCCGTGCTTTTTGCCCGCAGTATGCTTGGATTCAAAACGCCACGGTACGAGAGAATATTATCTTCGGCAAGGAATTCAACAGAAAATGGTACGACCAGGTCGTGGATGCCTGTGCCCTACGCCCTGACCTGAACATGCTACCGCATAACGATGCGACGGAGATTGGAGAGCGTGGTATCACAGTGTCTGGTGGCCAGAAGCAGCGTATGAATATTGCTCGAGCCATCTACTTCAACGCGGACATCATCCTCATGGACGACCCTCTGAGTGCTGTCGACGCACACGTCGGTCGTCACATCATGGACAACGCCATCTGCGGTCTGCTCAAAGACAAGTGCCGTATTCTTGCTACCCATCAGCTTCACGTACTCAGCCGTTGCGATAGGATCATCTGGGTGGACCAAGGAGAGGTCAAGGCCATCGATACTTTTGATAACCTCATGGCACAGAATGCGGACTTTGTACAGGTCATGAGCACAACTGCCAAGGAGGAGGAGAAGGAAAAGGACGTTGAAGTCAATGAGGACGAGGTCGAAGCAGAGGTCAAGAGCACCAAGAAGCAGAGGAAACAGAAGAAACAGGCGGCGTTGATGCAACAGGAAGAGCGCGCAACCAAGAGCGTCAGCTGGGAAGTCTGGATCGAGTACATCAAAGCCGGAGGCGGCATCTGGGTCGGCCCACTTGTCTTCATCCTCCTCGTTCTATCCCAAGGCGCCAACATCGTCACTTCACTTTGGCTATCCTACTGGACATCCGATAAATTTGGTTACTCCGAGGGTGCATACATTGGCGCATACGCAGCTTTCGGTTTCAGTCAAGCGCTCTTCATGTTCTTCTTCTCCTTCTCAGTATCCATCTTTGGTACTAGAGCTGGCAAAGTCATGTTGCACCGAGCCATCACCCGTGTGCTCCGCGCGCCCATGTCCTTTTTCGATACCACGCCACTGGGACGCATTACGAATCGCTTTAGTAAGGACATTGACGTTATGGATAACACCATCACGGATGCTATTCGCATGTACTTTTTGACGCTCGCCATGATTATATCGTAAGTTGTGCAGTTTACAGATGTAAACGTCTGGTAGGATTTGAGCTAACGTGGATGACAGTGTTTTCATTCTCATCATCTCGTACTATTACTACTATGCCATCGCCCTCGGTCCGCTATTCATCATGTTCATGTTCTCGGCAGCCTTCTACCGGTCCTCCGCTCGCGAGGTCAAGCGCCACGAAGCTGTTCTTCGTAGCACAGTGTTCTCGCGCTTCGGCGAAGCCGTCATGGGCACCCCGACCATCCGTGCGTACGGTCTACAGGATCAATTCTCCAAGTCGGTTCGCGATGCCGTAGACGACATGAACAGCGCCTACTACCTTACATTTGCCAACCAACGCTGGCTGAGTGTTCGTCTAGACATTGTTGGTATCCTGCTCGTCTTCACGACTGGTATCCTGGTTGTTACGAGCCGGTTCTCCGTCGATCCTAGCATCGCTGGCTTAGTTCTGTCATACATTCTCACTATTGTGCAGATGATTCAGTTTACAGTCCGCCAGCTTGCTGAAGTGGAGAACAACATGAATTCGACCGAACGCATCCATCACTACGGAAGTCAACTTGAGGAAGAAGCGCCTCTGCACATGGGTGAGGTACGGCCCACCTGGCCCGAGCACGGCGAGATTGTCTTCGATAACGTGGAGATGCGATACCGCGATGGGCTACCGTTGGTGCTCAAGGGCTTGAGCATGCACGTCCGCGCTGGTGAGCGTATTGGTGTTGTTGGTCGTACTGGAGCGGGTAAATCGTCCATCATGTCGGCTTTGTTCCGATTGCAAGAGCTGTCAGGTGGCTCGATTGTAATCGATGGCGTGGATATCGGCAAGATTGGTCTTCACGACCTGCGCTCAAAGCTGGCCATTATCCCACAGGACCCAACGCTCTTCAAGGGAACTATCCGATCCAACTTGGATCCTTTCCACGAACATTCCGACCTGGAGCTTTGGTCGGCCTTGCGCCAGGCTGATCTTGTTTCCAACGAGCAAACCATGGACGACCATTCTGGCAGGATACACCTCGACAGTGTGGTTGAGGAAGAGGGTCTCAACTTCTCTCTAGGCCAGAGACAGTTGATGGCTCTAGCTCGCGCACTTGTTCGTGGTTCGCAGATTATTGTCTGTGATGAAGCTACTAGTTCCGTCGACTTTGAGACGGATGCCAAGATTCAGCAAACGGTAAGAACTGCGTCATCAACCAGTGCTACAGGACACATGAGCTAACGTTCAACAACAGATTGTGGATGGGTTCAAGGGCAAGACGCTGCTGTGCATTGCCCATCGACTAAAGACCAGTAAGTGAATCGATGTACCTACTGCATGCGGACTTGCAACTAATATGCGGCAGTTATCAACTACGACAGGATTTGCGTCATGGACGCAGGATTGATTGCAGAGCTCGACTCGCCGCTAAATCTTTACGACCAAGGTGGAATTTTCAAGGGCATGTGCGACCGATCCGGCATCAAGAGAGAAGAAATCGCAGGTGCAGCGAACTAGAAGTTTGGGATGACGGAGTTTTGATTGGACGAGGGCGGGTACACGGCCCAGAGCGTAGGCTAATGATGCGGCTATTCTTGGGGGGTAGCAGGAAGCAAGCAAACGCGCACCTTGATAGTTGCGCATGGCATGGCATGGCGTCGGCGCGGCATTTCTGATCGGGCAGCATTGGGGACTTTTGCGATAAGAAAAAGTGATAATTCATAGAGCTGGCTGCTTCTCAGCTCAATACAAATAACCTTGTTGACGAACGTTGGAGGCTTGAAAAGAAAACTATCGAAGAGTCTATCGACGAGTCTATACAGCGCCAGCCTGGGCCTAGATGGCTGTCGGCAAGCGCGAGATCATATGACATGATTGTAGCCAGGCTGGGGGGGGGGGGGAAGGCGTTGGTACTATTATGGCGCGCATCGCGCATTTGACAGCATCATAATACCGTAGTCACTAGGAACAGTAGCTCTGTAGGACAAGCGATGCTTGCCAGCAGTTTGCATTAGCGGGGTGTTGGCTTGAGCGGAACGCACGTGCGCGGCTCGTTGAAGCGACAGTACCCTCGTTGCGGCAACTCATCATTCGTGCGTTATCTAATCTCAGGCTCCCCCTACCGTCTCCAGATCGTATCGTTCGTCGCGTGGGCGTATACCGGCGTATCTGCTTTGGTATGGGTTCCGGAGGATTGCATAGACTTTACCTTTGTGTTTGCTGCGCCGCTCGAGTGGGTGCTGTAGCGGTTTCACGCGCCGCTAGCTGGTCAAGATAACAGTGGGCTATTCGGACACGTCCAGAGTAGCAGTTGGATCATTATCGACGATTTCAAAGATCGATCGAGAGGCACAACTGCGATGACTGTCTCTCCGGTAGGCTTATGCATTTCAATAGACGGGCTCAACGACCAACAAGTGCGGTGTTTTCCAAGCGTGGGAGCGAAACAAGAAAAAAAGTTTCGCCTTCTCGAATGCTTCGCGCTGGTGCATGACAGACAAGCTGCGACCAAGGCTCGCGGCCAGGTGCTCCGCGTGCATCGGGCGGCCCAAAGATTGGATGCAGCAGAGGTTTTATGCGCGCTTTAGCCGGAGGGGGCTTAGCGACTCAACAGCCAAGATGAGCCAAACTCCAGTCGCGCAGCACGGATCTAGGCCTGCGAGGCTGCTAACCCCTTGTGATGTAAGCCGACGACCTGCCAGGCACGCTGCAATCAATCTAGCGGGCCTTCAGCGGCGTCAAATGCTAGTGCTGTGGCGGGGGACGTGGGCGACGAGGGCGATGAGGGGGATGAGGGCAGAAGAGGGGAGGGCAGAGCAAGGGGGGAACAAGACACTGGGCTGGGACGTGCAAGAGCAATGGCAAGCGATGGCGAGTGAGTGGAAGGTTGAGAGGCGACGAAGATCAGGGACGTCAGCCAGCAGCTATGCTCAACGCAGCGCGACAAGCCGGTATGATATTGCAGGGACAAGGCTCCGAACGGCCTAGCGGCCCCGACGATTGACCCTAGCTCTGAACTCAGCTTTCACACAGACCTTGTCCACCAGACGGCATGGGCCTGGGGTGCGTGCAGTGCAGCGACGAGGGAGCACTTCACAATTCACTTCATATCTCTGCTCCTCCCGACACACACACGCTCCTTCCACTAGGCCGTCCATCTGTTTCTTCTTCAGCTGTCTTGTACGTGCCCGTGATAGCACACACCCGACGCACGCTCTCCCCTGGTGCACTGTTCGCTCCTTCCTCGTCGACGGCGATCCCCCCTTCCCGTTGCAGCCATATCAGAACGACTCCTTCACCGTCGCCATATTACCACTGAGTTCCCATGCTGCGCCTGTCGTGACGCAATCACCCCGACTGCAAACAGTCTCCTGACGAGCTCACACTTCACGTCTTGCATTCCAAGCGCCCCATCATTGCCAGCCTGAGACACTCCTTGCCTACGTCACAATGGCAGCAAACGAGAAGCACGAGCCCGTTACTTTCGGCGCCAGCGTGCTGCGCTCTCCCAGCCCACTAACCACGCCTTCGCAACCACTCCGCTCCTCGCCCTCCAACGACTCTACCATGTCGTCTGCCACCGCTACCGCCAACGCCGAACTCGCCGCCAAGAAAGAGTGGGCGGCCGACCCCTCCAACCCATACTCGGCCTTCTACAAGCACCCAGAGGCCCTCCGCGAGACGCGCCACTCCCTCAACGAGAGCGCGCCCCAGAGCAAGACACACCTCGGCGTTGGTGTCCATGAGCACGACCTCGAGGGCGGCGTCCCCCTCTCGGTAGCCTCGACACAGCAGCCATCCAAACACTCCGTCGATGGCCGCGTCAAGGAATGCACAATGTGGCCCACAAGGCAGGCTGTCCTGGACAAGCGGAAGTCGTACCAACGCAAGCGTGGTTGTGCCTTCTTCCGAAACTTGACCAACAAGCAGAGAATGTGGGCTAAGATCATCATCGCTCTTCTCGTAATAGGTGCTGCTGTAGGCCTTGGTGTCGGCATCTCGAGAGCTGTTGGTGGCGGTGTCTGGGCTGGCGATGGCCGATCAAAGGAGATCCCCCATGGCGACGGACACTGAGGTGTAGCTACTGCCGCAAAGCAATCGTACGTCACTTCCACCATCCTTCTATATCGTACCCTTACTAACCCTCTGAGCAGAACCACCACCCGTCTCTTCGACCGCACACAATCACGACTTCGGCATATTTCGCTTCGGACAACATCCTTTCTCGATATCCCTTTTCATCTGTTATATTGTTTTTCCTTTGCGGTACTGTGCATATCACTCTGCCGCCTTTTCTGTGTGTCACGGCATCGAGTTTTTCCATGTCACTCGGGGGGTTTGGCGTACACATGGGGGCTTTTCTACTGGGTTGCATTCTATACATGCATTGGAGCGCCGGAGTATGAATGGGCGTTAGACATGTTAGTCGCGTACACCTGTCTGGGTATGCTATACGAGAAGAGAATCGAGCTTTGCCTCAGTTATGAGGCTGCTTCACGCACTTTAAATCGTCTCTCATCATCTATCGCATACGTGTATACGCTGATAAGAACTACCAGACCTTGTTATGTGCAAGACTTTCGAGATGACATATGTGGACTCGGACATCTACAAAGATATTCACCAAACTTGAACCCCGTCGAAGTATCATCAGTTGCACAAGACCACGTGAACCTGCAAGACAAACGTCTGTCAGGTGCTATTTTTGTACCATGCAACTTTAATTGTTTATTGGATAAGGGTACAGGGAGAGACCTACGACACCAAGGCTTACTCGTTGATACGCGTATTCATCTTACCGACTAGCACGGCTCTCCAGCGGGTAAGCCGGGTGGCTGAGATTGCCATACTGATATTCGTTTGCGTTTACTGAAACACTCATCAACACCCCCTTCCAAGTAGCTCGAACCAACCTTTCCTTATTCCTTGATTCGCTCAACACATGGCGTGAACCATGTTTGTTTTCTGGCTGCCGCTATCTCGATGTGATGGCTTCGCGTAGAATTACCGTGCTCCCGGACCATCCTTGATAAGAGTTGCTTTTCAGTGGTCAAGGCTGAGGGTCCATGGGCCTGAATCATGTTGGAAATGTGCTTTTAAAAGTCAAAAGGCGAGTTTTTACGCATCGCTCTATCAATCTCCGTTGAACTAGGTCAACATCAAACATATGTATTATGGAATGTCGTAACACCATTACCAAGTTGAGAGGAAACATGGTTGCGTTGTATTTGCTGATTCGGTAACTAATCGTACACTTTCATGTTGAGTGATAGTGTCGTAGGAATGACAAGCTCCACGGCTACCAATGAGAACGTTGAAAGAACATGCCGGAACTCCAAAGACAGAAATACAATAAACTTATAATAGTTGATGATTTCACTTTCGAATAGATATTGGACATTATTTCTTTGCTACAGATCGTGTTTCTGTAGTATTATACAGAAGTCATTCGAGTGACATGTGCCGAGCCAGTCGACGCAGTCATGATTAGAAGTACAATTATTCGTTCGAGGCTCTCCTCACATGTATGCAGCACCTCTCCTCCCCAATCTCCGTCCCTGCAATGCCTTCGCTGCGTTATCGTTGGGCTGTGCATCCCCAAACCCACATCCTCCATCTCGCTCTTGAGCAACAACCGGACCTGCGCATTTTCCACTCTTGAATCCACAACAAGCCGAAGCACAATCTGCGTCTGATGTACAAGCACCAGTGATGAACTGCGTGCCGGCTCCCGCTGCGGCTCCAGCTCCAGCTCCAGCGTCACTGTTGGCAGGAGGTGTAGCAGGCGCAGCTGCATCTGGTTGCGCATCGGCACTGGCATTGCCACTTGCGCCGTTCAAAGCATTGTTATTTGGTTGCGCGTCGCCAAAACCACATCCCTCTCCACGTTCGTTCGCTACAAATGGTGCCGCACACTTTGCTGATGTGAAGCCGCAGCAGCCTGAGGCACATTCGGCATCTGATGCACACTCGCCTGTAATGAACTGAGTGCCCTGAGCTGCGGCATAGAGTGACACTATCAAGGGAGTCAGCAAAAACGGAAAACATTCGTTGTAAGGACCTTACGGTTGAGAAAAGCGAGAAGTTTGAAGATTGGCGCCATCTTGCTTGACGTTCTTGTTCTTTCGTTGGAGTATATGGTATATCGGATGAACTCTTAATGGTCTTCCCTTGATAGTATGAATGAATGCCAGGTGTAATGTAGATATTTCAACTGCCTTGATGTTGAAGATGTATATCAGCATCCGATACATGACTCTATATATGTCCATCTCGACTGTAGGAAGGGAATCCTGAACTTGACACAGGCAAAGTAGGCGCCAACTCGAAACGACAAAAGTTACTGCGCCTCGTTTATGCCCCAATGGGTAACCACATCCGTTATGGCGACGAGGCGACACAGCGTGGAGCACGTTTTGAGCAATCTCTAGATAGACATGATGCCGGCTACGACGTTTCGTGTCTAATTCCGTTTACGAATGGAGAACAAAAGCCGATAATCACGCCAGTGGTTTAGAAACGCAGCTCCCCAAGAACATTATGCGTTTCCTCAACTTGTAGTAAGAGGTTGTTTAGGGAGAATGGAGAGAGGAGAGAAAGCGTCGTAAGCGAACCTATTAGCGTCCCACAGTCATCCCCACCCCACAGCTCAGCCTCCCCAGACTTTCTGCCTCGGAATGCCTCAATACATCTCAGGTTTCCGGACCGTTAGAAAACTGCAAATCGGCCAATAGGGTATTTGTGGGCTGCCAAGATGATCGCCGAAGGCATGAATGCAGCGGAAGGGGATCAGACCGAGAAGGTGTCGCATGTTGCGGCCTGGCGCTTGGAACGTCTGAGTTCCGAATGATCCTTACACACGGGGCTGCAGTTGTCTCCATGCGCATCATAGTGGTGATTTGGTATTCGACATATTTTCTTTCATCGACTGTGCTTCGTATTCTTGATAAAACGTCAAGCAGCAGGCTTCTCCTACCTGAAAGAAAAAACTCTTGTCGAAAAGGTAGCACGATATAACATCGAAGAGCAAATGGTAAAAAAAATCATACTAAGTACTGGCTCAAGGTTACTTCTGGGCATGTATATCGATCGAACACTAATTAACCCGGAAACCAGGCTTTCGAGACGCCCTCTTATGTTCTCAACCTGCGCATGGTTGAACCAGATCTTGATAATATGTGTGGCAAAGCAGAGTACGTGCTTTTATCCCTGTGCAGCGCCAAGATAAGAGGTTGCTCGACAACGAATTACGGTGCGTCGATTGAGTATGTGACAAGTAGAGATCCAGCTTCTTTGGAAGTGGTCACTTGAATGTCAAAATGGCATATGACATTTGAAGTATAGTACTATTGACGTATGGGTGAGCTGAGATGTTGGCCGTTACCGACACCATGATGGCTGGATTTAGAAGAGGGCAGGCTGATTAGGAAGGTTGCGATGGGTACGTGTTGTCCGGATGGTGAACTTCTAGTGATTATACTAATGTAGTATCCGTCAGTGAGCCTTGTACGTTGCATTAATGTCGACCTTCTAAGCAGCTGTCACAAGTTTAGTTCGAATGTAAATGGTAATGTGGGGAGCAAACAAAACCAAGGGACTGCTCAGAGTAGGGTTCTCGATGCAGCCAGTCACCAGAGTCAAGGTGGATGCTGGTTATCCTTGTTCATCAGTCCTAAGGCGCTTGATAAATTTTGGAATAGGTGGTGGCTATTTGGGTCGCATATCGCATGTCGCTTGCGAACAATTTGTCTTAGTTAGCAATGACCATATCCGTGATGGAGGTCAGCATGATGACATGGTGTTTATGGGAGACGTTTGCTAAATGATAGTGTGTAGTTACATCCGTTTCTGAAGGAGGGAGTGGGAAGTAAGGCTGCAAGACTGGCAGGTTGATGTCGCTACCCAACTACCAGATGCCCTAAACCCCACTTATCAAGTACTAAAATGCAGAAAACCCTCCAAAGAAAGAAGAGACGATATTCTCGTACCGAACAATGAGCGGAACGGTCGAAAGCCATGCCAGGCACAGTTTTACATGTGCAGAGTGGTATACAACTTGGGGGCATGGCGGTGCTGGAGAACAGAAGAGGCCTGATACAAAAGAGAAAAGGGTATAGAACCAGCTATCAGAAGAAGATAGGTCGCAGCAAAAGTAAGTCGGACGATATAGGGCGCAACAAGCACACAGGACGAGTACGTTTTAGACAACAGGGGTTTCAGGAAGAGCACCCTTCGATTAAACGCGCAGCCCAATATGCCCGTTGCCCCTGAGTGTTGTTGGTGTGTTATGCCGGATGATCGAAGATCTATCGAGAAGTGGTATAAGTGCCGGCGAATTGTGTTCGCTGCGCTGCGTTCGTAGGAGGAGGAGCGGAACTGAGTGCCTTCCAAGCGACCTCGGCGGCTTCTTCTCGGGACTGTTCGAGGTAGCGGTAGTCTCGCCAGAGGTGCGCTCTGTATTCGCGGCCATTGATGAAGACACTGCTTGACCAGGCTGTCCGGATACCTGGGCAGCAGAGTCAGTCAAAGATAAGAGTGGTGGGGCATCATGTAGAGCGCGGGTGGCTACCTACCTCGTGGGTCGGAGTAATCCTGGAACTGAGGTTGGGCGATCTGGTTTGTGGCGCAGTAATCTGGGGACGTTTAGCTGGGACGTTACGAGAGCAGTGGTGTGCGCACGCTGAAGCTTCTGGACGTAACTCTCCGGTGCTGCCATTTTGCGAGACGGGTTCGTGGGAGACGGTGAAAATGCGATGCTGTCGAGAAGTTTGGAGTGGGGTAGTGCCTTATGAGTGGGGATTTGGATGATCAACTGTGTGTGCGAAGGCTGAGAAGAACACTTGCTCTAGCATATTTCCTTCTCTGTTTATAGTCCGACATGGCCATCAGAGCCTCACTTTCGGTATCCTGTAGGAACCGGCCAGCGCGTTTGCCACACGACTGTTCTCAAAAAGATTCAGCCTGCAGCCGCCGTACCACATATGTGCTTGGGAACAAAGCATCAGGCTGATGCTATGCTGCGTTGGCAGGCCTACTTCCGCCATAATTGGCCGGCAGAAACACCATTGAGCGAGCAACTGCGGGGGTAGCGAGAACAGAACGCGGCAAGGCAGAAATTACGACCGCCAGAACCCGGTTCAGACACTATGACGGATTGTTGCGTGGTTTCGGCACCACAAGTTTGGGATGGGGAGACCAATGAGCTGATACGGATAAATTTTGGTGTTGAGTATGTTTACCTTGTTAAGCTTGGTTCAAGCGATGTGCTGGCACTGAAGGACGACGAGAAATGCTGCCATGCTAGTTTCTCAAGGCCGATGCAGTGCCAGATGTGTCTCGCAGATTGGCCCATAGTTCCATCGGCGTTCGGCCCGCTTACGGTTAGATGGACAAAGGGCCGTGCCGTTTCCGTACCGTATAGATGCCATCTGAAAGCGCGTCATCTTAGACACCATGCTCCTCCATGTGCTGAAGCTGCAAAGGTCGCATACGCAGCAATGCAACGTTAAGCGAAGGAACGTGGGATGGATTAGGGCAGCTCACGACTCCAACTAGACCCACATGAGTGAGGTGGCATACGCGATTGCCCAGAGCGGGCGTGTCAATATCAATCAATGTGTTCCTGGCGTGAACCGCTCAGCCCTGCGATCTCCAGGTTCGTGCATTGAATGCAGCCCATATCACATCAAATTTCTGCAGGTTATCCGGTTCCTGAATCGCTCGTGCTATGGCCATGGGTTTGGTGTACTTCCAAACACTCCGACACGCTGAACGCTAGCCAACTCTTCAACGCGGCACTTGTTCGGTATTCGCTTCTGGGCGCTTGAAGCGGAAAGCGCACCTGGATTGATCTACACCACGAGGCTCAAGGCGGGGTTAGCACACCCTCCATCTTCTCCTGCTCTGCGCTGGCAGTCGTTGTGTTGTTCATCGAACGCGTCCGAACTGCTGGAAGTGGTGGCTGTTGATGACTGTCAGTGACGTGTCGTACAGATTATATTGCGCTAGCCCAATCGACGCCACAATGCACGTGCGTCGAGCAATGCAAACCTTGGAAAATCTCGGGAGGCCCACAAATTTCGCGCCTTACAAGGTTATGCAAGTCAGGTCAGGCATGTAGCTGACGAGTTAGTTCCTGATGCGCGATTCCTGCAAGAGACGTGGACCACACGAACCTTCTCCCGGCCTTCTGCGCCGCACCGAACCACGTGTAATTTCACGGCGGACGTCATCGCTTGCGCATGAACGGGCACTAGGCATTGCATTTCTGAGCTTAATCGAGTCTTCTCCACGCCTGCTTGGGTGTGTGAAGGCATGCATCACGTGTTGCTGCAGATGCCCTATCGCAGAAATCCCAGCCACCAACAACACGCAGAGAATGTAGAACAGCCAACAGACAAGACAGCTCGATAGGACCGTAGTAGCGTCAGGGCTTCTGCGTTCACGCACGCAATCGAATGACTACAGTAAGCAAGAGCGGTCCTGACGTCCTCGATTCTTTTGCGGTGATTTGGCCCCTGATACGGCCACCTTCCTAAGTTGGGATAGAAGGAACCACATTCTATGCCAAGGTCAAAATTTGATATGCAGTCACCCTTGACATCAATCACTCAAGTCACGACAGTAGGAGTTTATCTTGGTGAGAGACAACTCGGAAAAAGTGGTTCTTGACAACTCGACCTGGTTCTTTCAGCCTCCTATGGCGCGTGTGACTGTCAGATTTGAATGAGTGTGTGCACTGAAAGCATACAGACATGCAAAGAAGGGCGTAGAAGTTTCATTGACTGAATTGCCAAGGATGGACAAACGAGTGTCTGGCCGATACATTATCAGACCCCACGCGCTATCTGGCTCTGTTGTAGCAAGCGTGCTTGCTTGTAGAGACCAACTTCCGGTACTCCTGAAAAGTGTCCGCTAGCAGCTCTTACGACCTATGAATGACTTGTCAGTTCAAGTAAAGCTCCTAGCGAACGACGACAATCTTACCATATCTCCATTACAGAGTCGTATCCAGGTCTAGCAGTTGCACTGGCAGCAGATAGTCATACCGCACCAGTTGCAAGGACAGCCAGTGTTGCATCGAGCCTCAAGATGGGCGCGCTTGATCATCTCGATACTATGCTCAGCAGGGTACTGGATAAGGTTCGACACTGAGGCAGGACTGCGGTTGAGAAGCTCACTGGGAGCAGCGCTGACGAAAGAGAGGAGGGCGACGAGAGGAAGAGCGAGAGTAGTGAGCTGCATGGTAGTGATGTTAAAGTTTCTGTATGAACAATGGTAGGTTTGAAGTGAAGATGGATCGGTCACTGGGTTTGGTGAAGAGACGTGTTACCCGAAGAATGATTTATATATGTGCTGGAGACTTCGAGGTCTACATGTTCGTGGTCCGTACATCTTCGCATAACACGACGGACCGTGATACCGGCGAAGGGCCCACCTGCTGATGCTGCAGACATACTCCAAATCTTCCAGCATACCCACGACCAGCATTCGGATCGTCGGCGAGTCGACCTCAGGCTGAAGTCAAGTGTTCTTTCCAAGAACAGGAATAGTGTTATGCGTGTTGCTGATAAAGTCTACTGTTTACTGGTCGGTCGTGTGATGAATGGTAGCCCATTCTCTCTAGCTGGTTGTGGCTGCCTGCACCAACAGCCGATCACGATGGGATCTGCAGACAGTGAGCTCAAGTTCTCTCTCAATGGTGCGGATTATCGAAGAGAGTAACAGTATCGGCCGTACGCTGACCCCGGAGTTGCGTGACCATGCGTCTGGAGATGCATTGCGGCATGATACTGGAACTGGTCAAGCTTTTCCAAGCTTAGCTTGTAAACGTTTACCTTCTTACATAGGCTACCACAATGGAGTATGATACTGATCGACATACAGACTTGCCGCCTGGAGGCAAATCATAAGCTCAAGGGCAAAGAGAAAATAGGGTGCCATGCTCCAAAAAGTATTGTTGGAGCTAGAGATGTAGTCTCTAAGCGATGCAGCGCCACAGAAGGCTGGTTGGTGGACATTCGTTCCGGACTTCGTGTATCCGAAGCGATAGACGGTGAAGCACTAGATCCAAGCTTTCTGAGTATTCGCTATGTGTCCTGCTTTCCCAGCTAAATCTCCATTCTTTGTACTCTAATTAGAGCATTAGGAACGGATGAAACTAAGAAAGTCTACTGGGGGTTAGCAAATGAACGGCAAGAAAGCCAGATAGATTCAGTATCTTCGAGGGACTTAATGCTGTGCCAGAAGAGATGTCACAGGCCAAATCCGGTATTTGAGCGCGTCGTTAACTATCATGGACCTGAATGATACTAGTCAGCGCCACAAACGAAGTCTGGGAAGCTTTCCCCACCTGAAACCTCCTTAGGCCAACCGACTTGACGTTTCTAGCAGTAGCATAATGCGGTGCAACCGTAGTCAGCATCAATATAGCCTAAACTCCACGCACCGCAGAAGGCGCGGGCCGCTCCCAAGACTTGGCTATCGACGGGTACAACCGCTCGTGACCATTGCTGATGGTACTTCGCTGCCTGAATACCGGAATTTGGAAAAGCGAGGTGTGCTGATCAAGATAGATGCAATTAAAAAGTGCATTAGCGTAAGGCGGCTCACGAGGAAACAAGCCGTCCAGTGGGTGTCAGCTTATATCCGATCAAGACTAGTATACGCACATAAGCGGGCTCCTGGGCTGATGGCATGTTGTTGATGCTTCAAAGTTAAGCAAACTTTGATCAAAATTCGAGAAGTCAATGAAGAGGTGAGTGATGGCCTACGCTCGATTGTCGGACGACGCCTCGATAGAGAGTCCATACGAGAAAGCAGAACCATCTGAGTCACTGCTTCAGAACTCCGCTAGATACTTTTCGTACAAGAACTTGTTCGGTGCTTCTCTTGTTCTGTGGATAGTAACGTTAGCCACGCTTGCTTGGGTGCTGGATCAGAGGCCCTCGACCTACGGGAACCATGCTACAAATTCATTGCCATTTCCTCCAGGTATGCATCAAAGGTGCATGAAAAAATCATTGTACGCTTTGCTGATAAAGAGATCTAGTGCCGTTCCGCATGATCACTTTCGATCCAAACCCAAGATTTCACTATACAGCTAAAGATGCAGGAGAGTCCGCGTGGTCGGCTCTAATGCCCAGTATTATTCCCATGGCATGAACATTAGAAGAAAGACTGACAAGGGACTCATAGATGACGGAGGTATCATCTCTATAGCCAGTCCCCAAAGGTACCAGCTACCCGTGAGCTACAAGGATCGAAACGTCTCCGGCGCGGAAGTATATTCGATGTCCATGTTCCACCAGCTGCACTGCCTGGTCAGTTCCGCGCAGTAACAACAACGTCTATTCGCTGACACTGGAAGAACTCGATTCGTGTGCGGCTCGGAATATTGGAAGGCTTCATCAACGAGACTGTTGGAAACATACAAAGAAGGGATGTCTTTGCGCCGGAATCGCATGTGAACCACTGCTTTGACTACCTTCGCCAGGTAAGATTGTCCGCCTCTTCTTGGACCAAGCGAGTGTTAGGGTGCTAACACAACGTCCGAAGGCTGTCATGTGCGCAGGAGATCTGTCTTTGGAGCATTCCGTTGTTCCAGATGAGTTTCGGTTTCAACGGTTGGGGAACATCGCACCAATGTGCGGGTTGGGATGCGATGTGGGATATTGCGGTGCAACATCGATACGATCAGGGTATTAGGCAAGAAGCTGAAAGGGTTAGATAGAGTGAATACATGCAGTTCCGAGTTTCAGTATCATGAACAGGAGTATTCCAAGGCTGCGTCATTGCTGGTAGATGAGGTTGAAAAGATTGAGTCCGGAAATTGCTGTCATCTGCGCTTTCTCCTTTTCGTGTGGGGTCCAATCTGTCTGCACACGCAACGTAGTCCAGGATGCAAGGCTCAGAGTTACCAATGACATTGAGTTTCGGTAGTATTTCGAACAGACAAAGCTTCTCGACCCTCAATGTCAGCCGGCGTTGCAGGGAACGGACATGAGCAGCGGAAACTGGAAGACATGAGTGATCCAACGAGGCGTGAATACCAAGCTGCGCGATCGACCACGATGCGATTTCTTGTGAAACGCACCATCTCTGGCAAGTTGATCTTCGTCTTGGTGAATTGGTTCCAAGGCTACCGTTACGTTCGGGACGGGGCGGCCACGCAACGGCGGCGCCGCAACCTCAGAACTTGACGAGAGCTCTCGATGGCTGCTAGTAATGACGCCAACAGAAGTCGCTCGTGAGAACAGGTATTCTTATCGATATGTTACCGGCCAGCGCCGTATGGCGACGAATGAGAGTGGCGAGAAGCGAGGAGGCGAAACCCGCAGAGCCGCGGTGTGGCTGGGGGCAGCCAAAAATAGCTCACCAGCCTCCTTTTGTCCCACGCCGGGCCCGCCGACTTGCGCAACACCCAGCCTTCTGACAGCTACCGCCATCTCGGTCGGCTGGGTGACCCTGCGTCCTGGCTCGTGCTACTGGCTCATTGCCCGTTGCGGTGGGTCCAAGGGGCTTTGTAGGGCTGGATGACAGAGGGCTGGCATGTGGATTGTTTGCGGCCGGCGTACGTAGGCTTGTGGATTCAGATTTGGAGAAGGCTAGAAGACGCTGGCGGCAGATGTAATTATGGCCAGAGGCGCAGAGGATATAAACACGGCTGTGGTACGCTCAACCAAAGTATCATTTAACAACCATCTCATCTAGTCTACCATCGAAGTCTATCCTTACATCCTTCAACCTTAATCCATACACACTACAACAAGTACTCTCCACTCCCACAGCCAAGATGCAGTTCTCCATTATCTCCATCGTCGCCGCGCTCGCCGCTACTGCTACTGCCACCTATGTTCCTACCAATGGAACTGCCACCTCTGGTGCTTACTACCCCACTGGTACCGGTGCTGCTGCCCCTACCGGAGCCAGGCCAACCTCAACCCTCCCCTTCACTGGTGGAGCCGCAAACATTGGCAGCTCAGCCCTTGGTCTCATCGTAGCTGGTGGTGTCGCCATCGTAAGTTTACTCGACTATCAGAATCATACCAAAACAGTGTACTAATCAAATTTTAGATGCTATAAACGCAATAAGGACGCTGCTTCGCTTCGATTTGTAACTTCTTCAATCACTATTCAGTAATTTGGGTTCAACATTGGCGCAAATGGTCACGGCGTTACTACGGAAACAAAGGTCTCGGGATGAGATGATCAGCATCACTGGCGCAACATAGAGTTGGCGTACAGATACAAACGTGTGGAGGCATAGACTAGAATTGTGTATAGCAGAGAGCATGACCTGGGTATGGTCGACTGTCAATAGTCTACGAAGAGATGAGCCGAGAGATGGACAGAATAGCCTATGTGGCTGAATGAAAACAAGCATTTTCAAACATGTTTTGCAATTGCTTTGACCTGCATGCGTAAAGGAAGGCCTTTCGTAGCTATGATATTGGGTGGTGACAGGATGTGTAGAGTGGGGCTCTTAGACTTGTAGTTCAGGATGGCGTGAATGACGCGCGACGCGACTCCCGCGATCTGCAACTTTGGAACTTTACAAGCACACCAGTCACTCCCCCAACCCTGCGACGCTACGACTCCAATGGCCAAATCGAACGACATCTTGCTCAAAGGCGAGCCTTTGTACGTCTGCTGCCTGCACCTCAGATGCAAATGCTAACAGTAACAGTGGGGATGCGTCGCCAGCACCGTCTCGAGACGCTTCAGCGTACAACCCACTACATGACTTTGTACTACCGCCGGGTACCGAGCGACACTACTCACAACAGTTCGCCGACATGTACTTCTTACGGCTACAGCAACTAAAGAAGACGGTGAAGCAAAGGGCCGAGGATGCATGGCACGATTTCGAGGTATGCAACGGGATGCTGCTGGAATGCGAAAGCTCGTCATGCGGGGCGGAATGATACTGACTCTGGGCAAGCTAGGTGGACAGACGGCGTCGTTTGTCGAGCGTGTGCTGGATGTGCGACAAGGCGAGCTTTGCTGGGTAGTGGGGACAGTATACATGGAAATGGCAGAGAAGCCTAATGTGTTGAACGACATTGAAAAAGATGTACGCCTCTCTCTCTCCACAAACACAAAGGATGGATTCTAACACTCGACAGCACTGGATAGCGGACCCTCCCCAGCGCGACACCTACGTATCTGCCACCGGCGCCGATGAGATGATGCTCGAAGACGAATCCGGTCGTCTACGCGTTACCGGCGAGCCTTTGCGCCAACATTTTGTCACCGGATGCATACTGGCGGCACTGGGCACCGAAGAAGCAGATGGCACATTCATGGTCATTGCAACCCAATGCGCAGATCTACCGAGACAACCGCCACGATGGGAACGTGACGATGTAGTGCTATCAAAGGAGAAGAAGAAGGCACCAAAGCGCGAGAGAGCTGGAAAACTGGCCATCGTCTCTGGTCTTGAGCTGACAGGCGCAGACGACGATGAGGTCTCGCTGGACCTGCTAGTGGAATACCTGACTGGCGAAGCTGCGGACCCAGCAACCCAGGCCGAATCTTCCAAGATAACACGGCTTGTTATAGCTGGTGGTTCACTCGCAAAGGGATCTCCAATTCTGTCGCGAGAGGACTTTGCTGCAAAGAAGAGTGCAGCGAGACACTACGGATACGACGCCTCATCTTATAACGCAGCACCTACTACACGCCTCGATGAGTTCCTCTGCGAAATCCTTCCCTCGCTCCCCATCACCATGCTGCCTGGTGCATCGGACCCCTCAAATGTCGCTCTGCCACAACAACCTCTCCACCCCGCTCTCTTCCCCAAGACACGCCTCTACGCCGAACCGCCGATAGAAACTAACACGACCCTTAACGGCTTTGACGCAGTGACAAACCCTTGGTTAGGTGATATTGACGGATACCGCGTGCTAGGCACAGGTGGCCAGACAGTCAAAGACCTACTCAAATACGTCAATCGTGTCAAGTCAATAGACGCCATGGAGATGATGTTGCGCTGGCGTTGTGTAGCACCCACAGCTCCAGACACACTGTGGTGCTACCCATTCCAGGACGACGATCCATTGATGTTGAAAGAGTGTCCGCACATGTACATTGCTGGCTGCCAAAAAAAGTTTGAGAAGAAGGTCATTGAGGGTCCTGCGGGACAGAAAGTATTACTCATCAGCGTACCCAAGTTTAGAACTTCGGGCAAGATTGTGCTGGTTGATATGGAGAGCTGGGACGTGGAAGTGGTCAGATTGGGGGCCAAAGGAGACGAAGCTACGAAACAACGAATCGTGGTGGGTAGAGAGGACATGATGGAGGAGTAAGTGGCGGACGCTGTGCAATTGATACCCGATCTGTTGACAACATGGCGATGCAAACAATGAAATGACATATACCTACACCATGGTTTTCTCGTTCAATCCCTTCAAAACATGCAACAGCCAATTACATTTTTTGGCGTATATCGGAAATAAATCAGGTGCATTAGTCTCCACCTGCACAAGAGGCACGGGAAGTGGGTACCGTACCATCGTCATAAATGCTTGGGTCTTGGACGATGTCATTCGGCAAAGCTTAATAGCGAGAATACCTGCTTCGCCAAAACGTATACTCGTACGATGATCAGCAACGTTTGAAACAGGGGGTTCTTTTGTCGTGATGTCAACACCACATGATTAGCAAAAATAGCTTATCGACGCGTCTTTCTGATGTAACGTATATGCAGAAGTTGAAATGTGTGTGTGTGTGTGGAGTATAAGTGGATTCAACAACGTTTGACGGAACTCTACACATCATTTCTCTTTGATGTGTAAAATGCGATATTGGTATTCTGCGCAAAGTGGTATCTAGAGTATCAACATCCAATCTCAATGTATCCTGCGAACGCCATGGCCAATGTACAGAAACTCCCTTCGTCTTTGCAACTTAGTGATATGTGTGATATTGTACAAGCGGGACATGAATAAATAAATAAAAGGGGAATCTAAGTCTCCTAGGCCTTGAAGTTGACCGTGGTCCATTCTTCGTACTCTTTTTTCAGTTCTCGTTGGACCCAGGGAATGGTGATGGCGGTCCAGATGCCGGCCCAGAGGAAGGGCAGAACCCAGCCGACCTGTGCTGTGTTAGTCTTGATGATATGGAAGAGGTACGATTTGGACATACAACGTAGGCAGCGTCACGCTGAATAGTGAAAATGATGGCAGTGGCAACTACAGCGCAGATAATGGCGCCAATGGCCCAGAAGAGTGTCAAGCGGTGCAGCATCATGCGGAAGCCCTTGCTGGCCTGGTACCGGAGATTCAATCGCTGACGGAACTCGGTGCCACCAGATCCGTCAACAGCGCAAATGTCTTCAATGTATGCATAGATGCCGGGTCGAAGCGGTGCGCCCTGGGGTAGCGAAGAGATACGGCAGGGTGCAGGCACGTTCATATAACGCAGGATGTCGACGAGAAGGAGCTCGCAACCAATGGCGAACATCATGGTCGGGGCGGGCATGGCAAGGACGCGAATTGGCGGGTCGTGGGGACAGGTACCACTGCACTTTGTTAGCTGAGCTTTGTTGGGACGGACAGAGAACCTACGCAATAAGCTCAATCATGACGAAGAACCAGCCGACGGACAGGTTCCAGTGGAACCAGTCGAGATACCATCTCTGCGCGCCGATGACCCTGCAACTGGAGCCCTTCTTCCACAACCTGTGGAAGCGGATGAAGTATTCGACAATCGACACGGTTCCAAGCAAAGCGGTACTGATACTGAAGACGGCGTTGGCAGACAATTGGTCGCGCGTCAGGCCATACCACATGCCAAAGTAGAGGCCGATGGGCATGAAGACGCAGTCGAGGATGATGAGGGTCCAGAACCAGAAGATGGACTTCTTGCGGGTGCGCAGCGTGTACTTGAGCGGCGGCGGGCGGGTGAAGTCGGGGTCATCGTAGGTGACCTGGGTGTGGGGGAACTGGGCGTGGGGATTTGGCGACGGGACGCGGCTTGGTTGTGCGCTGGGGTTGAGGCTGGCAGAGTTGTTGACGGGCGTGGTGCTGCGCGGCTGTCTTTGGTCGTCGCTGGCGCCGTCGACGTGCATGCTGGGTACGGGCAGCGTGTCGGCCTGTCCTGCAGTCGTCGGTCGTGATGCATCAGCCTGGGGCGTCAGCGGCCTCAAGGGCTCTGTCGAAGATTGCTGCGTAGCCATTGTGTGGAGCGGTGGCACGATGGGGTGCCCAGGACAAAAGTACGGGAGCGGCGGGAAACAAGAAGAGTCGGTCGCGTCTTGTCCGGATGCCAACGGGTGAGATTGTGTCTTGACACTGTCGGCGTATCTTGGGGGAATGGCCGTATCATGGGGCAAAAGGGTCTGTTGGAATCCGTCAGCACCGTGCAGGCCGTGAATCTGCTTATGATGTCACGCCTGGGGCCTCGTTTGGTGCTTCCAAGGTCGCGCTTTCCCTGGGCGGATCTGGCGCATGCTTGGGATGCTCGGCTGACGCATCTCCGTCCTCTAACCTCGCCACCGGGCACTGCAGTCAGTGTGGATATGTGAATCGATATTACTGATGGGCTCCTTACGCGGCCTCTTCCTGTATTCTTTCGTGCTCCTCGCTTCCTGTGCTGTCACCAGTAGAGGCCATGCCACTCAACACCCCCTGCCCGATGCGCAAGCCGCTCGTAACGCATCTCTAATTTCCCAGAAGCTGTTCTGGGAACTCGAACAACTCGCGCGCATTGTCGATATATCCTACTGTGTAGGCACCGCCGGTCTGGGCATCCAGAAGCCCTTCAGGTGCGCCAGCCGCTGCGGAGACCGCGACTTTGAGACTTTTGACTTGGTTACAGTAAGTGGCTGCATCCAGCAACACATCGCACAAGGTGCATGAGGTGCTGATATGTCCAGGCATGGAACACTGGTCCTTTTCTATCTGACTCCTGCGGCTACATCGCTCTGTCGCATTCACCTACCAACCCGCGCCTGATCCTTGCCTTTCGCGGCACCTATTCGGTTGCCAATACCATCGCCGACCTCTCTACCATACCGCAAGAATACGTGCCATACCCAGGCGACGATGATGATGGTACCTCGGACTTCACCGCCCCGAGTTTAGACGTAGACGACGATGCGCCACCCGCCGAGCCGCCCAAATGCGACAACTGTACTGTACATACTGGCTTCTATTCCTCGTGGCTCAACACCCGTAAGGTCGTCCTGCCACATGTATCCAAGGCTCTGGACAAGTATCCCCATTACAAGCTGGTCTTGGTAGGACACTCGTTGGGCGGTGCCATTTCCACCCTCGCCGGGTTGGACTTCAAGGCTCGTGGATGGGACCCTCATGTGACAACCTTCGGCGAGCCTAGACTAGGTAACAACGAGTTCAACAAGTACGTGGATGAGCGCTTCGCCATCACTTCGGACCACGACAACAACAAACTTCACCGTGTCACCCATGTCGGCGACCCTGTCCCTCTGCTACCACTGTCTGAATGGGGCTTCAGTATGCACAGTGAAGAGATCTTCATATCCGAGTCAAGTCTACCTTTCTCAGTTGCCGACATCCACTACTGCGACGGTGACCAAGACCCGCACTGCATTGCTGGGAGCGACCAAGACAAGCCTGCCTGGGGTGTACCCACTCGCTTCAAGTTTTGGCAGCTCTTCTTCGCCCATCGCGATTACTTCTGGCGATTGGGTTTGTGTCTGCCAGGTGGTGACCCACGAGACTGGTACGACAAGTATCCTGGGCATAGCACAAATGACGGCGACCATGATGTGCCTGAAATTATTGAATTGTAATGACACTTGGTCTTTTGCCTGTAATGTTTTAAATCGTAATTCATACACCAACTTCTTTTATATGCTTCTCAATACCAAGACGTGTGACAACGCCAAGACCATCCTTACGCCGCGCCTGCAGACCATGTTACTTGAAGAGAAAAAGACCTTTTAGTGGGTGCCGTTTTGGCTGTGGGTCCTCCTCTTCGCGACAGCGCCAGCAAGCTCAGCGAGCACGGTCTCAGTGGTTTCCCAGTCGATGCACGCGTCGGTAATGGACATGCCGTACTCGAGACCAGCCTTGCCTTCCTTGGGTACCTTCTGAGTGCCAGCCTTGATGTTGCTCTCAATCATGACACCCATGATAGCCGTCTCTCCAGCCTCGATCTGCTCAGCAATTGCATGCGCAACCTTTGGCTGGTTCATGTGGTTCTTCTCCGAGTTGCCGTGGCTGCAGTCAATCATCAAGCGCGAGTTCATGCCCTTGGACTCGAGCTTCTCCCGCGCCTCCTTGACGCTCTTCGCATCGTAGTTTGTGCCCTTCTTTCCACCGCGAAGGATAATAAAGCAGTCATCGTTGCCAATGGTGCCGACAATGGCGACGACACCAGGCTTAGTGACGGAGAGGAAGTGGTGAGGGTGCTTTGCGGAGCCAATAGCGTCAATGGCGACATCGAGAGTGCCGTCTGTGCCGTTCTTGAAACCAACCGGGAAAGACAGACCTGAAGCAAGCTCACGGTGGAGCTGCGACTCTGTAGTCCTGGCGCCAATTGCACCCACACTGAACATATCGGCCAAGAACTGGGGAGAAATGGTATCCAGCATCTCGCTCGCCAGGGGCATGCCCTTCTCAGTCAGATCAGCGAAGAGCTGTCTTGAGATGCGCAGGCCCTTGTTGATCTTGAAGCTGTTGTCGATATCCGGGTCATTGATGAGACCCTTCCAGCCTACAGTTGTACGAGGCTTCTCCAGGTAGGAGCGCATGACGATGAGGAGATCATCCTGGTACTTCTCCTTGAGCTTCATCAACCGGTCGCAGTATTCGAGGGCAGCGGCAGGGTCGTGGATGGAGCACGGGCCGATGACGACGAGCAACCGCTTCTGTGCATCTTTGCCTTGGACAATTTCTACAGCTTCGTCACGCGCCTTGAGGACTGTGTCTCTTGACTTGGCCGTCTGGGGGATTTCACTCTGGAGGAGGTCGGGAGGTGTGAGGGGGTTGTAGCCCTTGATGCGCCAATCTTCCGAGTTGTGCGGGTCGCCGACGGCTTTGTTCTCGATGTGGAACTGCGACGACGTGTTAGAGTGTGCGACTGGTGGCGGCGATGGATGCTGGTGTACATACAGACATAGTTCAAGAGAAGACGCAGGAAAGATTAGGAGGATCTGGGTATATGGAAGGAAATCAGAGACAAAAACTCTGAAAAGGACAGCGACTGTGGTTTTACTTGCGCTTCTTGTCCTCACAGACGACCAAGACCTTTATGAGTCGAATGTTTTCTGGTATGACGGCGGAGTCGGAGGCGCCCTCATTGGTCAATGAGCGGGGCATTCGCGCCGATTTTTAGGTGGCGCGGGGTCGAGCCTCAATCATCATCGCCGGTCCGGCCACGCCCTGGCGCACAAGGATGTCCTCGAGAGAAAGTCATTCAGCCCTACATTGGAAGCTGGTCGCAATGCTCCGCGAAGCTCGAGACGGGTTTCATTATACGGCCTTTGGGCGTGTTCAAATGCAAAAGTATAGGTATCCAACATACACAGATATGACGTCATGGAGAGCTACATGAAGCTAGATATCAGTACAGCGCATTTCGGAGTACAACGATGAGTACCAGCGAATATCTACATCATTTCAGACTTCATTTGAGTTGTTTCTGATGGTCTGACTAAGTTTTACGAACGGTTGCTCTCGTGCTATCATGAGAGTCGCATGTAGATGTTGTACCCCACACAATAAGCAACATTCAATAAAAGGAAGTGAATAACTGTGGGTAGTGGTAAGAAAACGACGTATAACTTCAACGTTTTCGTTAAGACTTGTACATGTATTACATCCAGCTTTCGTGATCGCACTGGAGCAGTCGACTAGGCTTTAACAAGTGTGCCGTCATTGCTCTCCACCGACATCATACGTCACAGCCATGCCATACCGAAGGAGCCGTTGCGCGCCATTCTGAAGCTAATACACAATCTCTAACTCTGCACTGCACTGTAAAGAAAAAAACATTACTCACATTCAACTTTTGCTCGACCACAGTCCATCATGGGCAGCCTAGACTATAGATCCCTCCAAAGCATCCCGATCAGCTACGCGACATGCTCGCTCGGATCGCCATCAAACCCTCCGCCTCTCCTCGACCGCTTGCATGCTATATCCACCGCAGGTTTCACCGCCGTTGAGCTTTCTTTCCCAGACATTCTCTCCTACGGCCAGACACTACTCGGCCATGAAGTCGAACCGTCCAATTATGACGAGCTATGCAAAGTAGCAAGCGAGATTAAAAAGGAGTGCGACAAAAGAAGCCTTGGAATTATGATGTTGCAGCCATTTGCCAATTACGAAGGCTGGCCCGAAGGTTCCGATGGCCGCAAAGACGCCATGGACCGGGCTCGCGGCTGGATCCGCATCATGCAGGCGTGTGGGACAGATTTGCTGCAAGTCGGATCGACGGATTCACCCCTCGAGATACTAGACAGGAGTAAGATGGTGTCTGACCTCCAGGTTCTCTGCGACATGCTCAAGGAGCACAACTTCCGACTAGCCTACGAGAACTGGTGTTGGTCGACACATGCACCTGACTGGAAAGATGTTTGGAGTATCGTTCAGCAGGTAAACCGTCCAAACATCGGTCTATGTCTTGATACCTTCCAGACTGCAGGTGGAGAATGGGGCGATCCTAGGACGACTTCCGGTTTGCGAGAAGATGTATCCAAAGACGAGTTGGAAAAGCGGTTCCAAAAGAGCCTGGAAGAGCTGAGCTCCACCATTCCCAAGGACAAGATCTACCTTCTGCAGATCAGCGATGCCTATAAAGTCCCTCAGACCTTCGATGCTGAGCGTGACGATGCAGGTCTGCTGCCTCGTGGACGATGGAGTCACGACTTCCGACCTCTACCTTACAACGGAGGATACCTACCGGTTGTTGATGTTGCGAGAGCAGTGCTCAAGACGGGTTTCAGAGGCTGGTTCAGCTACGAGGTCTTTGACGGAGGTGCAGACGGTAAGGCTACGGACGTAGACATTGTGGCTTATGCACATGCTGCGAAGAGTGTACAAGATAGGCTGCTGCAGGACTGTGCCGGTCACAAGGTTCCGGAAGCGATGGCAACAAGATAGGTAGCCGATACATCGGGTCAAAATGAAACAATGTAACGAACTTGTGTTTCTACCGAATGCGAAGCTGTCGTCTTGGGGAGCAAGGACCAACTAATGATACAGTAGGGAAAGATACGAAGAGATTGGAGAAGAAGAAAACTGTTACGAGGACGACGTCTGTAACCTCTCCTCTATACATGTCACTAAATATCTCGTTCCAACGCACCCGTTGTAATAGCCGTCAAAACTGCCTCAGTCACCATGATCAAGACCACCGTTCGCGTAGCCGTCAACCTCGTGCGCGACCAACTAGTGCATCTTTAGTTAGCCACAAAACGCATCCTTAACATGATATGTCATGTCCAGGATAAGGGCACCCAGAGTCACTAGTCTTCGGCTTGTCCTTCGTCTTGGTCACCAATATCGTCATCGTTTCGCCGCAGTATATTCTCGGATAAGGATACGGACAATGCCTGTCCGGCACCATTATGCTTGTGATAACAGCAGGGTCAGTTTTGTGCGTCAATGCTTCACAAAACGTGAGGGAAGTCTTGAGCGTAAGAAAATTCATCGTGGACGTCGGCTTCTTAGGGATCGATTTCGTAGAGGGGCCGAATATGCTTGGTACGGTCCCACCCCTCGTTTGTGAGCTTGGGTGCGAGGGTAGACCGAAAAGGCTATCGTAAGATATATTGATTGGCTCCTTGGATGTGAAAGTTGGAGACGGAAATGCAGAGCTCGTGCATGAATGCACTGAACTCCAGGTGAGTGACGTCGGGTCATGAGGAAGGATGGGCAAGCTGGGGTAAGCCGGCGGATATTGTGACATGAATATTGAGGAAGGAGATGTGAGACTCGGAATTGTGGAAGCTGCGGTCGATGGAGGATCGAAGGCGATACTTGAACATGTTGATGTAATTGTCAGTGTCGGACGAAGAGAAGCTTTCCCCTCACAGTCAAGTGTGAACACACTCGATTGAGTGGGTACACTCGGTGAAACGCTGGCGATGGGTTTCGAAGTTACCGAATTGACTGTTGTCACGAATGAGCTGGAAAGGATAGGCCACTGCCATGCGCTCTCCAGGGAAGCCGAAAGCAACCCGGTGAAAGCTGCTGTAGATGAAGAAGGCATCGGACCAGGAAGACCGGAGCCATACCGACTACCAGGAGTCCATATTGGAGTGATCGGGTCTTCGATTCCTAGCCTTGAGTTGCTTTTCACAGTGGTATGGCAATACTGTGTCGAAACGCCATGTACTGCGGGCAACAATGTCGCAAGAACAGCGATGCGCATTTTGTTTCCTCCAGAGGTAGTCAGATTGACGACAGTAGGAGTCGGTTCTTGGAAATCCGCCAAATATAGACATGTTGCTCTTCTTTGGGAAGGATTATTGTGTCACTACGAGTTCCATAAATGCCCTAGACATGTGACTTCTTTGTCCTTGTTTGACGTAACGTAAAGACTGTCCTACATGGTTGCAGAGCTTGAAGCCCATGTGAAAGACAATGTCTTTGTGTGCTCTTTTCGGTTGATTCAAGCTTGAAAGTGCAGCACATCATTCGCTCATAGTAACATGAACACGGAGAAGCTCATTTCTGAGTTCTACCCTCAAGCGCCAGATCCTAATCTAGAGGTATACCTGGAGTTTTATACCATGGAACCGACAGAATACATATATCGTATACTTTCGGTGTAGAGTATAATGCATGGATGCTCAAGGTCAGAAGCAAGAAAGAAAGGGCTCCATTACAACGGTGGACCTCCACCGGCTTCCTCGATCCGTCCAGAAGAGTCTTGATCATTAGACAGCAAACATTGCAGGAAGATTTCAACCATTGAATAGTACGCCAATGAAGGAACTGGTATCACATAGGCTCCAGTACTGCAAGCATTTGGCAACACCCACACGATGTGACGGAGTAGAGCTGTGGGCATCTCAAAGGTGCCCGTCTTTCAAGATCAGCGAAGTGCTTACTTGGGCGGGATACCCCATTACAGTCCCGCATCGATGCGCTGTAGAACCTCATACCATGAAATATGGTGGTTAAGAAGAGCGATCGTGATAGCAGTTGTGCCGTCCAGTTTGACCTCGGCAAAAATCAAAAGACGGGAGAAGTGGATCTCATAGCCACCGCGTGAAGTATCTCACACGTTATCGTCGCAAAAAGAAACACGATGTTCTGAGAAGTCGCAGGTCTGTGAACAAAAGTAGAGTCTGAGGTTTCGACACTTCCTGCTTTCCCTTGGTGGACAATCTACGGCCCGCAAGCCGCTCCGTCTTCCCGAAATTCGCGTCCCCTCGACGGCACCCAAGCACCTTGAAGTAGTCGTCGCTTAGCATGCTCAGACACTGAGCCCGAGGAAGTATGTACAGCGCTATGCAGTCATCAAAGGAACGCTTCGATGGAGTAAGCTAGACCGCAAAATGACGGAACCGCGGGCCTGTTTCCAATCCACGGAATACGTACACCATCACATGCAGGGCATGTGGCCTGAGCCTTCTCAACAACGCGCACATCTATACGCCCTTTTCCATGATAGATGGATCTCGCGGACAAACGGCCTTGAACGTTTATCAAAATAAGCCAAGGTGGGCTGAATAGGCTGAAAGGGCGTTCCGTCCCCGCTGTTGGTTTATTGATATTGCTTCCGCGCGTGAGACGCCACCACGTGGAACGTCTTCGACGTCGATATAAAAGATACCAGGAGCCTGTGTTTGGTATTTCGATACTCTGCGTTTGCGCACTCACAAGTCCAATACTACAACATGCCGTCTACTAAAAGCAAGAACATCATTATAACTGGCGGTGCGCGAGGCATCGGTCGCTGCACAGCACGACACCTGCTTTCGTTGCCAGTATCGCATCGCGTTTTCATCATCGACTTTGATGCGGACGAGCTCGAATACGCAGTCAATACACATCTAGCCGCCTACGCACCACGTGTCAGCTCATCGATCACCAACCTCCGCAACCCGGAAGAAATTCGCAGCGCAGTCGCCAAAGCCGCCGAATTTTTCGGCGGTCGGATAGATGTGTTGGTCAACAATGCCGGAGTCGCTCGAGGATTCTTCAATGCAGGAAACGGGACTATGGAAGACATTGCTACAGGAGAGCAATGGGAAGCATACATTGCTACCAATCTCAGCGCGCCCTTCTACATGAGCCAGGCCGTCATCCCTTTTATGAAGAGCCAGAACACACAGAAAGACGGTACGCCAGGGGTTGATCGATCGAAGGATCTGAAGCGCACGGAGGAGTTCAACCAGCTGCCACTGAACCTCCATGGCGAGGACAAGTTGGAAGAGGGAGGCTGCATCATCAACGTTGCTTCCTTTCGCGCACATCAGTCAGATCCAGATTGTGAAGGCTATGCTGCAAGCAAAGGTGGCGTGTTGGCACTCACACAGGCCATGTCTGTTTCATGCCAGCGTTGGGGTATCCGAGTCCTGGCTATCTCGCCAGGCTGGGTTAGCGTACAGCACGAGTGTAAAGCTCGCGATTTGCAGATCAAGGAAATGCAGAACGGATCGTACAAAGAGGTCGCACCACATGAGGAGGAAGCGGTGAAGCGAAGGATGAAGGCTTGGGCGGAAGATCTGGATGAACTCTATCACAAGCAACACCCAGCCGGCAGAGTGGGTAGGGGAGAAGATCTCGCTGAGATGGTTGAGTACGTCATGGGTGCAGGCTTCTTGAGTGGACAGGAGTTGATCTTGGACGGCGGTGCAAACCGGAGAAAGAATCCCAATATCTGAGATGTCTGCATAGATTAATAAAGACATGCGCAAAGCCAACTTGAGAGCTATGCATGCGCAACAAAGGGTTGCTATCAAGTGCGATACACCGCCAACGCCATGCTTGCAGTCGTATCAGAAAACCAACGCTAGAGTAAGCAGGAATCCCAACCTTGAGAAGTGTCGGGTAAGAAGGGATGGTGCGCGTGGGCCGAACAACGAGGCACTATCATTTCAAGAGGACTTCAATCATACACGTTTCTTCTTCGTCCACGTCGTAGTCGGCCACTGTATCCAAGGGCATCATTCGATCACCGTCGAACATGAGTGTGACTGGCTGGTTTTTGTCGATCTTGTGGCGAGTCTTGTAAGCACTTGCGATGTGTGCAACGGTGGTGCTCTGACAACTGAGTTAGTATATGGACATAGGCCATCATGTTGATGTATCGCGTCTTTGCATACGCTGAAGGAACAATCTCGACATACCTCTTTTACAGTCAGTTTGAAATCGGAGTAGCCCTTCGCTTTTAGGACTAGCCGGAACCGCTTCTCTTCGAGTTCGGGCTCCGGTTCCGGAGTTGGAGTCTTTTCTCTCGTCACAACAGCTGCTTCGGCTGCCAGCTTCTTGGCTAGAGCTGCAGCGGCATCTTCCTTCTTACGCTGCTTGTAAACGTCTTCTGTCCAAGCTTCGACGTGGATCTTGGGAAGATTGACGTCATCGTATATGTTGGAGTCTCCTTGAACAGAGACGTTTCCGCTATCGTCGACTTGTATTCCTAATCGCTTTATTGATGTGCTGTCGTAGAGACGTGTGCCCTTCCACGTGAAGAAGACGCTGCGTGTCATTTGCTCCGAGAACTTCTCCTTCCCACACCATGCCAGCCTTGGCTTCCCGATGGTGCTGTCTACTCTGACCTTGACCATCAATGGCTTCGCATCAGGCATCTGTGGATCAATCAATAGCTGTACTATAGGCGCCTTGGGAGCATCGCCATTTGCCTGCGCCTTGGCTGCCGCGACACGCGCCCGTGCCCTTGCCCGTAATGCAGCGAATGCGGGGTCTCCGTCGTCATCGTCGTCGTCGTCGTCGTCTTTGATCTCTATAGGGGACAGTTTCGATGGCCGGACGGCTATGTCTTGTCTGAAGTCGGAAGCGGGCGATTTGTAGTCAATGGCAGGGTTGTCGTTGACAGGCTTGGAGACATAACCGGAGTCGTCGTCTTCGTCTGAGTCGCCCAGGTCAATCACGTGAGACGCTTTTTGAGGCAACGAGATGCTCGAGGAAGCGGACTTGGTCAAGGAGTCGTAGCGTGCCGTGAGCGAATCGGGTGGAGGACGGGATGGCGCTGGAGAGACAGATGTGATGCTGCGCCTGGGCAATTGTCAGCGCTGACAGTTAGATGAAGGTGAGATGCGCACGCTTTAGCAGCAGTCCTGCCCACCCGTTCCTTGCTGGTCGAGCCGTGTTTGGGTGGGACAAGCTCTTCGCTGTCGTCTGATACGCGGCGTCGCTTTTGGTCGCGCGGTTCAGAGTGTTTGCGCTTTCTCGCCGCTTCCGCTTTCTTTTTCTCCTCTGCCCTTGTCCTAACCTGCTCGGCAACTATGTCTTTGAACTCATTGGAGTGGCTAAACATGTCCTCGCTGTCTTTCTTGGGCGCATCCTGCCATGCTGCGCGCTTGAACAGGCTGCGCTTCTTGGGTGGTGCGGCGCTTGCGGTCGAGTCCGTCATTGCTCGCGCGATGCCATGAGCAGCCGAGTTGGATAGAGGATAATGTTTGCACTATCCCGAGGTAGCGTCCAGGCGAGGAGAGTATCGCTGTGTGTTGGGGAGGCGCGGACAGGTGCAGGTGGGGCTTCAACGCGCAGTCACGCTTCTCGCGATAGATGAGGAACACACTTGGTCTGTGCACTCTTCCTTTCCACCATCCAACATCGCCGTCTTCCCACTTCCATAGCCACCAGCAGCCGAATTTGGGAACCATCAGCTCGCCAGATTCATCACCATGTCCACCAACGGCGAAAGCCCAGCACCCGAAGCCGCCGGCGACTCAAGAGATCCTAGCGGCTTTCTCAGCGAGATCATCGGAGCTCCCGTCACTGTCAAGCTGAACTCTGGCATCATCTACAAAGGTACTTCCTCACGTGCCCTGCACCTACGTCAACTACTCATGTCTAAATAGGTGATCTCCAGTCAGTAGATGGCTACATGAATATCGCATTGGAACGATGCAAGGAGGTCTCTGAGGGACGCGTCACTCGGAATTGGGGGGATGCTTTCGTCCGTGGTAACAACGGTATCTTATCCTCCACTCAGATTCTCACTTCGCTTCATACTAATTCACCTTCAGTTACATACATTTGCGCAGACAATGCGTGAGGGACTATGAATTTGCAGTTCTTTTTGGAGGAGCAGGGCGGTAACAGACCCCATGTGATGATTGACGAACCATGCTATCCACATAACTAAGCATCAATGAGAGTTTGAACGACCATTGTAAAATATGCACTCGACGCCTCCACAAACCATGCAAGATCAAGCTTGCTTGTCTGGCGGCGCAGGTGGTAATAGTCGTGAGGGCTTATCCTTTGTAAGAACTCACCTTCACTGAGCTGTACCCTAATCTGGCCGTTGGTGACGACTCTAGACCTGTCTCTCGCACCCAACAAAAGTCACATTCCACTTTCCCCTTCACCATGTCCTCACTATCTCTTAGAAGTACAATCCCTGTTAAAAAAACGGATTCACCTGCGCACAGCGCTACCACGATGCGCCTTGCACTGTTGAACGGTGCAAACGCTGTGGAAATCTCGACGCGCGGCTGTTTTCAACCTGCACAACAACAACACGCGTGTCTACAATCATTCTCAATCTGCTCTTGAGAGTTTTTCGAGCATCGCCGCGCCCGCACCGTTTGCGATGTGACTGGCATGCACTAACCTTCTCAACTGATTCAGCCCAACAGTCACCGAAGCCATGACGATTGCTAGAGTCAAATCTCGCGTCCGATTTCCCGGCCGGGCCAAGCGAGATAGAAAGAACAGAAAACACATTCCAGAAAAGTCGAAACCAAAGAAGACAAACAACGATACGCATGGTCCGACAAAAGCCCCCAGAGGTAGAAACCTTTGCTTCGGACGCTATTATCACCAGATGAACCCGCTAACCGGCTCAGTCTACATGATTCTTGTTGAAATCGATAATCGAATTTATGATGATAGCAATGCTGTTGACGATGATACGGCATCTTTCCTCAAGAAGCGTGTACTAACTACTGATGATCAAGAGTCTGATGGCGCCTTCAAAAGCGGTCTTAGAACTGCACTAATACTCTGCAGGATCCCTCTGGTTACAGAAAATCCAGATGTCGCTGGTGGCGATGCTGATGAGTACGATCACGAGCCGAGCGGCGCCTCTAATGACGGCCACTCAGCTGAACCGAAAGAGTCCTGTGTTCCGTCTGTCTCAGTCATTCTAGACGCGCCAGAAAGCGTCACAGATGAGAATGACGAACCACCCAGCTCCCTTCTGATGCAAGCACCACTATGGGCGTGGCCAGCGGAGTGGTTTCCGGCAGGCTCTATTCCTGCAGCACCAGCGACTACAACAGGTTCATCTTCAGAGGTGAAATGCGGTACATCAAATTCATCACTAGTAACGACAGACAAAACGGTAGATTCATATCGAGCCAAGGACGAGACAATAGATCCATCGCCAATGACAGAAGATAGCACAGTAGGTTCACCACCAGTGGTTGGAGAGTCCGTGAAAGTCTCGTCATCGGCGACAGCAGACAACACGGCCGTCTCGTCATCAGTGATATCAGAAACTATATCAGATCTCTCGTCAGCCTCGGCAGAGACTGTATTAGATCTATCATCAGGATCGGTAGGTGTCGCAGCAGACTCGTCATCAGCGGCAACAGTTACTGTGACAGGTCTACATCCGGGCGCGGCAGTTACTACAGTAGACTCGACTTTAGTAACGGCAGCTCCAACACCAAATTCTGGTCCAGTGGTGGTGAAGAGCACAGCAGCACCCTCTCTGGGACCATGGCATCGATGGTTCGTTCGTCTCTTCGCGGGACGCAAATCCAACAAGCGTGATAGTCCTCCTCAATCAACTTGCGAACAGCCCATCTCTATCATATCCTGGACTAGAGAGCGCAGTAGTTCCGAAGCAGACGTTGTCCTACCTCTACTGCCACGTCTCGAACTCCCGAGAGTCCTTACAGAAACTCGCCGTAGGAAGAACAGGGTCATCGATCGCCCGGGTTATGCCATCGACATCCTTCAAGCGCCTTATCATGACTTCATTGGCCGTGCTGTCCTGGAAGGAGATGCAGATGACGCGAGAGCAGTCCAACGCGGCTTCAAAGTAGCAAGTAACTCCCACACCGTCCCACTCGCTCAACACCGCAACAACTCTGACAGTAGTCTGCTGGACCGCGACGGAGATGCTTGGGCCGATTGGAACAAACTGAATATCACTGCCGATGCCATGCCTTTCGCAAAATCTCAGTCAGACACCAACTTGCTACACCCTCGGACTGGCGCTCGGATGGCGCGAAACACCAATATGTACAGCGCCGAGTGGACCAAGGGCCAGACTGGCCACTGCTTTCTTGAGGATGCTGGACATCGATACCCTTTTGGAGGACTGGGCTTGTAGTGGTTGAGGAGCAAAATGTCTTTTGAGCTATCGCAGATTGGATACTCCCACTCAGGACCGACTTGGTGGGGAACGGACCGAGTCTACACAGCCTGTATAACCAAGTATGGATCGCGCCCACTTACCGGGGTTCAAGCTAACCGTTGAGATCTAGATTTCTTATTTTCCTGGTTTTCTTGATTTTCTTTCTTGCTTCCGGAGCATTGGAGTGGGGCTTGCTGCTCGCGCGAATGGCGTCTAAGCTATCACTGCTTCTTCATGGCCTAGTGCCCGCGGGCTAGAAAGGGCGTAGTTGTCGCAGCGCAGCTCCACATTTGGATTACGAATTGCGACGTGGTCCGAATTGGAAGACTTTGAGCTACAGGTGGCATGTCCTAGTCCCGTTGAATCGGGCCGAGAGTCGGCCGTGCTCATGCTTTTCTCTTACCATTGCAGCCCAGTGTGCTATTAGGCGAATGTGGTCGAACAGGTCCGGCATTTGGCATCTATACGGTGTTCGGTTGATTTTTGTTAATAGTAATGTTTAATGTAATTCAAAATCAAGATCACAAGACTTCGTGATGCGTGGTTTGTTGTAAAATAACAATGCATACGCTTATATGTGTGTATCATTGTATCGTATTTACGCCTAGGGGAAATCGTGCGGCCAAAAAACAGAAAACAAGCATGCCTCCATCATTCGTTATATCATAGCTCTGCAATTCCAGCAGCGAGCGTAAAAAGATGATCCTCCCATTCCTCTCCATCTCTAGTTCGCATCACCTATCGGAGTGAAAACGACCTTGGCACTAGGCTTGGGCAGGATGGTCGATCTCCAAGTGAACAAGCGTTTCGCCGTCGGGTCGACAAGCTCACAGTCGTAGTTGAGGATCACTTGGCCAAGAATGACCTTCATAACAGCAGAGGCATAGTATCTTCCTGGGCTACATATTCCGTTAGCAAGATCTTCATGTGAAACAGGAAAGATCAACTAGGCTCAAGACTTACCAGGCCATTCTTCCGGTTCCCCAGACATGGAAAGTCATGTCAAAGTCAGTCAGCTTTGTAGGCTTCTTCTGCATGATATCGAAAGCGCCATTAGCATTTTCGAGACTCTTGACGAGCTCCGGGTCGGCGAAGCGGAAACCACTGAAAGTTGTTGCCTCGGGGTAATCGACAGGGTTCGTCATGATGGCTCGAACGGGTGTGCAGAACCAGTCTCCGACGTTGACGTGGGTGCCGTCTTTGAGCGAGAAGGGCTGTAGTGCTGAACGACGTGTGCTTTGTGACTCGACTGGTGTCAGACGCGCAGACTCCTTGATGAAACTGTCAAGAAGAGGAAGTCCTACACCACTCTGTTCAAAAGCGGCATATTGAGACTCGCACTCCTTTCGCAGCGGCTCCGCGTATTCGGGATGTAAGCAAAGGTCATGGATAGCAAAGGTCACAGTGGTAGAGACGGCATGAACAGAACCGAACCAAATCGCCATCAGTTCGTGAACAACACGCTGAGGTGTCCATGGCGCATTCTTGGGTGAGGTCTCCATGATCCATTGGATGCAGTCGGCGTGTTGAGGGACCTTTTGACCCAGTTTAGCTGCATCTCGCTCAATGCATCGCTCTTGTGCGATTGGTAGAAGCCTGTTGAAGATTGTGGCATGTGACTTGAGTGTACGAGCAATGATACCACCGACGATGGGAGCCATGAACCCAGGTAGTAGGCGGACAATCTCAGCACAGATCAGGGTCTCCTCGATGTATGCGAGGGCGGAGACCATGAATTGCTCATCCTTTGCCAGATCTTTTCCGAAGAAAGACACTGCATTGGATAGGACAACGAGCTTCACAGTCATGTGATATACGTCCGACTGCTTCTTTCCTGTCAATAATCGTCAGTTCGGAGTCAAAGTCAAATATTGCATGCGTTATTACCATTGATGACTGGGTGTGTGGCATGAAGCTCCTGGAACCTAGTGCGGATGATGCAAGTGAGATCAGGAAGGATCTTAGGCAGGTTGTTGGTCAAAAGCGTGCGAAGGGCGCGGATGAATCCAACACCCTCAGTACCACGCCGGTCAAACCAGTTGAAGCCGTGCCTGTGGAGCGTTAGTAAGCTTAATGCAAGACGAGCATCATCTAGATACTCAAAGGTCATCTTACATAGTATACATGGGCTGTAGCATCTACATCTTGTTAGTCATAAAGAAAAACAAAGCCTATCGAGATGCATACCTGCTTCGATGCTGCTTGGAGGGACAACACCGTGTCTGGCGCATTGTCTAGCTCCTTGATTTGCCGAGGATCAGAGACGAAGACATAGCGATTGTCCGGGGCGAAGAGCTCGAATGGTTTTCCCTTCGCCTCATCAAACGCCTTCTGGATGATCTCAGGACCCCAGAAGAGATATGCCCATGCTTTGTACCGCTTGGTGACAGGTCTGAAGATGGTCTTCAGGATCTTTGCTGGAGAAGAAGCCTATTCGACTCGTCAATGTGATGAAAGAGAGGAATGTGTTTTTGATACATACCAGCTTCTTCGCGACCAAGGCCTTGTAGAAAAAGAAAATCGATATCAAACCGAATATGCTGCTCGCAGCATTAACTGCCAATGGGCTAAGGCCGGGCAGATGTATGTTCTGCATCTCTAGAAACTCCATGATGGCAGTAAAGTTTGAGAGTGAGAATTTAGATTGAGGCTAACGGACGTAGGGTATTCAGCATTGGTACATATACAAAGCAACCATCTTGACGGTGCTCTAGCTACAGGTTTTGCTACGCGGAACGGCCGGTTGAAGCGAACTGTTACATTACGTCTAAGCCTCTATGCAGTGGACTAAATTCGTCGTTAGTTAGTTGAACTGTGCCGCTGTCCTGCAGTAAAAACCGATCAATATCAGCCCACCTGCATGCTACACAAGCTGCATCACTTCATGTGAGGTCTCACCTATCGTCGTGTTTCGCTTTCGACAGAAAGGCGACCAACTGACCTTCTCTTAGCGCTATCACAGCGTCTGCTATCCTAGAAAGTAAGTAGACCCGATGCAACTACAACGGAAATCACGAAGCGTATACGCCCACAAAGCTGGAATAGCCAACGGACCGATCCACAAAGGTGTAGCGCGGGAATCGGGGAAAACGGTTGAACGTCTGGACGGGTCCGAGGCTGCGGCTCTAATTTGAGGCCAGTGCGCAAACGAGTGGTCGAATCAAAGCTAGATGAGGAAGCACTCCGTGCGCTAAATGACGGAAGAGCTTCTTGAGGCCCCCTGGCCGTTAATACGGCTAAATCATGCCGTAATCGTTGATTGATTGCTGTCAAAGAAGACGGCGAATAGGTACGTCTCCACGGCAAGTTATCGCGCTCCAGGATGACAGATGCAAAAGCGCGCTTAAGCAGTATTGCCCCACACGGCACCACTACCCAGAAATAAGACCGACAGCCCATGTCTGATTGGAGGACTGAGAGTCTAGTGGAGTCAAATCCGACGTCGGTCTTGAATCGTGATATGTACCTCAACTGCAACTAAAGACGCAACTGGGAAGAAAGAGTCTACTTACCGCTAATTCCCTGGCCGCAATGCTTCTGGGAAAAGGTCCTACTTCGGTCGTCCTTGTGTGAGAGGCCAGGTGATCTAACACGTCTTCATGTCTCTAGGATCTTTTAAAGTCGTTGCAGGGTTTAATCGTCATCGCAGACGGATATATCGATAGCGGGTCGTAAAGGTAACATCGCGGGTAAGATTATCTGCACGCAATGAATTCGAGGGTCCGCTTCTCCATAGGTTCCTTTTCACTCGATTATGCAACACTCCTCCCACGTGTCCGGTTCCAAATGACGCGGTTGCCCACTGGCCCGGCTTGGATCCCGGAAAACAATGCTTGCGCACGTGCGAATATGCATTGGCTTGATTATGGTGAAGCAAATCAACGGGTTTCGTGCACATATCTCGAATGCTTTCTCGTTACATGTTGAGATATACGAAGACGCTTGCATGTAGTAGCATGTCTTTAGCAGGACCGATGAAAGAATCCGTGATCCATAACCGTAGCAGCTGGGTCCAAGCGACCATGGTGTGCCTTGGCATGTATAATCGACTCCAGACGAATCTACTGGATCTTGAACGGAAGATAGCGAGTAGTTGGGACTTTCATGTGAAGGAAAGCTCCGGCCACAACTCGAGAAGCGACGAACTAGCGCGCACACAGCATACGTGTGCACGGGGCGAAGATATTGGTGTTCGATACGGACCCATCTCCACATCCAAGTTCGAGATGCACTCAAACATCTGTATAGATCGCGCCACATGACGCAGCTCCTTCTGGCCGAGGTTTGTCGGATTGATAATGGTTGAGACCATTTCCAGACTACCTGGACCACAGCTCCACCATACCTTTGCACCAAACCTTTGGTTAATGGTCTTGTTCCCGAACCCACGCAATTCGCTCCTGGAGTGTGATCTCGAACCGACGTTATGAGTTTGACTAACATGTGAGATTAACCAAGGCCTCTGAAAGACCAGATGATTGTGATATTGTCGTGGACGACCCCACGCCCATCCCAGATATGGAAGTCTGCCGACCCGAGCCGTGTGTGGAGCCGCGCGGCTGACGCACTGTCGTACAACCTTCCTCAAAGAGTGAAAACTACTGTGACAGCCTGTGCAAGTAGTCTGCAGTAAGTGCATTGCATGCTGCAACACCGGAGCAACTCTGCTACCCTGAAAATCATGCCGTTCTATGGCCCACTCAGCCGCGCCAGCACGATGGGTCGTTGGGGGCCTATCGATTGCAGAATTCGAGTTGGTAAGCCTTCGATGATTGGTTCGGTCAGCTCGGTGAACGCCGCAATTAACGGCATATTCGGTAGAATGTATAGGTTAGCAGCCGCGTCTGGAATCCTACAATCAATATATGCAAAGCAAAGTGCTAGCTTGTTGGAAAGACTCGGCTACTACATACCTGCTGCAAGGAATCCTTGCTCGTTTCACAGCGCCCAATAAATATCCGGTTTAACGCAGAGGCTGTCAGAAGAAACTTGGACGGCGGTACAAGTCTTGCCGTCGAAGGCTCGTTGTGCTGGACAGTGTACTTCAAGCGTGTAGATTGTCGAATACTCCTCATTGTTTCTATGACCTAAGTCGGCCAAGAATGGAGCTTATCATCACGCCCACGCAAGCACTTGTGCCTTTGTCAGTTCTGTTCCTGGTGTACCACGCAATTCGAGCATTATTCTTTGGAAAAGCAGAATCAAAGCATTGGGAAGAACTACCGGTCGTGGGCCTTCAGAAAGGATGGTTCGAATGGGTGTGGGCAACGTTGAAGTCCATCCGAAAGACACAGGACTGGGCATTCGAAGGTTACCGCAAGGTATGATTGTCGTCGACATTGATAGAGGTATACTCATTCTCGCTACTGCAGTTTGCTGCCGTGAACAGCCCTTTTATTCTGCCTAGCATTGACAGAGGAGCGATGATCATCCTACCTCCACGTTTGATCAAGAAGGTTTACTCGCTCCCAGAAAGCACGCTCGACATCCATGCGACGCAAAGTGAGACCATTCAAACAAAATGGACAGTCTGGGACAAAGAGGTAGCCGACAATGACTTCCAGATCAACGTTGTGCGTCATCAGATTACACGGAATCTCGAGCACCTGACGCCGCTGATGGCCGATGAACTTGACAGAGGCTTCGAGCGGTGGTGGGGAGGTAAAGACGACACCGAGTGGAAGGAGGTCGCAGTCTGGGACGCGTGCTTGAAGTTGATTGCTGGTGCGAGTAATGGCGCCTTCTGCGGCGCACCGCTGTGTAAGTCGGCAATAGTGCCTAACATGAGGGATTTAGAAACTGATTCTATCGTAGGTCGAGACGAGCAGTTTTTGAACGACCTTAGAGATCATGCGATGAGCATCTTCGCTGGCGCTATGCTTATCAACGCGACGCCCAAACCGCTCAAACCTGTCACTGGTGCTCTCGTAGGATCCACCTGCTGGTATTTGCGACGAAAAGCAATGAAGGGTTGTTTGCCTTTTGTAACAGAAAGATTAAATGCTACTGCCCAGTTCAAGGCTGATGCGAAATGTGGATGGACCCCACCAGTAGGATTCCCCCTTGCATGAGATATGCACATCAATATACTTACGCGTTCCCAGAAAGACGGTCTCCAATGGTTGATTGACGAGTGCTACGCCGCAGCCGCGAAAGGAGACGTGGGGCAACTGGACCCCAAGCGAGTGGCACATCGTCTTTTGTTGGTTAACGACATTTCTCTGCATTCGACCAGCTTTACTGTACAGAATGTGATCCTGGATCTCTTCAGCTCGGATCCAGCAATGGGCTATGTTAATGCACTACGCGAAGAAGCTGCATCGGTGCTTGCCAAGGCAGGTGGTGTATGGACACGCGATGCAGTGCGAGATCTGAAGCTCATTGACTCGATGATCCGTGAGTCAATGAGACTCAATCCGTTTGCGATTGTTGGACTTCCGCGAACAGTATGTATGCTGTCAGATACGATGGAACTGAAACTAATAAGCCGCAGGTCGTGCATCCCGAAGGTATCCGACTTCCGGTGTCCAACGTTCATGTACCACAAGGAACCATGATTGCAGTTCCCATGGAGCCAATTCATTATGACGAAAGCATTTATCCTCAAGCACGCAGCTTCAACGCGTTTCGTTTTGCGGATCCGAACAACGTTACTAGTATTGTCGACAATTTCGCAACCAAGGACGATCTCGAAGCCACCAAAGCCGACGCAAGCGACCGTAAAGGCAAGTCCACTGCTACTCTTGATGACGCTTTTCTTGGTTTTGGGTTTGGACGGCATGCGTGTCCTGGACGATTCTTCGCTTTGAATGAGATGAAGGTCTTCATAGCACACATGCTGCTAAACTATGACGTTGAGCACATGGCAGTCAGACCAAAACCTCTGGATACTGTATGGCTGAAGCTTCCGTTACATGGTGGAAAGATCCGAGTGCGTCGAAGGCCGGCAGTGGTGTAGATAGGACAAAACATGCTTTGCTTATCTGTGTATCGGGTGCAACCCTACGATCGCTACTTTGATGATACGACGTAATCCATGTGTATCTGCCAGAATGGGGAATTGTACCAACGGTAGAGAACAGTCGTGGGCAAGACGTAGCCCGATTGCCTGAGACGGATGTCGCTTCCTCGACCGCAACATACAGTTTCGCACGAGGGGCCATAGCACGTAAAATTTGAGCCGAAGTGATGGATGCGTATCAGCGCAATCTATGCAGCATATGGTGGCTAAGCATGGGAGTTAGCATTGTACGTTTCTGCTTGGTCTGGGTGGAAAGAAGTATCCCCTGAGGAAAGAGCTAGACACCCACTACGGGCCTGACGCTAAGACGCATGACGATTCACACAAGGGTGGCAACGAGACAGACTAGGAGCGTTGGTGTGCAAGACGAAATCGGTGCATATTTCTTGTGATTGCCATGTGCTGCTCAAACACTCCCACACTAATTGTACGCGTGCTTCGAGACTGACCACGTGATTGGGTACTAGCGTATAACGAATGCCACGAACGGCAAGCTGCTTTCGGAACGCGTCGTCGATGCGCGTCCACTCTTCTGTTCCAGTTGGCATCAAGCGCGTCCCATCGTCGACAAGCCAAGTACAGCCAGCTTCACATAGCATCACGACGCCCACCTTCATACGCCGCTCGAGCTCTCCCCACTTCTCCGATGTATTGGGTGTGATCTGATCTGTGTAATACTGACAGGAAACAGGAGATATATGTGATCAGCAACAGAGACGTCGACTCGATGCAAGTACTGGATGAGTGGCTAAACTTCGTCGATACTGACGAAATTCTACCATTATTCGGAAAACTATCCATGGACTACGAAATTTCTAATCTACACTATACAAATTGGGACAACTCCTCAGAGAAAGTGGTAGCCGTGGTTCGCGACCAAAATTTTGCTCATCTTCAACAACTGGAGTCGTTGGCAGAGCTGCGGACTGTCCTTGATTTGCTCAATGACCATGGTGAAAAGAAGATGCTGTTCGACACATTTTCTCATCTTCTTACATTGGAGGCAAGCTCGTCACTTTCGTTATATCACACTCAAGTAGCATTAAACCTGCTCGACTTCCTGCTTGACGCGGCATACCTCATCCCCGCATTTTCCCGATCCCAAACCTGGCGGGCTCATAAATCAGTATTGGAGGACAACCTCGTCCACTTGGCTTTTACTTTACTGAGACAGCTGGTTCTTCTGTCGCAAAATATGGGCAGCTTCATTCGGCGTCCGATTCAAATGCTGTTACAAGAATTAAGATGCATCTCGCTGCATGAATTTGCCGAGTTTGTGAAGCTCATTTCTCTCACTGTTCGCTCTTCCGAAACTACTTTGGATCTTCTCCTCGAGGTTCTAGAGCCGAAAAGCTCACGGCTGCTAGTTCAACGACCAACTGCCATTCGACAATTCACGTCGTCTTTATCTGGCATCGCGCTTGATCGTATAAAAGAAGCGTCTTGGGGTGATAACCTGCATTCACAGGAAAATCTCAAGCTCAGCATTGATAGTTACAGTGACGCCTGTACGATAGTCAAGAGCGTACTCCGTGTCGACTCCTCTTTAATACGATACTCAAGGCTGGAGACCACGTTCAGCTCCGCGCCATGGTCCAGCAGAATGCTGTCTTGACAGGTTACGACATCTCACTTTTCGAACGCCATTACAAATTACCACCAAGAGAGGACGTTGCCAAAGTCATGCTTAATATGCGGTATCACATGCATCGCTCCATTTGTGACTTCAGTTCTTCCGAATTCTACGATGGGAAACTTCACACTGCTGTGGCCGAAGACGCGCGTCCTCTGAGTTGTTCGCCTTTTCCCTGGCCCAGGAAGAACCGCATGGTCTGGGTTGAGTGTCCGGAATCTGAAGAACTGTACTGCCAATCGAAATGGAACGTTGGCCAAGGCGTAACCTGCAAAAGTATCATCGAACTTCTCAAGACACCACCACCGTCTCCAAAATTACCTGAGGCTGCGACAGTTTCTGGTGAATCTCCATCTATCGTCATACTGATATCCTACAATCACCAGAAGGATTTGCTTACGTCCGACATCCCCAACGTCGAAGTCTGCTCTATCGACAGTTTTCAGGGTCGTGAGGCAGATGTAGTTGTGTTTGTCACTGTTCGGTGCAATACTTATTACGAATCAGGCTTCCTGGCTGACATGCGACGATTGAACGTAGTCATGACAAGGGCGAAAGCTGGGATTGTGTTGATTGGGCACCAGAATACACTGGCTGGTGTGGAAGCTGAAATGGTTGAGCATGAGAGTAAGCTGGTTTGGAGGAGACTACTAGGACAGCGCGAGGTTGTTTCCTTGGCAGCTCGAGCCGAGAGTGGTCGTTCCAAACGTTGATGTGGAGTATCGTTTACCACCTTCCTCTTCAGATTGTACTCTTGATCTGAGGCGGCAATTTTCCACTGCTACTTTCGGCTCCTCTCCTTCTTGCGATCCTTCATGACTAACATCCGACCTCATCCTGCGTTTATTGCATGAAGAAGTCCAAGCGAGACCCACAGTAACCTCCGCGGAGTCGTCGGGAGTCGGCAGCCAAGCCGTGCGGCAACCTGTCACTGACATTTCATGGGTATTGGCGAGACAAAATTTCCCTGTGTTGCATCGGCGTATACCTATCCCGAGCCAATAATTGAAGCATGGAGATCAATACGCCTGTGCTTCAGGTCCAGCAAATGGCTCCTACGATGCTATCCACCGCCTTGGTTTTCAGCATGGCCTTTGCAAAGTTGAAATTAGTACGAGGTAGACCATCAAAAGTCAGATCCTCTATTAAAGTCCTAACTTTGGTACTCAGTCATGTTAAGAATTGCATAGCAAGAGCCATCCCTGTTCACAATGACCGTTAGTACACAAAACTAGGCCTCCAGCGGACCCAGAGGTATATTCTTCATTATCGTGGCCACGTTTGTTGAGAAATTTAAATGTAACTGTCTCGCGGCAGGCTTGCCTAATCTTTTCGATTCGAGAGTTGATGTAGGCTCTACGGACGCTGTACCACGCTTGACGGAGTGATGCCTACGCCCTTGTCAATCTACCTCAAATCTTTGTCATGGTCGTCATGTATCGCCGAGATCGTAGGCTGGTTTTGCCGCGCGCGCCGGCTCACCCGCATCCTCGTACTCGACCACCAGATGCTGCGTTCGCGTGATGCCGGAGCTTTGCTTGACATTCTGGCTCTCGTCACTGCCGGGTCGATGGTTCGGGCCCAGAATGCTGTCCTGGCTATCGTGTCCCAGCGTCCCTTCAGAAACACCCGACTTCCCATGTTGCTTTGTTGACCGAAGAGTCTTGCTTCCGATCGTTGCGAGCTTCAACCCAGATCGATCATTCGATTTGTAGCCACCTCGGTCCCGCCCACCTCCTAAACTACTAAAGAGGCCGTGGCCAAGGAGTTGGTCGAACAGTGGCTGTAATGTTGGTATGCATGCGCCGATGATGATAGCATTACCCTCGATACTGGTCCAAACGGTAATATCGGCCGTATCGTCTATACAGTAGTTTCAGCATCTATGGGTGACCTCGAACGCGGCTCTACTCACAGCTAAAATCCGCGCTCGCAAGCGCAGGTAGCCGAGTCGATTTATATACAGCTACAACTGCGGCACTAGGTCAAGCGTGAGCGAATGTTATCACATATGATATGCGAGCTTACATGGAACCTAGCCCAAGCGCAACGCTAAGGACAACCTTTTTCTTGAAGTTGATTTGCAGTTTGTAAAGGACAATAGCGGGATATATGGCGAGGTAGAGATCCACTATGGCGGAAAATGCTTCACTATGGTCAGTTATTGGCCTGGATTGCTCGTGGGAGACATACTTCCGGCTACAATGGCGTAATATATCAGAATCCATGGGCTCCAGCAGGTGCCTTGGACGGAAAAGTCCCACTGCGATCGAGTTGGCGTGCACTGCGCGAAGATGATAATAACACAGCCGAATAGGATTATCAAGCAACCACCAGATATACTCCACAGGATTATCTTGTGTCTCTTGCTAGGATTGGTGATTCTCGTCAGGAGCGCGACCACAGCTAGTTTAGGAATAGCGAACGAGAGTATCCCGGGGCAGAAGCCTGCGAGGGTGTACAAGATTGCGCCGGACTTCTGTTCATCGGAGAGCAGAGCGAAGTGACGCCCGTTGCCAGCCTGTACAGCTGCTATAGTGAGGCCAAGCATGATGTAGCCACACATCTGTTCGAAGCGTCAGCGGGTTGGGTCCGTTACGCGTGCTTCGATGAGCACTTACCATTGACAAGATGATCAGCCAATCGTCAAGACCCATCATTGACAGTATTCTGCATCTGACATAGAGTCTCGCAGCAACGAATATTGTAGCGACTGACGTCAGTGCGATGCATACCGCCAGAACCATAGGCCCCTTGTCCTCGTGGGCGAGTTCCGGAGGGAGTTCTTGTGCTGCTGCCATGATGCGACAAGCAAAGATGCCAAAATCAAAATGAAGTGATCGCAGTATTACTGCAGCATACGCCCTTGGATCTGGGTTTGATATCCGCCCAACGGGACGTCAGACGCTCAAGCGTCTTATGCATTGCGCGTGCGAACAAAAGCACTGTTGCCTTCTGACTGGGGGCTCCGGTTTGGGACAGTTGCATACTCACAGCAAAACAAAGAGATCCCATCAGGCCATGGGCCGCTTTCTGAGGTAGGGGGTGCAACGATCATCCAGTGCTGAGCGGCTCTGGTGGACCAAGGTTCCACATGTATTCGCACGTACATCGGTTGCATGGATGCGACGAAATTGTGCCATGATTGCATACGGTATGAGATAGATTTATCCAGCTTCGTGTGGACAATTTGACCTCCATCGTTGCTGTTTCGCGCAATAAGGAGCAAGATACAAGCTTCGATTAGTACGGAGTATGCTGCTAGACAATGGCGGGATCCGCTTGGTTGCTCACTGACTGACGGACACCATAGAACGACTCCTGGAGCAAGCGTTGTGGCGCTTGGATCAGCTGGTTCGGTATCCACATGCCACTGGTTCCGAAGCGGTTATTGCCTTGGTCGCCGTGCCGCACCCCTCTTCGGTTCCAGTGCCACGGGCCGTATTGTGGGTTTTACTCCACATCAAGTCTTTTCTCAGCGTCATTCGCATTATCCTGCGCAAGTCGAAACATCCGTTCCCGCACATGCCGCGTGCCGAGTATCTAGTCCACGGCGGCATCTGTATAGCCTCCTCTTGCTGATCTTCCAGAGTTCTCAAAGACCTTCTAGAAATACCAACCAACGCGAGACCTGATGACTGACGCAGAACAATCACGGTTGACCACCTGGCGCCCATGGAGGAACCGGAGCTAATCCTAGAAATGCGTGTCAGGTAATCCCTTTTACCACCGGAAAGCCATAAAGAGGATGCCAAGATGGGATACAGCATTGAAGTGGAGATTAGGCCAACTGACTTTACCTAAATGTCTCTCCCCTTGGTCGAAATACGCAACTCTGGCTACGAATGCTCCGCGGACTCACCATCGCTCTGCCAGCGTATGCCAACTCAAGCTATCATCTACATCGGGTTCTTGTTCCCGTCCGTTATGGCATCCTTCTCGTCTGATAAGGCAGTGCCATGAATCAAGAGCTGTTAACCACGTTGGCAATGGTGTAGTGCATCTCTGTGGCAAGGTTAGCTTGAGAGAACGGACTCTGACTTATAAAGGAAAGAGAGCACCATCATCGTCCCCGGCAGTACATAAAACACATTTGGGATCTCTTCATCCTTGCCATTATCCATTGCTCCGCCACTCCTTCTTCATAACGTTCGATCGTGTCTAAATCTTTGCAAAGATGCTAGTTGACGTCAGCATTGCAGTGCGTGCGAACGATCCAGGTGCCGTTCCATGCCTGCTACAGAAGCTTTCGGAGTTTGGGGGTAAACCTTCTGTTGATCACAATGATACTCGTATGGAAATGCTTTCGCACGCCAAAGCTCTTGTCAGGGCGCTACAGACTCCCCGTGAAACCATGATTGAACAGAATTGGGCGCAGGTATGTTGAATCTCTGTTGGCCTCGCCTGAGCTAAACTGTGTTACTAGCCGGGTTGTCATACTGCCATCACAACTTGCTATAATGCAGGTGTGTTCGGAGTGCTTGGGGACCAACCAATGAAGGTCGATGACATTGCAAGCAAGCTCGGGAAGCCTCGCGAGCTCTTAGGTGAGCTCTCATGTTGGCAAATCGTTCCGCTTTCTCGCTTACACGGTCAGCTCGCTTGATGAGGCACATCGCAGCCATGGGTTTCATCACTGAGACAAGTAGTGATGAATACAAGGCCACAAACTTTTCGAAAGCATTGACCATACCCATCATTGGAGATGGCTACCCAGCTCTGTAAGTGCTATGGCATGATTGATGCAATGTTAAAATGGGTACTGGGCTAACCAAATCAGTGGTGGAGGAGCCCATCAGTCTTGCAGCAAGTTCTCACAATATTTGGAGAAGAATAGTTACGAACTCACTACCGATATCACAAACGGACCTTACCAGTACGCATTCGGGACGGAGCTCGATATGTTTCGGTATCTGGATACCCATCCGCCTTTGGGACAGCAATTCAATAACCACATGGGTGGCTATCGGCAGGGCCGACCAAGTTGGATGGATAGCAACTTTTACCCAGTTCAAGAGCAGCTCATCCATGGCATGGACACCTCCAAAGACGCTATACTATTGGTAGACATCGGTGGAGGTTACGGCCATGATATTCAAGAGTTCAGGTAGGATGTCGTGCAAGCCTAAGTCTGACTCGCCTGCTGACGATACATCCAGGAACAAGTATCCTCAAGTCCCTGGTAGGCTTGTGCTACAGGATCGCCCGTCCGTTATCGAAGGAATTGAGCAACTGGATCCCATCATCGAACGTATGGAGTATGATTTCTACCTCGAGCAGCCATTGAAAGCTGCTCGAGCATACTATATGCACTCCGTGTTGCACGACTGGCCCGACGATGTGTGCCGGAGAATTCTGAAGCAGGTTGCCGGCGCCATGAAGCCAGGTTACAGCAAACTGCTGATCAACGAAAACGTCATTCCGGACACGGGTGCAGACTGGCAGGCCACCGCCTTGGATATGATGATGATCACCCTATTTTCTTCAAAAGAGCGGACGTATACCCAGTGGAGCCAGCTGTTGGAGTCACCCGAGATCGGTCTCAAGATTGTGCGTGTTTACAGTGTCAAACATTCGCAGGAGAGTCTGATCGAGTGCGAACTGGCGTGAATATTCGACGGCTGAGATGGGAGCCATTTAGACATCCGTAAGAAGTGGCATCTGCAAGATATACCCACACGGCCCTAGTTCTTTCCTGAGACTGCGCAAAATACATGACTTTGGCTTGAGGCGGTTCCTTGCACGTGTCTGATCTACCTCTGTCGATCTTACGTGTGGTTTGCGCCTTCCACTACAATAGAGGCTGACAATACCACAGGCAGCTGCTGCGCACTATCCAAGCATGAAATCTCTAGTGCACCAAGCAATGCAAAGATATATAGATCTTGCTCGCTATGCAGAATTGATTGTCGTGATGCCGATCCAGAAAAAGGAAGGTGTAGAGCCGGCGACCATTGAGAAAGCAGTGACATATCGAGATTCTCTGTCGGTGACATATCGTTTGTGAATTCGCCAACCGTATCGCCACTCACATATATACACGGGCAGGACTTGCGCCTTGTATACCAGATGTGAGAGGAAACGGTTTGCATCTTGACTTTCCTCGTGCGATCTTTTCCATAGGAGACCTTATCAATCACAACTTCAACATGGCCTGTGGGGGAGGCTGCTGTAGCCCTAAGAGTATAACCGCAGCTACTATCAAGCCAGAAGCAAATTCTGGAATGCTCACGGAGGCGGTAACAGAAACGACAAGTAACGCAATAGCGACGACGCAACCTGCAGTGGATGCAACACTGACGCCTTCCGGTTCCGAACCTACAGCCTTCTGGTCTGCTGTCGCCAACCCGAAGTATACGACAATGCAGCCGAAAGGTCCATGCTGTTCACCTTCAGATCCTACGAAGTCAGACACGTCGAAGTCTCCACGCAGTCCGTCAAAGCCAGCAGCAAATCCTAAGCCAAGCACTTCTTGCTGCTCAAGTTCAACACCTGTGGGACCAGAGCCAGTCAGCACATGTTGTCAGCCATCGGACTCTCAGAAGTCGAGAGCATCTGAATCTTCCTGTTCTTCATCAACGCCCACAAAGCAGGAGGCACCCAACTCCTGCTATTCGTCACCAGAATCTGTGAAGCCAAAGCTTACCAGCTTATGCTGTTCGCCGTCCGGATTCGTGAAGCCAAATCCAGCAACCCCATGTTGCAAATCACCTACGCCGTTGGAAACGGAAACCAAGGCGTACGGCGACGGCAACAGCAGTTCAACTCAGGCTGATCCTGCACCTGCTTGCAGTGCCGACGCTACAGATGGCTGCTGCGCAGACGATGGGTACAGTGTCTCTGTAGACACCTGTGCCAGTAGCTGTTGCGAACCTGGGCGAAGTGATTGTGCGGGCACGACTACGAAAACATCGAGGGAATCTTGCTGCACCTTCTCACCCCAGGCATGCGCAACTATCGGGGCCGAGACATCATGCTGTTCACCCACAAATGCTTCCAAACGCTGCGCTGACAAAAAGGTAGCCCTGATTGACGCGACTGAGATTGCGAACGGTTCGGATAACATCGACCTCGAGAAGGGCGGCGTTACACGTGAACACCTTGTCATCAGCGTATCTGGCATGACCTGTACAGGATGCGAGACAAAGCTACAGCGAACACTGGGTAGTCTCGACTACGTCAGCAAACTTCAGACCAGCCTGGTCCTTGCCCGCGTCGAGCTCGATATCAACACCAAGCTTGCGACTGTCAACGATGTGGTTGAACACCTCCACCGCACAACCGAGTTCAAATGCGAGATCGTCTCGAATCAAGGCTGTAGTCTGGATCTTATATGTTCGGGAGACCCAGCGGCTTTTGTCAATGGGCAGTGGCCTGATGGAGTATTAGACGTACGCCGCCTAAACAAAGATACAATCCGTGTGGAATACGATGCGAAGATTGTAGGAGCAAGGAACTTGATGTGTGACGAGTGGAGTCGGTCGTTGCAACTTGCACCGCCTTGTCCAGATTCTTCTTTGGAAGCTGGCAATAGGCATGTTCGAAACATGGGCTTGTTGACATTGCTCTCTGCCGCATTGACCATTCCCGTACTGGTCATGGCATGGGCACCTCTTCCTGAGCGCGAGATTGCTTATGGCTCCGCGTCACTCGCCCTCGCTACTGTCGTCCAAGTTGTCATCGCCGGTCCTTTCTACCCGAAAGCGCTCAAGGCATTAGTGTTCTCCAAGGTCATTGAGATGGATCTGCTCATTGTACTGAGCACAAGCGCCGCGTACATCTTCTCAGTCGTCTCGTTCGGCTACCTGGTCAGCGGAAACCCTCTATCAACGGGCGAGTTCTTCGAGACAAGTACACTGTTGGTGACACTCATCATGGTCGGACGATGGGTGGCATCGTTGGCGCGACAAAAAGCGGCAGAGTCCATCAGTATTCGTTCCTTGCAAACCCCTACTGCCATGCTGGTCAGCGACGACGGGATGGAGAAGGAGATCGATGCTAGGATGTTGCAATATGGAGACATCTTCAGGGTCGCTCCAGACTCGCGCATTCCGACAGACGGTACCGTCATCTCGGGTTCTTCGGAAATTGATGAATCGATGTTAACGGGTGAGGCTCAGCCCGTTGAGAAGCACACCAAGTCGGCCGTTATTGCAGGAACCATTAACGGAAGCGAAACGCTTACCGTTCGCCTAACCCGTCTGCCTGGCGATAATACCATCACGACGATTGCGGGTATGGTTGATGAAGCGAAGCTTTCCAAACCCAAGATTCAAGAGATTGCCGACACTGTAGCCAGCTACTTCGTCCCTGTTGTAGTGACCCTGACAATCATCACTTTCGTCATCTGGGTCGCCATTGGGGTTGCGATACGACATCAATCGGGCTCAGAAGCGACCATCGAAGCCATCACGTATGCCATCACAGTCCTAATTGTCTCGTGTCCTTGCGCTATTGGTCTCGCGGTCCCTATGGTTATCGTGATCGCGTCCGGTGTCGCAGCGAAGCGCGGTGTTGTCTTCAAGACGGCAGGTAGCATCGAAGTCGCGTATAGAACGACCGACGTAGTGTTCGACAAGACGGGTACCTTGACAGCAGGAAAGCTGGCGGTGGTGCATGAGGAATATGTTCAGGGTGGTAGTGTGGATGACGCCAAGTTACTTTTGGGTTTGCTTGGCAATGTCAAACACCCCGTGTCGGCGGCCATTGCAACACATCTCTCGTCGCAAGGTCTATCTGCTACAGCCGTACCAGACGCCAAGGTAGTCACCGGTAGAGGTGTCCAAGGGATGGCCAATGGTAAGAAGCTACGCGCCGGTAACTCGAGATGGCTTGCGCTTTCCGAAGATCCGCGTGTCCGCTCCATGCTGTCCCAGGGTTTCACCACCTTTTGCTTCACCGTCGACAGCACTCTAGTAGCCATCTATGGTCTGCAGGACACACTACGACCTGACGCAGCATTCACCATCGATTGTCTCCAATGTAGCGGCATCAATGTCCATGTACTATCTGGCGACGATGATGGCGCTGTTAAGGGGATTGCCTCGCAGCTCGACGTACCAGAAGAGAATGTTCGCTCTCGTTGCTCACCTGCAGATAAGCAAACTTATATTCAGAGCCTTCTCGCGGCATCTTCAACAGCTCTTCTGACTGGCAAGTCCCGCATGCCGATTGTCATGTTCGTTGGGGACGGCACAAATGACGCTGTTGCCCTTGCTCAAGCCACAATCGGCGTCCATATGTCGAGCGGTACTGACATCGCACAATCCGCTGCCGATGTAGTTCTTGTCCGTCCTAGCCTGTCAGGCGTACTGACCATTGTCAGCGTGAGTAGGAAAGCGATACATAGAATCGTTTTCAACTTTAGCTGGAGTTTCGTATACAACACTTTCGCTGTACTGTTGGGTGCGGGCGCCTTTGTGCACGCGAGGATTCCGCCGGAGTTCGCGGGTCTCGGGGAACTGGTCAGTGTACTACCTGTGGTGTTGGCAGCAGTCTTGTTGAGATGGTCGAAAGTCTGAGGATTGTGGCATATGTAAATCGCAGTTAACGTGTTACAAGTTGAACAATGTCACGTCGTGTATCCAGAATGTAATGTAGACAATGGTTCATGTTCTCTCACAAAACTACACTACTCAAACATTCAGAGTCTAGCGGGGTATCATGCAACTCGACAACTGCCTTCCCAGCATCCGGTTCCCTTAGGGTAGGAGTTTCTGCTCAAACTCATGTCGCTCGCGGTACTTAGCCAGAGCGATTGGGACTTCCCCGCTGTACCCCAGTTCGCCTTGCGCCTTTTCTAATTTCCTTGTCACTTTGCCTACCAGCCGTGCGATCCAGCGATCGTTGGCCATGGCATGTACAGTGTTCTGGCCAGCTTTTCGCATGCCCACCATAGTCTTGTTTGATGCTTCCTTGAAGCCAGTGTCAACCTTCTTGAGGAATGCTTTGAAGCTCTTGTCCTCACTACCATTCAGCGTGGTCTGTGACATTTCGCTGTTATTAGTATTGACTGAAGCAAGACTGCTTGCTTCGCTATCAGTAGTGCTGACACGCTTCAGTTCGCGCAGAACTTTGGCCTCCTCAAAGTCCTTGTCCGATTCGATGACTTTGGTAGCTTTCACGATCGCAGCGACGAAGTTAAGAAGATCTTGATGGAATTGCGCTGGCAGGTGAGCATGTGCACTAACCTGCATGGACGCTTCGTCTTTCTTTAGCTTTTCAAGCTCTTTCCGAGCTAGGATTTGCTTTGGCGTAGGTTCGGCTTCGTTGATGGCAGACTCCATCTCCAAAAGGTCGAAGTCGCTCTTCTTCTCAGGGAAGATGTGCTCATGGTGTGGAAACAGGAACATTGGAATTGTGAGAACGGCGTCGGCACCTCCTAACCGCACAACTTGCTTAAGCTCGACGGCGTCTGGGAGGATTCTGTAGGCCATGACGTCGGAGATTTTGAAGTGAGTCTGAATATTGTAATTGGTGTTGATGGGGAAGTGGGCTTCGCTAGACATCGGGCCCAGCTCTACAGCGAAGTTGGCGTCTGCGCACCAAGCTGATATCCGCGCCTCCAATCTACGAATCTCCGCGTCTTGGGATGAATAGTGCTTGAAAAAGTACTGTCGCATCAAGGCCGTGAACCACTTCCCTGACCCAGCTGCAGTAATGGACTTGAACTTGACAGGATGGAAGTAGCAAATGGGACTCAGCATCAATCGGTATAGGAAAGGCAACCGATGTAGAAATTTCTTTACGTTTGGGTATGATGTTTTCCGAAGGGTGGAGACTCTGATCGATTTGGTAGGTGGGTGAGGTATAGATGGTTGTCCATGGATCTGGGTACATATTGCTGCTCGGAAGTCATCCATGTTATCAATGTCCAAGCGGACGCCTGGCTCTTCTTTCGACTTCTTGGCATCTTTGGCGTCTCTTTCGTCATCGGATGAACCAGCCTCAGCTCGAGCTTTCGAGGCCTCTACCAGTGTCTGTTTCGCCTTTGTAATAGCACTTGTGTCGTTGATGTAGCGTACTAGCTCTTTGTACTTCTTATGGGCCTGCTCTTCATCTGGTGACACTTTCTTAACGGACGAGAATGCGGATGCAGTATCTTCAGCCTCGATTGGCTTTTTTCCAGCTGTCAGATTTCGGACCATATCAGCCGGGCGGCCATTGGCTCCCCCTTTCATTGTCGCTGCTCTGAGAATAGCCGTGTTGGTGACAACCACGGAATCGTCGTCGTCTGGCTCCGGAATACCATACTGCACATCCCCAAAGGTGACTTCCCAATCCCCACCCTTCACATTCGCATAGACGTCGTCAACAGTTATCTCTCGGAACAGCGGTACCGTAACTTTATCAACTTGAATGCCAAGCTCGATATCGTCCGACAGCTTTATGCCAGCCTCGACACCATGAGCAACGAGTGTCATTGTTGAAAGCGAAAGCGTAACTCCGCGGATTACGAAGAGTCCCTTGACTTCGGTGTCGATTTCCAGGGCGGGCAGATCAAAAAAGGCTACTTGATCGTTGATAAAATGGAGGTCTCGTAGGAACGTCTTTCGTAAAGTGCGACGTGCCAGTGCAGCAGGTGCTTCAAATTGGAAGAGGCAGGTAATGAAGAGTACAGGCCAACAAAAAGCCCAGAATACCCAGTACAGAAGCCACGAAGTCGCACATACGGCGTACACCAAGTTTACTGTCGCGAAGACAGTCCAAACAGGAACAAAAGGCAGGATGCGATGCCCATACGCCTCGCCAAGTAGGATTGCGTAGACGAATACGGGCGCTCCGGAGATGACCCATCGCAACGGCCAGGAGAAAGAAAGTGCTGCTAGGAGGGTTCCGGCGAGGAAGGCACTTGGTATCAGTCTGCTCGTAAGTTCTCGCCCTTGTTCAATTGATGGCGCATCTGTAGTCGGCAAAGGGACCGCTTTTCGTTTGGAAGCGGCCGGCGCCTCACGTTTTGCGGTGGAATCCATGCCCTGGAGGCTGCGGGAAGTGTAAGAGGAATGTCACAGGTAGTAGAAATTCCGATGGAGAGAATGCATGGTGTTTGTGGCATACGACTAATGCAAGTGCGAACGCGGCGGTCATCAAGCAACTGGTTCTTGTGACGTCATGGTCCTGTTCGAGACTACCCCCGCACAAAAAGAGGCAAGAGTACTCCGGGCCAGACCTGATTTGTCGCTGAAGGGGGTATGATGAACGATATGGCTGGCCAAGGCATTTTTGTATAACCGTTGGATCACCGCTTGCAGCATGTCGATCGCCGTCTTGAAAGCCTGCCTTGCAAGGTTTCCATGTCGTGAACGGTGACGTAAACGCACTAGTACTCGTTCGTCATTGCGATATTGACATCCGCGTCTTGCCAGATTATTTCCGTAAACAGTCTATGTATGGAGAGAGCGTATACATTGTTTGAGGACGATCAGTTCATCTTCTATTCATGTACGACCTGGCGGAATTCCACCCCAGGTCCCATTTGAGAACCATGTGCCTGCTCTAGTGAAATCGCTGTATGCTACGCTGCCGAACAACTGGTAGCTAATAAATCCAAACCGGAAATATTCATCCTGCCCACCGTCTGACCGGCTCCAAGTGAAGTTACCTTGATCACTCCCACCAGAGCCACGATATCTCTCTACATCGTTGACCACCACACTCACGCCCTGGTAACCGCGGAGTAGGCTCTCCCAAGCGAAGGTGATGCTCGAGCCAGTAATGACAGGCTCAAGGATAGCTGGGATACCCGACCCGAGCTGCCCATCCCCTCGTAACGCCGCTGCCGTTTGTAGGATGGAATCGAAGTCCCAGCGTGCAACACCGTTAACGAACAGTCCGACCAGCAGACCTTGGCACAACAAGCTCACGCGGGTCTGCAGCGCGGTGCCTGGAAGGAGTAAGAGAGCAATGATGTAGTGGTGTATCCTAAGTGTGAGTTTCGGCATAGCAGCGAGTATGCCCAGGCCAAGGCCTAGTGTAGCATATAATGCAAGATAGCGTGGCAGTCGCCCTTCCCTGCGGAAGCACCATGCTTGGTATAGAACGACAGCGAACAGGATAAGCACAATGATTACCAATGCTGTGATAGCGCCCGGTTGTTGGCGGATGTCGTTCCCTGTGAGCCGCTGTATGGGTATACGTTCAAACGTATAGTTCCCTAGTGCGCCAACCCAAGCCCCACCTACCCAAAGCACGGTCTTTTCAACTTGTGCCTTGCAATTGCGCAGAGATTTGCGGACACTGAATTGATAGAAGAGGGCGGCAGCTAACGCAGCGGGCAAGAAGCGGCCGAGTGTTGTAGAAGCCAAGGAGGCGTAGTTCGAGTACGAAGGCGGATCCGATGCCATACCAGTCTGGAAGAACAATATTGTAAAAATGGGCGCAAAGAAGGTGACGGGACTTGTGGTGAAGATGCCAAACAGAGCAGTAAAGACTGTCGAGAGGATAAGCAGGTTCCAGCGCGGATCCTCACATTTGGCCGAAGCCTGACCAAATGTGAATGCCATTGGAAAGCGCGAGCCAAAGCCAATACTGCTTATGCCATGCCGTGTAACAGCGGTGAAACTGTCTCGCTCTCCTATTAGAGAAACGACACCACAGCCACCGTAGCCATCGCTGATGACTCCAGCGTGAATAGCCGCTGAGCAAATGAAGGAATCTCCGCGATATACCAACGCATCATTCTCAGGACCTGGAGCACCCCCAACAACCAAGGGTCGGTAGTTTATGACTTGCGGTCCGATTGCGCGAGGGTTAAGCACTTGGGCGCTCGAGCATCCGGCGGGGCAGTTGAAGGCAAACGAAGCATTGGAGAAGGGGAAGCAATTACGGCCGTCGGGCCCACAGCTTTCTGGGGACGGCCTGGCGACGATCAGCACAGTCAGGATAGCTTGGGGTATAAGAGGAGAAGCCATACCACAGGTTGTTGACACACGACAGCTTTACCGGCGCTCCGAGCCCTCCAATGTCAGAAGGAAGCCCACCATCGCTGACGACTACAGCGAACGTGACAATCCATACAACACACGCGATAGCATAGATGCAAATGCGCGCCCACTCTGGCAGTCGCGCGAGCAAGCCGACAGGCAGTGTTTGCCAGCGCTCAAGAAAAGGCGTTATGGTGTATCTGCTCGGCGGCTTCGGCCCCTTCACCCACTCGACCACCTTCCGGCCCCAACGGGCGACAGGTGCTGGCGTGCATTCCCCCAACTTGCTTGTCCATGGCGGGGTGCGACGGGACTGGCGGTGCGGTGCGACAAGTTCTGTGCTCTGCCCACCCGGTGTAACTCGATCGCGGTTGTCATCGCGTTTGGTCCCATGCTCGAGGTCGATGGTCTCCGGAACCACGCGATCGGGAGTGTCGCGTGCTGCCATTCGGGGGTACAGATGGGAAAAGAACGACGACAGCGGCTATGCACACGCGACTATCATGTCGAAAATGATACCGAAAATACACGCGACGGGTATACGAGAAGAGACTATTGACTTAGGTCCAAAGTGGCGCACGGCAAGCATCATCGACTCGGAAGGATGATGGACTGATCCACTCTGCCGCGCCACAGGCCGCCTCAGATACGCAGGTGGTTCCGATACCACCACAAGCTAGACATCCAGCCCTACCATTCTGCAACTCCGAACATGTCGCGACAATTCCATATCCATGAGCTGCATCTCACTATTGTTTCCAATCGCGAGCAACACAGGAGGAGCTGACAATGACTTTTCAGGGCAGGAATCAACAATATGTTGGTGTTTTATCCAAGGTACAAGCCACTTGATCTATATGAGTTGACAGCGAGGCTACCATTCCTTTTCTTGTGTCATTAACCGGGCCTCCCCCATGAACCATCTCCATACCACGCGGCCGTCCTAGTGGCACTCGATCTTCAGACCGGTCTCCAAGTTCCCGTCGCATGCGCTACGTTTCGAGTGTCGCCATAAACTTTCGCTTCTTCTACGAAACAAGCGCACGTTTGGAGAACCCGCATCAAGTGGACACGATCTCCCAAACGAATGGACTGGTGCACTTCATGGTCTCAAAAAGCCACAAATCCTCATGGTGCAGGGATCGTGATCACCTTGTTTGGTAGCAAAAGGTTACGGCGGACATTCCCCCGACCAACCATCGCCCCAAGTTGTTGTCCATGCCGAAACGTTCACCAGCTTCAACACGTTTTTGGATCAGGGATCTCGTACTTTTTGTATGGAACCATTGTTAGCCGGCTGTGGTCTGGCGCCCGCATTACCGCCGCTTCAACATCGTCGCATGCTGTGAATATTCGTCGCCTCTATGGAAATTTCCCCTTGCTATGGCTGCACCGAGCAGACCATATGAGATCCGACCGGTGCTGGTACGCCGTGATGTTCCAAGGATGGCAGCTGCGTTCGTTGTAGCTGAGGATCGTGATGAGAAGGTTAGGAATACGAATGAGCGCAGAGGCGCGACAAGACTTCAACAATCGGATGTGATCATGAACGGAACGTGGGAAGGACAGCCGCCCAAATCACTACCACAACCGACGACTCTACCCACCGAGATGGAGGAAATACTGTCATCGCGCACCGAACAGTCCTCATCTCTAGCCATACCGACGCCTGTCCGTACAGAAGAAACGATCCTCCAAGCTCTATCTATACCCTCGATATCAACCGATGCTACTTTGACTGTTCTGCCTGAGCTGGTAGCGTCTGCCGTCAGACCCACCCTCACCGCCCAAGCCGATGTCAACAATAATGTAACAAGTACCATACGAGCGGCTTCAACTACAGTGCCAGCATTTCTTGTGGACTCTGGCGCGAAGGTAAATGAAGAAGCGCTCCCAGGCATGAATCAAGATGACCCGTTGTTAGTGACGGTTCCCGGAATGAATCAAGGTACGTTCAGGTCGTACTATTTACGCATGAGACAAACACTGATCTCCTATCTTCTTTTCTACAGAGGATCCTCTCTTGGTGACCGCACCCGCAGTAACGCCGACCGCAGCTCCTGAAAGTTCGTTAGCGACCTCCTCGACCTCTGCGATGACAGTAGAGAAGCCTATGCCGGGCAAGAAGCAACCGAAACCTACAGCAGATGCTGCAGTAACCTCATTGACAATCCTGAGTGGTTCTGGTTCGACTATCGCACAGACTCCGTCAACCACGAGCGCAACCATCTCGAGTACCATTGATGTCTCTACGGTTTCTTTCTCTTTACCGCCCACATCGACTATCTCTACTTCGTCGTCCACAGAATCTTCAACAACGACAAGCTCTTCAGTGCTGGCTCCTGTTCTTACTTTTGTCACGATTACAAGAACTGCACAAGGTAAAGAAGATGCTCAAACAACTACACAAACCGTGCCCGCTCCATTAGCTGTCACCGCACCACAATCGGTATCCTCATCGCTATTGGCGTCCTCTTTGATAGTTGGATCAGCTACACCTTCTAGCCTGGCTACAGCCATCAGTGTCGAGCCGCAGAGCGGCTTGACACCTCTAGCAAGATCCTTATTCATCCTTTTCGGTGTTCTTGGTAGGTAGATGTCCATATTTCATCAGAGCGAGACTAACATTAACAAAGGGTTTATTGCCATTCTTGTTGCTTTAGGTGTGGTCTGGGTGATGAGATCGAACAAAAGACGTGTGCAAGCAGCTCGACAACAAGCCGCTCAGGACCCCGCCCAGGAGACTGGAGAATACGATGGCTACGGCAACATGATACACATATCGTCCAACAATTCCATCAAGACTTTCCTCACTGAGAGCGAGAAGGCCATTGTAAACCGTGCCGCTACGCCAGACGGTGACACAGACGTAAGTTTACTTGGTCCCATGAACAACCATCGCGATATTAATGGACTCCTACAGGCAAGCGCGAAGTCGTCTCACCACCTCACCGACGCCATCGACTCCTTTATAACTAAATCACGTCGCCTGACTTACAAAATATCGCCTTGAACAAATCGCTCTACACACTGTACTCGGGGTGGAATCAACACATGCTTGAACTTGTCGCCAGCACAACCTAGTACTGTAATCGGTTGCGGGACTTGTAATCTACTGTAAATAGCATGATAGACTGTATATACAATGGTTGTGGCCTTTCCAAATGGTCGTTATCAGTGCGGTATACATAATAAACATATAACGTGCGCAGTTAGAGGTACACTCAAATTTCAGATAGTGAATGTCGCTCCCCCCCCCCCNCCCAATAGGAGAGCCACACCGGGCCTTGCTAGACGTCGGCTGAAAGTCTGTGGAAGATTCTAGTCTGAATGCAGCCACCCAGCATTGTATGTAGCACGATGAGGCCGGTAAGCTATAACTCGATGCGCAAGCAAAGAGCTCTGTTGATAAGTGGCAAACCAAGTCTTGCCTATACAATACAAAACGTGAGACTTTCACAACTGGACGTTCTGTCACGAAGATAGTCTTTCTCGACTTCATCTCTGTATCGTCTCCAGATAAAGCCACCAACACGCTTCCACTTTTAGTTCCAAGGTTATCACGCCACACTTACATCGGCCTCTTACCTGATGTTGCCAAGCCACTGACACCCCAAACCTCACACCATTTTCACGCTTTGTTTAGCCCGTTCATATGCTAGTCTGCGGCGTAGCGGCGTAGTCTGCAAGGCTAGTGCCAGAAGTGCTTACCAGCGTCGTTAGTGGCTGTTAGTGCTAGGTTCGACGGACCCCACGTTAATTGCTGTATGAGGCAGTTTTGGAGTATAACTTGGAAAGGCAGTGGAGTAGTGTGAGCAATGGCTCTTCTTGCTTCTTGTATCTAAGCCTGCAATGATTGAACGTAATAAACCTACAAGCTTTGATCGAGGCAGCCTTGCCATCACCATGACAGCCAAGCATGTGTTGGGGCTACAGAATTTTTGCTGAAATTTCAATACTGAAAGAATACATGCCATCAACATTACAGCATGTGCACTCGACCCTGCTACAAACATACAGCACAATACACCAGCACTTAGCCAATAATCTCATCTCCGGCCTTATCCACCCTAACGATAGCATTACCCTTGCACTGCGTGTATGGCAAGTTATCTTCGGAGTGAGGAGTGCACTTGATTTCGATCAGCTTGGCACCATATACGGTGACCTCGGTGCCATTAAGCATCACGGTTTGCTCAAGCGCAAATGCTGTGAATAAAGTCAGTCTCACATGTGAAGAGGCGGTAAAGGGTGGCTTACAGTATGATCCGGCAACACCGACGTCGCCGTCCAAGGTGTAGTTGAAGCTGGTAGGAGCGCATCCAGTATCTGCTGGGGCCGCACCGGGCCTTTTGATAGTCTGGCAGCCAGCAGCGACGGGCTTACCACCTGCAATGTTGGCGTCGATATATAAAACATCGACGTGGGTGGAACGGTAGCCGTACTCAAAGTTGTTGTCCTCAATCGTGATATTCCAGCCGCCGTAATTGGAAGGAGTAGCTGCGAGCACGGCGGGTGCAATGGCAAGGGCGAGAGAAAGGATAGAGGCGTACATCCTGATGTTCGAGTTTGAGGACTTTTGACGTTTGTGGTGGGATGAGAGTGAGTTCAGCTGAGATGTTGGATTGAATGATGATCTTAGAGACGGGCAAGACAGCTACACAAGCTCATGGCCATTTTCATACTGTCAGTGCTGAGTCCAATATGGTAAAGAACGGCGCGACTTCGGCCATCAGAATGGTACCCACCGGCGTTCCTCACGGTGTGGAGAAGGTTTAGATTGCCTTGAAGATCACGAAAGAATTCGTATTCGACAATGCGGTCAATGAAGAAGACGTTCTATGCAGCCTGCGTATCCAGTTTTTCCGACTTCGTAATCGACGAATGCCACGCTAGGTGTAGCCCCAGAGCGGAGCTTGTCAGGTACAAGTATATCATCCATAAGGGAAGGCGTTGGCAACGAAACGTTGGCGGTACTCTAGTGCGGAAACTGGGAAGGGGTAACCCGTCGGCGGTAGCTTGATATATCGACATGGCTCCAGTGCGCGATCCAATGGAACTTAGGTACATGCTCGATACTGCACCGTCCGGGAATCTGCTCGTGTTGAACACATCGGGCAAGGAGTTCATGTGAACATGCGTAACGTCAGTATGTTGTAACCAATGGCGACCGGCCCTCTTTTTTTGGTGGGTTTCGATTTTGTACGCGTGTAGTCCTATACAACCAGGTAAGATCTTCACTCTGCTAGCCCTCGTACAACCCTTGGCAGAAGCGGTCATGTTCAACTCGACATGGCTGTACAATTTCTTTTATTTTGTCTTTCTTTGCAATGGCTGTCCGCAAGTAGGATCCCAAGAAGGACGTTTTTCGTCTGGTTTCCACTAACTCGTCGTGTCTTGGCCTGACTTAGCTGCGCATGATGGTTGCAGGCTACTACGTCGTGGCAGCCTTGTAAACATGGAGGTAGACAATCTCTTCACCGATTTCTATATCTCCCGGTAACGGAAATTCGATTTGGGTTTTCTTTATGAATCCTGCATCTTCCATGAGTTCGAAGAAGACTTCCTCGCTCGAATGACGCATCTTCATCGCGATAGCAACAACGATTTCTGGGCTTGCTTTGACCAGTCGTGTCAGAGTATTCACCAATGCTGGGCTGTAGATGGACGTTAGATCAAGTTTGTTCCTTGATTTTGTCAAACATATGGGATGACGTGAGAGAAAGCCATACCTGCTATCTGGATTGTATGTGCAATCAGCCGCGACTACAAGATCAAGCTGTTTTGAGGTAGACTGCAAAATATCAGGCAGATCTGCATCCCAGTCCAGCTCCATGAAATCTAGTGACGCGCCTGGTGCTTCGATAGCATAGTGCATATTACGCTCTACAATCTCTCTGGCCTCTTGAAGGTCGGTTAGGAGGACTTTGGAGTTCGAGATGGTTTGAGCGATTGCGATACCAACCATTCCGCAGCCAGTACCCAATTCGAGGACATTCAGGCGTGGTTTGGATACAGACGGTAGCAATGCTTTAGCTAAATCGGAGCTTGGGGTTGTCAGTGCTGTTATTTGACACGAGAGCGTGATACCAGCGTCCCTGTACGTCCAAGTCAGTGCCTACGGTTCGACACGTCACAAACTGGAAATATATACCATAGATGTCTTGCGATGCTCTCTCCTGTCTCCTCCCAGATAGTAGTAATTGGTCCATCTAGGAGCTTGAACCGCCTTTCCACCAACTTTGGAGCATCTACATCAGACGTGAATGGCGGACTCCAGGCAGAGACGACACCTCGAGCGTCAGAGTCGGATATGGTTGCAAGCTCATCGTGTATTCGTTTCGGCTCCCCGCCCACTCTTACTCGCAAATGGGACTGGGATGCCCGAGACTTGGGGAGGGGAAATGTGATGAGCAGACTCCGCATGCCGGCCGTCCACTGCACTGTGGACCATAGTAGCACATTTTCTTGCGAATCTGCAGTCGCCAACAGCTCTGCCGCTAGCCGGATGTCGTAAGGAAGAAAAGAATCTCCAAGATCCGATGTGATGGTAATGAGGCAGCTGACTTGCTTTCTCGCCGTGGTTTTGTCAGTGACAACCCGGGGACTTTTGAGGAAGCGGATGTATCGCATGGTGCATGGTAGAGTTTGTCGGAAAAGTGTGCCGAAAGCAGCAAGACTGTGGGGGTGAAAGGCTGGATGTGGGGTGCTGCAACGCTGGGACGCAGGGCTGGGGATTCTGAAGGCTAGAATGCCCAACCGAGCCGCATCTCCTCTACCACGTCGTCATACCTCAACTTGTCCCGAAAGGTTATGTGTTTGTTTCTGTGTTGAAGCCAATGCGCTGTCGCATCGCAGCATCCTGCTGCTACCCGCAATAATCCACGAAACCTCACTGAGCAAGAGCCGACGCTGTCGTCATCGCCATCATGTACCGTCGCAGCGACCCCAGGTGGAATCGCACGCTCCACCAGATTACGGAGAATCTCGAGCACGCAAACGAATCGGCGCAGGAGAACATCTACGGCTTCACCCAGCGCTACGTCAACCCATGCTTCTCGTCCATGACCCAATGCGTCAATGCGTGTACGGCGCCATGCTTCCCAGCGCACAACGACCGCCGGCGCAATCGCGGACGATCACGCGGCCGGGCAGAAGTCAGCTTCGACTTCTACGACGACTGGGAGGACGACGAGAACGACGGTCTTTTGGGCTGGGGCACCGACAACCTCGACCGCTTTCTCGGCGGCGCGGCCAACTATGGCGCGACGACGCAGCCTGGCCGACAGAGCGGCATGACTTATGGACAGCGAAACCGCGATCCGAGATACAATACGCCGCGGCGCAAAAGCATGACACTGCCGCGAGACGGCGCCCAGGACCCGACTCTCATCCCAAGTTCTTCTTACTTTGGCTTCCTGGGACGACTGCCTTGGAAGATTGGGGGTCGGGGACTGCGATACAAGCCATCAGCGGCAGACCTTACCGACCACCCAGGCGCGACGCGAAGGAGTCTGGAAGAGGAACAGCCGCTGATCGACGACAGTGATGAGGATGCTCTCGAGGGGCCGGAGAACAAGGGACATCGCAGGCAGAGAAGCAACACGCATACGTCTGGACACACGACCGACTCGCTGAGTTCCAGAGGCGACATTTTCCCCAGCGAAGACGAGCTTGAGGACGCGGTACCGCTCGACGACGAGTTCACCATCGCGCTCGAGCGACGTACCACAGGCCAGTGGAACGAAGATAGCACCAGCAGCAACAAGGCACGCTCAAGTAAGAGCAAGCGGCCCTCTGCATCACGCCTATCCACCCGAACTGTCTCTTCGCGCAACACAAGCAACTCAGATAAACCACCATTGACCCAGCGCTCCACCTCCGAAACCATCGAAGAAGTCCCCACTCTCGACCAACTACAAAAGGAAGAGGAACGCCTGCGTCTAGAGGAAGAAATGGAAGTCCACCGCAAGCGTCAAGAAGCCCAACAGCTCGCCGTCAAGCGTGGCCTAGCCTCCGACCAAAAAGCTCTCTCTACCAAATCCAGTACGCCTCGCTCCTTGTCGCCAACCCATGCAATGGCGACTGTGAATTCGACTGTATCGCCACTTGTACGCACGCCCGCTGGCGAAACTGCGCCTGCGGCCGACCAGAGCGACTCGATGCCATTTCCCAGTTTCGTAGATAGCCAGACGATGCCGGATAGTAGTGGGTTTTATGTCGATGAGAGTGACTATTCGAGCAAGGCTGTCACGCCGAATCGACCCTTGTCTATCAAGGAAGAGGTGAGGGAAGACAGGAAAGGAGCAGATGATGGAGAGGCATTTGTTCCTGCTCGATTACCCAATTTTGTGTCTGAGTAAGTGAGTACGAAGCTGGACACTACACACCCAGAAGAGACTAGTTTACGACGCATGCCATGGAGATATGAAGAGACGTAGCGGAAAGCATCTATTGTAATTAATGACCTGAGCGATTTCAATTCATCTTGTTTGAAATGTTGTTACTATTGAGCTACAAGCCCATGTTGCCAAATGTGATCTGCTTCTTCGTCAATCCCTGGTATATTTCGTCTAGTACACCTCTCTTTCGCTTCTTGTCTATCTCCTTCTCTTCCCGTTCGAGTTCCTCTTCATCGTCTAATTCGGCATCTTCTTCTGTTCTTGGCTTCCATGTCGCAATACTGCCATCAGCATGGGCAGAGTACATCTCCACGTGGTGTGGTCGCCAGGCCAGACTTGTGATTCTGTCCTTGACGTTACGCTGTCCCTTTGCTGCTGCTGCTGCTGCTGCTGCTCCAGACGCGTTGGATAAAGTGTTCGTCCGAGGCTGCTGTGAGCGGCGTAGTCGACGGATCAGCTTACCGTCAAAGAGCTCATAGGTAAGGATCTCGTGCTCGTTAGGATAGAACATGAGATCAGCACCGGGCTGGAGGTTTTGCACTGGCGCAAGAACGGGAATGCGAGGCGCAAGACCAGAGTTTTTGACCATGGGGCCAAAGTTTGCTAGGGTATTGGCACCAGTATCCGTGTCCCAGACGCGTACTCGCGCATCGTGCCCGCAAGATACTATGTGCTTGCCATCATCGGTCCATACGAGCCCATTCACAGCGTCTTTGTGCGCCTGTGCGTTGGTCGACTTGCGAGTAAAGGACGTAGATTTCCCAAGTACCCCGACTGAATCTTCGAGGTCCAGTACACCCAATTCACCTACACTGCGGCGTACATCCCAGAAGCGTATGCTGCCATCTGTAGCTCCACTGACAAGAATGTGTTCGCGCACAGGGCTCCATGCTGTAGAGAGGATCGCGCCAGAGTGGCCTGCAAGACTGTGTGTCGTGGCGCCTGAGCGGAGATCGACGAGACGCACATTCGGATGTTGCGTCGCGCATGCGACGAGGAGATGCGAGGCGATGGGCGAGAGCGAGAGGTTATACACGACGGAATCGAGGTTGAAAGACGCAGACGGCGCAAGCGTTTCGCTGGAGTAGAGCTTGACGGTGTGGTCGTACGATGATGTAAGGAATGCCAGAGAATCAAAGGGGTAGAACTGTATCTGCGTGATGCCCAACTTGTGCTCTTCACTCGTCTTGTTTACTGCCGTGAGGGGGAGATAGGTATCTCCCGCCTCGGTTGCCGCAGTCTGCGCCTCAAGATCCCATACTGCAATCGAGCTGTCTGCGCCTCCAGAGAGCAGGTATCGCCCCTCAAACTTGTCGATGGTCAAAGCATTCACCCCGGATATATGCGCCGGTATGCGCTCGTACGGATCATCGAGGGCCGGTAGATGCTGGCTGAAGACTACGGTAGGAGACGGTTGCAGCGCGTATGTGAGACGTGAGGCATAGCCGCGCTTGAGGACATGGTTGGGAATGAAGCCGTACGCGCGGTCGAGCTCGTGTTGAGTGCTCATATGCGACTACATGCTTTGTGTGCTTTGGGGCGACAGAAGAAGGAAAGGGTGCGCAGAGGATTATGACGTTGTAGCCCAGGCATCCGCAACACGACAGGGATCATTGGTCGCAAGACATTCACCAACAACGCTCAAGCCTTGCAGTCAAGCAAGTCGGTTACCTAGACCCTCCTTTGTGCTTCAACACAACGACGACACAGCGCTACATCGGAGCCACCTCAAATGGCTGCTGATAACGAAGAGCCTCGTCGCCAAAAAGTAAAGAAGAGACCACGAAAACGACGCGCTACCGTTTACGATGCCGTCCATCGTAAGAGACGCATTTGTTACCAATCAAAATGCATAACCTAACAATCTTCAAGGCAAAGTCGCTCGAACCGGTCTAATAGCCCACATCCGTGATCCAAAGGCATCCAGGAAACCACTGCGCCCGGATGAGGTTCTCTTCAAGCGAAAGAATGCTCCTATGCGATACGAGGAAGACGATTACTACCCTGCACACTCCAAGTTGCCTGCAAACCAAAAACTTCCCAGTGGCGACCTCGCAGATGCATTGAGGACCTACGTATCAACACTATGGGCCAGGACTAAGGGGCCCCGCATGATGCAAAGAACTTGGAGAGGTATGGACGAATCTGCGCTTATCGCTCTAAGTATCCTGATGGAAGAGACTGCTCGAGGCGCACTAGGTGAGACGGGCGATCTGGCTTTTACTGAGGCAGCCGAGGAAGACGAAGAGCAGGTTCTTGCTCGTCAGAAGCAGTGGACTCAGGGTACTGGTGGTAAGAAAGAAGGAGCTATCGTTAGAGCCAAGAAGAAAGCCCAGGCTAGTAAAGAGAAGCAGCGCGCGAAGAAAAGGGCGCGCCTAGAAACGTGGACTTCGTCTGACGAGGAGTCACTTGGCGACTTGGCAGAGGAAGAGCTGGAGTGAACATTACGACGTTAACGGGAGATGGACTTGCATACCTCAGAAGAGCAGGCTGTTGAACGCGATGAACGATCAGAAGCCCCATCTCTGCCTGCTGTGAGAGAATCGAGAGATTTTTGGAAGAAAGAGGCAAAAACACGGCGTTTGATGACGAAGGCAATGTCTCGGCAAGCCAACAACAGTGCAAGATGTATCTTTTGAACTGCCAAGATACATTTAGGCTCGTGTTCTCAGCCCGAATATGCAAATCTATAGACAATACCGAAGCTAGAGAGTCACAGAGTCTCAGGAATCTGCAAAAGTGGCGTTTCGATCGAAGGACTAGTTGATTGCGGTCGTGCCTACCTTCTCCGACGGCTGGCACCTTGGCGTGTCTTCCTCAAGGAAGGCATCCGCCATGAAGAGCTATTGGAGACTCTTCATAAACTAACATCTACACGCGGTCTATCACGGTCATCAATTCTCGTGTATCCCTTGTATTTCACCTGGTTCGCAAGAGCATCTATCGTTTCTAAGCGGATATGGTCAGTTCAGACATAGGAGCAGCTGAAGCGCCCACTAACTCTGGCAGGCCCCGAAAACCCAACCCAACCCGCAGAAAGCGGCCTCTATTCTTGCCTGGTTCCACAAAACGGCACAGGCCCACAGCATCAAAGATCTCGAGAAGACACTGCCGCAAGTTTCCTCTATCAACGGCATGCAAGTTAAGGACTACCTCCAAGCACTCTCAGATGACAACAAAATCCGTGTTGAGAAGATTGGTAGCGGTAACTGGTACTGGAGCTTTCCAGCCGATGAGAAGAAAGCCAAAGAAAAAGCTCTCAAGAAAGCCCAAGAGGAGTTCGACAAGGCCAACGCTGCAGTAAACGAGCTTCAGGCGAGGGTGGACGATGCAGGTGCGGCTCGCGCCGAGGACGAGGATATGCTCATGGAGACAGGTAGATATTACCGTATCTTTATCGCATTCGCACTCACCACTCATAGGCGGTGATCGGAAAACACTGATTTCGAAGCATGCCGAACTCATCAAGGACCTCGAGAAACTCAGGACCGAGCTATCAGCATACAGCGATCAAGATCTGGTCGAGATGGAGAAGAAGGCCACCGAAACTGAACGTGCTCATCTTGACGCAGAGAAGTTTACTGATCAAATTCTCGTCATGCAAGACTGGATCAATCAACAGTACTTTGGTGGTAGTGGAGGGCCGGACTTCAAGGAGATGCTCAAGTCATTCTACTACGACGAGTACGGCGAGGAGGAGGGAGGCCTACGTGAGCTGTGCAATGTGACGAGTTAGGCATCTGGAAATTTCATGACACATGTGTCGAAGTCTCCACTAGGAGATCGTCTACCGTACAATAAGATGCAGCAACAAGGGCGTAATCACTATCATGTAGAGATATTACAGCGAAATCATTTCGACTCATCGCCGGGTATGCCATAATAATGCGCCACTTCGGAGTATTTATAAGTGCCTGAGTCATGTTTCAGCAGGGACCACTTCCATTCGCTTGTGAACATCGTCATCGCAAGTAGCTTTTGCCAACCCACCACCAAACGCCTACTGTAGAACGAGGCCTCGCTGGCCTGCCTATAACCCGCCTCTCGTCACTCCCCAAAAAGACTTCGACACTCTCTATACCACCAATTCCCTATACACATCCCTGGAACCAGGCCCTATACCCCGCGATGGCCTCGACTGGTGCCCAAGAAAACGCACAAGTGCCTGCAAGCCCACAGCGGAGAGGAGGCAGAGGCCGTGGACGCAGCAGAGGTGGAAACGGCGGGGCAGAAGATGGCCACGATAGCTTTGGGGGGAGGAGACGTGGACGGGGCGGCTTCCAAAGTCGTGGACGAGGTCGCGGCAACAGAGATGGCGCGGGCGGTCGTGGTGGACATGCGCCAGAAAAGGGCAAGGCGCCTGCGATAGAGGTAGAAGAGGGTGGACAGGCTCCACCTGCTCTCGCGAAGCCGAACCTACAGCAATCGGACAATGAAGACGACGACGCCGAAGTCTGCTTCATTTGCGCCTCGCCCGTTCAGCACACAGCCGTTGCTCCTTGCAACCACCGGACATGCCACATCTGCTCTATCCGAATGCGCGCCCTGTACAAGACGAAAGCTTGTGCGCACTGCCGAACAGAATCAGACCACGTTATCCTCACAGACGACGCAGAGAAGAACTACGAGGACTTCTCAACCGCCGAGTTCTTCCGATCCGATGACACTCTAGGCATACATTTTGAGAATTCTGGCGTTTTCGAAGACGCGCGATTGTTGCTACAGTACAATTGCCCTGACAGCGAGTGCGACGTCGCCTGCCTAGGCTGGCCAGACTTGCATCGCCATGTCAAGACGGCGCACGGGAAAATGATGTGGTATGTCCTTCATAGTCTCAGCGTTGCTGCATTTGCTAACATTTCCGAAGTGACCTGTGTACACGAAACAAGAAAGTCTTCACGCACGAGCACGAGCTATTCACACAGGCCGATTTGCGAAAGCACCAGAAGTTTGGCGACGATAACCCTGGAGCAATAGATCAGAGTGGCTTCAAGGGACATCCGGAATGTGGCTTCTGCAGACAACGCTTCTATGGCGACGATGAGCTTTACACTCATTGCAGAGACAAGCACGAGCGCTGCCACATTTGCGATCGCCGAGAAGGGGGGAGCAGAAAACAGCAATATTTTGTCAACTACGACTCCCTTGAGGTGCATTTCCGGAAGGACCACTTTCTTTGTCCTGACCGGGAATGCTTAGAGAAGAAATTTGTCGTGTTTGATTCCGAGATGGATCTCAAGGCGCATCAGTTGGAAGTGCATCCCAACGGTCTTTCCAAGGACGCGTTGCGAGATGCTCGCAGAGTTGACATATCTGGCTTCCAAATCAGAGCGCCGCACGACCAAGGTCAGGGCAACAACAGGCGAGATGAGCGTAGACGCGAGGGCGGCAGAGGTCGTGGACGTGGACGGGATCCGAACGCAGAGCCGGTGCCTGCGTCGTCTGCGCAACCTTTGAGCAGAGCAGAGCTCGCCTACCAGAGGCAGAGGGAGGCTCAGAATACTCATTCAGTCACTGGAAGAACCTTCGGTGGCCAACTATCTGCACCAACTCCGGGTGAGGCGTTCGCTGCCAGGCCTCCCCCAAGTGCCTCAGAACCTCCTACTGTAACAGCCTCGCGCCCGGCGCCAGCGGCTGCAGGCAATATCACGAATGGTGTCGCTCAGTTGAGTGTGAACGAACAACCAGTCAACCCGGTCCCACAAACACCTCAAGAACAGGCTCGACTATTGCGCCACAACGCAGTCACGGAACGAGCCACAAACATGCTTCGAGGTAGCGCGATCAAGCTGCAGGAGTTTAGAACTGCAGTTTCAGCTTATCGGAACTCTAATGTGTCGGCAGCGCAACTGATCGAGGGATTCTTTGCATTGTTTGACGCCAACTCGAAGGAGATAGGAAAGCTGATCAAGGAATTGGCAGATATCTTTGAAATTCCAGCAAAGCGGGAAGGTCTCTTGAAAGCGTGGAACGACTGGAAGGCTATTAACGAAGATTACCCTTCATTGCCGGGCTCTGCAACAGAACAAGCGTTGAACGGCGGATCAACTGTGCGGGGAGGCTCTCGTGTACTGAAGCTAAAGAGCTCAACAGCTAAATCATCCCGATCTACAGCCAACCAGCAAGCCAGCTGGTCGAACGCATCGTCGAGCAATCCTTTCCCAGCTCTACCAGCGCCAGCAGGTCGCGTCGGTGCGAAACCTGGACAGACGCCTTGGGCTTCTTCGTCGGCCGCAACGAGCGCACGTCCTTCGCCCATGCCATCTCGAGTTGCGTCGTCAACAAATGTCAATAAGAAGCCTGTTGGAGCGGACGCCTTCCCTGCTCTCCCAGCAGCCGCAAAACCCACCAGCACACTCTTTAGTCCAGGATATACCGGCCGCGCTCTAACGCGCGATAACAGCGGCCGCAATACACCAGTGAACAATCCTTGGGCCGGCCCATCTGGGGCAAACAGCGGAACATCAACGCCAGCTCTGGAGGACGTCGGTGCGGCAGGGAAGAAGAAGGGTAACAAGGGCAAAAAGCAAACACTCTTCCAATGGGGTTAGGCAACCATCATGTGCATTCTAAGATATAAGCAAGCATAGACACGACACGGAAGCACAAGGGTAGTGCTGGTCTTGCGATTCTGAGCTTTACTTCTAGGTTTGCCAAGCTGTTTATACGGAAATGAATGATTCATAGACTGACGGGTTATGGTCTCATGGCCGCCTGTGCCAACGAAAAAGGCAAAAATGTTGTTGGGTGGAGGCACACAGCATGTACTGCAACACGCGCACTCTTTCTTCCAAAGGCACGCTTATCATAGGACAAATCTCATACCCAAGGCATGGTGTGAAGATATACACTATCTTGTTTTTGATAGTTTGTTACTGTACGAAACAGCGTATTACCTTAGAGTATGATACAGCAGAAATGCAACTAGTGAACCCGCCGAAAGTTATTGCGCAATTGTTGCAGAGTTGCGTTGTCACCACACTTCAGTCATAACACTTCTGAGCATAGATCCTTTCATTTAGGTCGTTGCAGGATATAGAAGTTGTAAGTGGCTTGTTTGGTTGGAGTCGTCGCAACACTAGCGGGGAATGGATGGTAGCGAAGGTTTAGCATTTCGTACCCTCACAAGCTATTACGATCATTCTGCCCGCTAAAGTACAGTCCCGACATTCGGTGTGAAGAGGAGCCAGTAGTAGTCTCAAGTACATGTGCTGATACGTGTTCGAGTGTGGAGACGAACAACAGCCTGTCGAATATTTAGAATATTATCTCGAGCACCTAAATAGGATCTCGCGAGTTAAATGGCGCCGGGAACTGGCGTCGATCATGGTGGAGACCCTTGACTGTGATCCTGTGGTATCTGCGCCCCAACCCGCGATGACTTGATCGAAAACCTCTCAAAGAGAACTCTTGGTGGGTTGGTTACATGATGAGACTGATTTGCTGGGGGCTTGTGAAGCGGTAATGTGCCCATAGGTAACCATGGTAGAAGTGATGTGTCTATAGCGTTGGCCGGTAGCGCAGTCCGCAGTCGCCTAAATCTTGAAGAGTATAAAGCTTGGGGAGGCCCCCCCGTCTTGTATCCTTATTCCCAACGTTCTACCCCAAGCCACATCAATACCGCCAACAACATGGCTTACAACTACACCAAGATGAATACCGGACGCCCGGAGCCAATCCAGCAACAGCAGCCGCCTCCTCAACCAGGCAAGAAGTACGAGCTGTCTGTTGAACAGCAACCGATCCGAGCTCGAATGTGTGGCTTCGGTGACAAGGATCGAAGGCCGATAACTCCTCCGCCCTGCATCCGGTTAGTTGTCATCGACAACCAGACAGGAAGAGAAGTCGACTTTCAGGATATCGACAGCACATATTTCGTCCTCATGGTGGACCTCTTCGATGCGGCGGGAGTTGATCCCGTTAACCTTGTCCGGCATAGTTCTGCAGCGCCGACAGTTAGCATCTCCAGCAGCACAACCACTTCATATCCTCCTCCTCCGGAGCGAACGCATCAAATGGTGACTACATCAACTCCCTACGACTTCAGACCATATGGCAGCAATCCTTCGTCAATGGGATACTGCTATCCACAGCAATACCAAATGTATGGCCCACCTCAGGCCGCCATGATCCCCGCCACGCCCATTGGCTCAAATCACACGCGCAACCTTATTGGCATGAATGCAGTCAACGCCTGCCGCCTCAACGACCTGGCAGGCAAGCCTGGCTTTTGGTTCGTGCTACAGGATCTCAGTGTGCGCACCGAGGGCACCTTCCGGCTGAAGCTCAGCCTCTTCGATATTGGCGCCGGGGATGGCACAAACGGCACTGTCCACCTAAACGGACCCAGCAAAGGTAAAGGCCCGTGTCTTGCCACCAACTACACCGATCCCTTTACTGTCTACTCAGCCAAGAAGTTTCCCGGTGTGATTGAAAGCACCAAACTCAGCAAATGCTTTGCGCAACAGGGCATCAAGATCCCCATCCGCAAAGATGGTGGGCCCAAAGTGCCCAATCAATCCGAGTTCGACGAGTAGTGATTTTCTGGTCATTAGTCAGCAAGGCTTTGTTTGTGTCTATGGCAGGGTATAGACAAGGGCATGTCACGGCATGGAGTTTTGGGAATTTTAGGGGTTGGGGGAGTTTTGGGAGAGTTTTGTTCCGGTGTTTCCGGCGTTTTCAATGTCAATACCTAGTCAATAGTTTTCAATACGTGTATCAACAAGAAACTTTCAAAAGCACACGTCTTCACTGCTGCCTTTTTCTCTTTACGAATAGTGCGTCCTGGGCGTATACGTCGCATGCAACATTCCCACTGTGACAGACTAGTACAATCATCATTGCCCCTACAGGATACTTTTCAGTGGTAGTTGACATTTAAGTTTATCTGAAGATCTCGTTCCGTCATTAGCCTTTGCAATCATGCTTTGTAAAGATGAGTAACCACATGGGTGTTATTTTAGCAATTAGAATTTCTTGTGTCAATGTCTTCATTGTCAAGTGTTATGTGGACTAGCTATCGTCGCCATCCTAAAACAGCAGCTTTATGTTCGGGTTGGTTGAAGGACCCCTATATGAAGTTATTTACGTCGCGATGTCGGTTAAATGTAAAGACAAGTATAGTTTAGTAAGAGCCGTAAGAGATGAAGCTTATTACTGAGAGTAACTGCTTTTGTGTGATTGTCTAATGCGATACAAATTTCGTCATCCCCTAGTAGATGAGATCCTCTGCATCACATGATGCGGCTGGTAGTGACACTTGGTGTCGGTGCCCTACTGAGAGGCTGCAGTAGCGATGACTGTGCGTATCATGAACAATCCAAAAGGACGTAGTGTGCTCTGACGTGACTGTGCTGGAGCCGGACTCCCGCAGATGGCGGAAAGTGGAGCAGAGGATGTGCCTCAGACTGGCCGTACATGTACTGCCGTCGTTGATGATTTAGCGACTGAGCTTGGCAATACCCTGTAGGTCATGCATCAGGTTTGCTGCCGTATTGGGGGACCATCTCTTATTGCGGCATCTAATGCCTGATTCGCAAGGTCCGGAACGGACGATGTTCTCACGTGGTGAGCTTGCGCAGACGGAGGACTTATGAGGTCAGCCGAGCCTATCCAACAAGTTTGAGCTTGTCAGGTATGATCTGTCGCTTCACCCAATGTTATGTTTATCCATCTCTTCATCGATCCAGCTCCCACGTTTTACCCTAACTCGCCTTCTCCACTTGTCTTGATCTTCCTGCTGCGCTCGAGTTTCCCATCCAGTCTCCTCATTCATTGGCTCCGCATGCGTGACATTCGGACTGATGCGTCTGGGATCCACGAAGTCGGGGTATTGCTGGCTACCAAAGTCGTGCGTGAGCAGGCTGCTGTTGAGCCTTGCTGATGTGCCTACACTCGCAGTACCACTACCACTCTGTGTCTTTTCCAGTGCCAGAGTATTCCGGCGTTCGAAACTGTTTCCGCGCGCATAGTTGTTGTTGTTCATGCTCTGATCGGATTCGGCCCTGACGCGCACGAGTTGAACCAGTTTGCCGAGGACAGCGAATTCGAGTTTGAGTTTAATCGAGTATACAACGCCTTTGAGAGTGGTTTCGATGAGGTACAGGTTGGCGAACTCGACGCTGAGTAGAGCGATGTCCATGGCGATGATCAGTACATTGATAGTGAGGAGCTGGTACATCGTCTTTCGGACGTTGGTATTCTTAAGGTGCCCCATCCCAGCACTGTCATCGAAACTTCGCACGTCGTCTTGAACCTGTTCTGAGAGCCTCAGCAGTCGTACCGTCTCTTTTATGTATACTATCGACAGAATAGTCTCTTGCACGAAGAAACCGACCATCTGTATCTTTTCCATTATCGAGTATCCGCGGACGAAGCGACTGAGCGTGGTGTTGGAGAATGAGTTCGCGTTCGAGCCGAAGGTCAGGACGGTCGTGATTGAATGCAGGAGTATGCCATTGATAATGATCATCCAAAGAGTCCAGCGAAGGACGCGACGCGAGTTCGTAACGAGGTGGAGACGCGACCACAGGACCACTGATTGCCCTGGAAGCTTGTTAGCAGCCACATACCCGAGTCCTCGAGAGTTGAGCGAACTCACCAGTGATCATAGGCCACCACCCAAGCGTAAGTAGGACGACGGCGACATATCCAGCGTCTCTTGAGGGATCCAATACCCTGAAGAACTTGATGATGAAGCCTAGAGCGTATGGTATGATGCCGAAAGCGCTGATGACCAGCGACCAGAAATACAGGCCATGGTAGCGCTGGAAAGTAACGAATGCGAGGATAATGAGTTCGATGGCGTTATAAAGGGAGAGGCCGAGGAGAAAGGCAATAATAATCTTAAGGACTAGAGAGTCGCCCGTGTAGCCTACACAACTGTCAGTACCGAACGATCAAGCTTTGGGGACAAGACTGCGACGCTTACCTCCAGTGATTCCAGCGCCAGCAGATTCGAGGGTACCCAGCGCCGGTGTCGACTCCGCTGCAAAAACAGACGACGTCACGCTAGAAACAAGGCTGGCAGACAGCGACGCCATTTGCGAAGCTTTTGTCCCAAACTCAATGCGCAGCTCCTCCGCAGTACGACGAACCAGGCACGAAGCGTGTTTGCGACTCCATCAGTCAAGAGGAGATTCGCCTGGTAGCGCACAACACGGCGACAGATTTGACAGGAGAAACGGGCCGGTAGGGAGCGACATCGAGTACGGGCCTGTTTTCATCGAGGCGGGGATTTTCCGTGTACGAGCGTCAACGGTGCGCGTGCACTAATAGACCACGCGCGGCTTTTCAAAGCATACCAACCGGTTATGGTGCCAAAGTGACGCTGCCAACTCCACTTGCTAGCCTTTCCAGGATTGAGCAGCACAGCAGTCCGGGGTAGATCGGCGCTACTGAGTCGTGCATTAGGCCGTCGGTTGACAAGTTTTGCTTTGCTGGGACGCTCACCATGTTCCCGGAAAGTTGAGGCGACTTTACATTATTACTCAGCTAATGAGGCTGCAACAAGGTCAGTCTTGGAACCGACACATTGCAGCTGCCTTGCCATCTACAGACTCTACAGCTCACTACGTGATATTCTTTTGCGTAATCTCACCCCTCTTCTTGCCCTTCTGTTGTGCTGCCTCGTGCTTTCTCAGGTCCTCAGGCACCTTACTGATCTGGCTCTTCATGAGAATCTGCTTGAGATCGTAGAGTACATCCGCATCTTCGTTGCCCCAGAACGTGATAGCAACACCAGGTTTGTCCGAGTCCGCACCCAAACGTCCAGTACGACCGATACGATGGGTGTAGCTTTCAATGTTACCTGGCATGTTGAAGTTCACCACCAATTGAACGCCTTGAATGTCGATACCACGACCAAGCAAATCAGTGGCAACAAGCACGCTAGTTTGTCCATTCTTGAGGGACGCAAGAGCAGCCTCACGCTGTTCTTGCGTTTTTCCACCGTGAATCGTGGCGGATGAGAAGCCCATGTGTTTGATCTCGCGAGCAATGGCATCGCAGTTTCGTTTGATATTGACGAACACAATAATTGGTGCAGAGAACTCGCCAGACGTAAGAATCTCCTGGAGACGCTTCTTCCTCTTCTCTTCTCCCTGGACGAATTCGACACGCTGCTCAACGGTGTCAGTAGCCTCGCCTTGGTTGCCGACTGTAACGATAGCTGGGCGACGTGTGTACTTCTTCGCAATCCTTTCGACAGCTGGCGGCATAGTAGCTGTGTACATCATGGTTTGGCGATATGTTCCCTTTCTCATCGCATTGGGGTCTTCGGCCTCGTCGGTGTCTGGTTTCTCGTTGTTGACGGGTAGCGCATCGAGGATCTTGTTGACCGGCTCTTCGAAACCCATGTCAATCATCCTATCAGCCTCATCCATGATAACGTAAGTACACTGACTGAGAACGAGAACTCGGCGCTCAATACAGTCTACTAGACGACCAGGCGTGGCAATGATGATCTCGGCTCCGTCCCGCATTTGGAACGACTGTTCTTCGATGGAGTGACCACCGACAAGAACAGCAGTCCTGAAACCTAGTGGCGACGCAAACTTGCGAGTCTCAATTTCGATTTGCTGGGCCAATTCACGCGTGGGTGCGAGGATGAGGGCGTACGGGCCATCATGACGGGTCATGGCGTCAAGAGGGGGTAGTTGTGAGATGTAGGCGAGTAGTGGCAGGACGAACGAGGCAGTCTTACCCGAACCTGTTGCAGCAACTCCGATCAAATCGCGACACTGTAGAGCGATAGGTATAGCCGCGCGTTGGATGGGCGAAGGCTCGGTGTAGCCAACCTGATGTACGATACGCATAAGCTTGTCTGGAAGTCCTGATTCGTCCCAGCTACGCATAGGATTCGGGATTCCGCCTCCTTTGGTAGCGATACTGAAGTCCTCCTTGAAGATGCGCCAGTCGCGTTCCCGCATGTTCTCCAGTCTCTTCTCGCTCCAGTGCTTGTCTAGTTGTGCGCGGCCGCTCTTATCCTTCCGCCGCCGCTCCATCTCAAGAAGTGCCTCAGCCCGTTCTTTGCCGTGCTCTGGATCTCGCTCCATGATTGCCTCAGCCATTTTCCTTGTTGTTGCGTCTGTAACTTCGTCGGAGAAGCCACCAAGTCTGCCACGTCCAAAGAAGCTTGCTTCAGCTTTCTGTTGGTAAATTGGGTTATAATCGTGGCTGGTATCCTCTTCTTCGTTCCACTCAAAGTTAAACTTCTTTTCTGTCGTTCGCTTGCGCTTCTTCTTGGCTGAAAATGTTGACTGATTTTGCTCTGCGCCCATGTATCGTTGTCTTATTAGAGCCTCAGCGTCCTCGGCTGGACGCTTGTTGCCCTTCTTATCTGGCGGTGGTGGGGGTGCCATGTCTCCGTTTCTGCGATCGCTTCGCATCGATGATGGTCCAGTCGGCGCATCGCGCATCGAACGAGGCCCTGTAGGTACGGACGAGGACGAGCCGTTGTGACCATTGTAACTGGCGTGACCATTCGTGCGATTGTGCTCTTGCGATTGTCTCCAAACATCGCTGTCTCCGTTTGAAGCCTCTCGCCTCTTTTGCGCTTCCTCCACTTCTTTCTTCCGCTTCTCAAGCGCAATGCGCTCCCTCTCCGCTTTTGGTATAAATTTGGGCTTCGCGGCAGCCGCTTCTTTATCGCGCTTAGCCTTTAATATGTCGTCGATACTCGGGGGCTGCTTGCGGGCAGCTGGGGGCGGAGCGGCGGCGGTCATCTTGATTTTACTGAGGTCACGGTTTGTAGAGTTGCGGAGGAGGATTCACGCGAACTATAGATCGCATGCACGCTAAGGCAACACCAGGTCACGTGCGTGATCACTATCGATAGTGAGCTGGCCCCGCTACATGGATCGATTTGCCATACACTGCTTCAGATGATGGCGTCACATGTGTTATGTAGATGCTCATGTCCAGCCACCCAGTGTCGTGTATAGTTGCCTATGGCTTTCTGGTTTGTCCTCGGATTTGTCATGACGGGCTCCAAGAACGGGTATGGACTTGGAGATGCCTTCATTCAGGAGCTAGTTCTAGCTGTCTGCGGTCCAAATGGCGTACCTAGAGCGATATCGCATACATATCACAGCATGGTGTGATCTTGCCTCCTGTCCTCGTCACAGCCATGAGGCAGATCTCCGGCACCCCATATTCATCGTAGCTCGTAAACATGATCATATGCCACCTCGTACCATACACCACCTCAGTCCTGCCTGCCCTTGAGTAACCGCTTGGTCACCTTGTCCTTCTCGATGATGTAAACGTGTGCGCCCCAACCTGAAAGTGCGTCTCGGTCGACGGCGTTGAGCAACGCCTGTGAGATTGTCTCGAAGAGGTCCTCGGGGCCCTACCATGAATGTTAGCTTGGATCAATCTAAACATTGATACAACCCACCAGATCCGGCTCCCATAGTCCTTCACATGTACCGAACAGTTGATCGCTTGCGGTTCCGCTAACAATGAAGTCCTTCGCAAAGTCGATGCAACCAATGCTGTCAAATCCGCAAATGAAAGGCTTTCCACTCGTCTGGTTTATACCGGCAATAACCGGGCTAATGAAGTAGGGTCCAAAGCGCTTCTCGTACAAACTTGAGCTTACGAGGTTCGCCATGGTCTGAGGGCTGATGTTGCGCTCTTCGCGGAGACGGTACATGTTGACCTTGTAGCGGAAAAGGTCTGATACGGTGGATACATCGGTGGCGAGTCCTGTAAGACCTAGGAAGACGTCGCCATACTGGAAGATCTTGGGGAAGTTGTTGGACACGGTGAGAGCTTGCATGCCGAGACGCAAGTCACATGCTATGGCTACGCAGTCCTTGCCCACCATGGCCACACAGGCACCGCCGTCTGTTCAAATAGTCAGAAGAGTATGCGTGGAGGTTTTCGTGGAAGCGTACTTATGGAGAATGGTGACGACTGGTGCGGTTAGCTATGGACTGCATGTTGACAGCGGGATTGCTTACCATGGCTGTGTATTTGATGTGTTTTCCGCCTTGGTCTGTGACTTGGATCAGAGAGGAGGAAACAGCTCTCTGGCGTGTGTTGAAAGCTGTGGTGTTGGTTGTGGTTGTGATGTACTCAGATAGGTAGCAATAGCTACGCGGCGGCCAGGCGGCGCGAGTAGCTCCACCCTGGACCTCGTAGCCTTGGCGCGAACTTTTGACATGCACCAACAGACACGCCCATAGCGATCGCAACGCACAAGATACCCACCATGAGCGCCCAAAAGTCTGTCGAGATTGCAAAATCACTACCGCCGCGGTTACTGCGATTCTTCCAAAAGTACCCACCGCCATCGCTCTTTCCCAGTCTCTCCTCTCAACTCACATCGCCGACTTCACACTCAACCCCAGAAACAATATCGACAACCCCACCAACCGACCCCAATGCCTCCATGACCGAGGTTTCGGCGCCAGAGGTCACCTCCAGACCGTCAAATGCGCCCTCGAATTCAAACATACCGGCAGAAGCGCACGATCTGCCGTACCCAAATCCATTTCTCCCACATAAGAACTTCGCAACCGGACGGTGGCACTCCCCCGCTTATGGTCTACGGAAGCAAGCCGACCTCGTAAAGCTCGCATCAGAACATGGCGTCGTTGATCTCCTCCCCTGGACCATCAAGAAGCCAGGTGAGAAGGAAAGGCGTAGGGTAGAAAGAGGACTGCAAGTCAAGGGCACAGGCGAGGGACAGAAGGTCAAGGGAAAGCTCTGGGAACGAACACTAAAGGGACGTCTAGAGATGAGGAGGCAGGCCATGCTGAACATGCCCGCTTTGATCCAGGAATGGAAGCAGAGGGGACATGGAAGAGGATGGAAGAAGTGGCCGAGTGGAAAGGCGAAATAGAATGCATCTTCTTGAACCCTTTCGGGAAACAACCGTTCGAATGTACCAATACTATCTTGTTTCACCACACGACGAAACCTAAGTGGAGCTCAATCGATACATTGCAATGTAGTTCTGCCTGGGTATCTTGCTAACCGAAGTATCTCATGTACGACAATCCTTCGACGTTATTGTTCGCGTGTGCAACTAGTTCTGGGTATAATATAGGAAACAAGGATGTGCACACAGGCGTGCCAACGTATAAACTCGTCAGGGCCCCTATCCTCAGGGAGTCCGACATAGCAACATCATGTTTTACATGACCATCTCCTCATCGCCATATCCGCCGTGCAGTCCATATTCTCGCGCATATGCATACGCTCCGTAAGTGTTCTCCATATCCGCGACGCTACTCGCGTTCTTCTGCCAGAGCCCATTGCTCCCTGTGTTGTTGTAGACCGGGTCGGTGGCCTGGTTGTACTTGTTCGATTCTTTCTCAGCTCGCGCCGACTGTTCATACTCGCGTCTAGCCATCATCTCATATCCCGACGCCATATAGGGTTCAGCTGCTGCAGACATGCTCTGTTCCAGCTGCTGCTGGTGTTGCTGAATGGCCTCTTGTTGCGCCGACTCTGCCTGCTGCTTCTCGTATCTCAACTTCGCCATTGCCTCCTCCTGTGCTAGGCTGGTGGGCGGCCAGTCGTAAAGCTGTCTAGACATGTTGTAGTCTACGCCTGCTGGGTGACCTTGACGCCCTGATGGAGGAGATATACGCCAAAGCTCCAGGAGACGGAGCCGTTGATCATCATCCGCATTCTGGAAGAGCTCGATCTGTGAAGGGAACAGAAGAGTGGGGTCGATGCTGTTCCTTAGGAGTACAGCCGCGAGATCCGACGAGTCGATGTGCGTCTTCAAGGCCGGCTCAGAGGAACTGCGAGTAGGTACGTGATATGAATGGGTGTAGTGTTGGGAAGCGTAGACGATCTGCTTCGGGGTCTCTTCTTGCTCTTGCTTTTGCTGCTGCATTTGTTGCTCTTGGTGCATCTGTGGTTGCATGGGCTGTACGTTTCCTTGCGACAAGTTCATATTGGCTGAAAACAACCGGGTAAGCTCATCCTGCTGCATGTTTGCGTCTTCTGCTGCTTTCCCCTGGACGTTGATGCCTGTAGATATTGTGCCGCACTATGACGTAATGTTAGTATCTGGTAGCATCGACCGATGACGATCGAGCTTACGTTTGAGCAAGAGATATTCTGAGAGAAAACGAAAGGACTGTACGAGATAGGCGTGTCGTAAGTGCAGTTGCAGTGGTGGAGGAGCTGCATATCCTCTAGGGTCTCAACGGCAAGCGGTATGAGGGGCAACTTGGAAAAAACAAGGTTGAAAAGCTGTAGCAGTCGTCGAGTCGAATGACACTTGTAACGATAGAATATCTTGGGCACTCGAACTTATGTTTCGCTGCTGGGCTTTGATATTGGCTCGTACTATCCGCGCGTGCGTTGGTTGGGCGCTGACGACAATCGGCGGGGAAGGGGTCAAAGGCGCTGTGAGTCAGGAACAAACAGAGAAAGGTATTCAGAGACACTTGAATCAAGTCAGCAATGAAGAGGGGTCAGTAGGAAAATTAGCAGCAGCGTGATGGTGGTTCTTTATGTACCGTTAAGTATAGCGTGCTGTTGGGGTCATGCGTGTAGGCGGGATGATTCTGATAATTTTGTCGCCCACATCCAATTAGTGACGAAGCTGAAACCCAACTTGTTCGGCTAGTCTTTGGACAGCCAATGAGGTGTCTCTGGAGCTTGTAAATAGTGGTCGGTTTGGGACGACAACTCATCAAATGTGTATGGGCGTATGCACTTTTGGATGTAGGTGTGTGCAATTGGAGCGGTCCTGGCGGAAGAAGCCGGGACAACAGACAGCGGATACGCGAATACAGGAGAGACCAGCAATGAGAGGACGGATCGCACCAACTGGTTTCGAGAACGCCGCAAGGGACTCGGAAGATCGCAACGTTTGCGGGCGTTGTGACTTGCGTTCGTCGGTGCTGATGCCTCTACAGTGGGTGTCGGGGACCGGGGATGCTCTCCTTGGCGCGCTAGTGAGCTACTGGAGCTTGCGCAGATACACCATTGCCTAGAATCATCTACACCGGGACGCTCGACTTTCAACGTTTGCTAATACGGTAATTGTTCCTTTACAACCCAGGGACTATTTGACATCTCGAAAAACTCACATCACCGTCTTCAGTCTTCACCCCACCCACCATGGTAAACACCCCACCGCAACAGTGCAAGCACCCCAGTCGATCTAACTATGGTGTAGACTTCAATAGGCACGGGCTACGACCTGTCCAACTCGGTCTTCTCCCCCGATGGTCGAAACTTCCAGGTCGAATACGCGGTCAAGGCGGTCGAGAACGGTGGCACAGCGGTTGGCATTAAGTGCAAGGATGGCGTCGTACTCGCTCTCGAGAAGCTTGTCAGCAGCAAGCTCCTCAAGCCAGGCGCGAACAAGCGGATAGCAACCGTAGACCGTAATATGGGCATCGTATCTTCCGGTCTCCTCCCCGACGGTCGCCACTTCGTCTCCCGCGCCCGCGATGAAGCAGCTCAATGGCGGCAGATGTACAAGGCACCTATTCCCTCTTCGTCTCTTGCCGACCGCATGGGAAGCTATGCCCAAGCATATACTCTTTACTCCAGTGTCCGTCCATTTGGTATAACCGCCATCCTTGCAGGCTGGGATTCTGAGGCAGAGCTACCAGTAGATGGCCAAGTCGGTTCTGGGCCTGCTGTTGGTTCGGGAGGCAAGAAGGAGGGTGCGAAGCACGGTGGGCCATCACTCTACATGATCGAGCCTAGCGGTCTATATTGGGTATGCAGAATCATCTTGTCGAGACATGGGCAATAACTAACGCGCATAGGGTTACTACGGTGCGGCTACAGGCAAGGGCCGCCAGGTCGCCAAGTCGGAGCTCGAGAAGCTCAACCTCGCTGAAGGACAGCTATCACTGGAGGAGGGTGTCAAGGAGGCAGCACGCATCATCTACGTCGCGCACGATGACAACAAGGACAAGGAGTTTGAGCTTGAGATGACATGGATCAGCAGTCTCGACGGTCCTACCAAGGGCAGGCACGAAGAAGTACCCAAAGACATCCGGGAAGAGGCTGAGAAGTTAGCAAAGAAGGCACTAGAGGGAGACGACGATGATGACGAGGACGAGGAGAAGATGGAGGAGTAGACGACGACATGACACTGCGTAGACGGTAACAAGCATTACGAGCGGCTTTCATTGCCTTTCACGATCAAATGAACAACATTTACAGAAGCAAGCACGGTAATGTCACTCTCATGTTCGGCCCGCCTACCAAAGTTGCTTCGTCGCTCCTGCCATTTATGGATTGACATCATCGACGAATCGCCATGCAGGTACATCCGCCCCACTACTGTAGCGCGTCACCTGCAAGCCGAGTTTGAAAACCAAGTCAACAACTTCCATAAGTACCATACGTCACGCGTCTCTACCTCCACCTACACTCCCTCTATCTAACCAATTGCTGTTTGCCATCATGCCGCCAACTCTTATACTCATCCGCCATGCTCAGGCAGAACACAATGCCACCAGCGACTGGTCTATCCGTGATCCTCCACTTACCGAGCTGGGCGAACAGCAATCCCGCGAGCTACACGAGAGTCTGAAAGCGAGCAAGATCGGCAACGAAGTTGAACTCATTGTTGTGAGCGCTCAAAGACGGACGCTTCAGACTGCCACTATTGGACTAGACTGGCTTATCAAGAGGGGTACAAAAGGTAAGGTTGTTCACGGATCGTGAAGACGCTCGTTTCTATACCCGCGTAGCATGAGTTCTGATTCGTTTACAGTTATACCTGACGCAAACTGGCAAGAAAATGCCGACAAGCCCTGTGATACTGGAACACCCATCGACCAGATCTCTAAAGAATTCCCGCAATACGACTTCTCAGTTGTAGACCCTTCGTTCCCAGATAAGACAACAGGCGGAGCCAAAAACCCATACGCCTTTACCGAAAAGGCTATCCTAGCACGTGGACAGAGATGTCTCAAGGACCTCTACTCGCGTCCCGAGAAGGTTATTGCCGTTGTCTCGCATTCGGGTTTCCTGCGCACGGGTGTGTGCAACCGCATGTTCTTCAACGCCGACTGGCGTGTCTTTGAGTTTGACGAGGATGAGATGAAGAAGAATGCTGGATTCTTCGTGCTGAAGGAGAGTGAGGAGACGGAGAAGAAGGGCGGAGGTATGGGCAGGAGTGATATCGGCGTCTTTGGTATCGTACCTGGGGACTTCCCGCCGGAGGTTGAGGAGGAGATAGCTGCGAACAAGGCACAGGTTGATGACGAGGCTACTAAGCAGAATCCGAGTGCTTGAGCCTCATAAAGTTGGGTCATTTACGATTTTTAGGTTACCGAGTGTACGTCGTTAGAACTCTTCCATCAATTAGAAACATAGAATCGGGTAGACACATAGACTCAAGAATGAGAAAGACAGTCGGAATCACGTTGACATATGCTGGTCTGAGCACATCATCTGCATGAGCATGATGCGTCTTCACAATAGCGAGTGGCACGCATCGTACCCACTTAAACAGTATTGATATCTTCTGGGCCGATCCTTTGAATGTCTAATGTGCCCATGGTCTCGAAACAATACTCGTCATGCTCCTCGAACTAGTGGAAGATGATTTCTCCACTCTGCATGTTTCTCCCTCCATGCTGCATTGAACCCAGCCATTGCCGCCTGTTCTGTCGAGCCAATGATAGCTAATCCGACGGCCTGTCCGAAGAGCTGGTGCAAATCCTTACTTGCCTCTACCAGCCTTCTGTTATCAGCCCAGTAGAGCTCAACATTCTTGGTCCAATGTGTCTCAACATGCACCTTGGCGATTTGAAGTCCCGACTGACAACGGACAGGTTGAGTTGACGCTGTCTTTCGACTCGCCAGTTCTTTGGAACATGCCAATCGCCGAAACTGGAGCAAAGGTCTCAACCATTTTTCACGCAGGCTGAGCTTCGGAGCGGCTTCGTGAACTTTCATCCAGACCTCAAGCTCGTGTAGACCTGTGAGCTTCCTCGAGGCGATCTTACAAGCTTGCTGCCTAGAAGTGAGCACAGTGTTAGTTACTTTTCCGTATAGTATGCAAGAGCACAGCCGAGCCCACGAAGCACATCATAGTACTTACCAACTCTGGCTGTGCTTTTCTTGCCAGACTCGGAACTCGGTTCTATGAGGGTGACCATAGGTGTTGTAGTGGAGATGCAATTTGGTGATGTTCTCAATGCCAACGCTGGAGGCGAATCTGAAGAAATTGACCATGCGCTTTGGCGCGTTGAACACAAAGACTGTCTTCTGGTATAGGAAGGTTGCTGTCTCCGAGTAGATTTGCTTGCATACAAGACTCAGGGCATGCAGCGAACCCTGCCAATTCGTGCATAATCCCCGGACAGCATTGTACTTACCAAGTGGTCTTGGGAAGCGGACCACGGTAGGAGGAATAACATTTGCCTCAGATTTATACGCCGGAGTAGTATTTTTCGCAAGAGCAAGATTCAATGACAGCTTGACGGTCTGCGGGGATCGCTGTGTAAATTGAGCTCCATTACCGACAATCTCACAGCGGCGCTCCGACTCAAAGTAGGAGTTGTAAATCTGGTTTCTGATCTCTCCGGGTAAAGCAAGGAAGCCGCGTATCTTGTTTGGCGCATGCACCGCCGACCTGCGAGCGCGGGAGAAGAAAGTGGTTGTAACCATGTCTTCAAGCTTCCCAAGCGGTGGAAGCTGAGAATATCTGTTAGCCGTAGACAACAGTTGGCTATGATTCAAGGTGGGATCAAGTTGGTGGGAATGTGGCAGTTGCCGTACCAGTAAAGATGGGGAGTGGAGAACAACATCAATGATCAATTGATGCTAGCAAGCCTGGGCCCTGAGCTAGCCCCACCTAAGGTTAGTGTACACGTACATTCCTCGTCTCTGCGACAATCGCCCCTCCCCATACCGCCTTATTATCATTATGTCGCTACTCTCGCGCCAGCGTATCCTCCTTCGTCAGCCTCAATTCTTCGCAACTCGCGCCTTTACCTCCTCTAGGGTAAACGCATCTCGTCTCCATCAACCAGGCGAACCAACAGGCCCCAACGAAGTAAGTTGTGACCCTACGAAATGCATGCAAGGCATACACTGACCCCATATCTTCATCCCTGCAGCCTCCAACACACATCCGGACTCCGCCTTCCAAATCTCCCCTCAAGGTCTGGCCTATTCTCGCTATCTTGGGACTAGGCACATACCTGTTCAACCAGATCGTTGAGCAGCGCAAAGGCGAGGGATACCAACCCAAAGGACCGATTCAGGGCCATTCACCCAGTGGCAAAGGACAAGTGAAGCCTTCGCATCCTCACTAGCCAACATGCCTGCTATCGAAGGAACTGCCGCCGGCAGCCGCTCTTCTCCTCTCTGGTCCAGCGACGAAGTCACTGTACTCTTCGTCCTCGGTGGTCCTGGTGCAGGAAAGGGCACTCAATGTACAAAGCTCGTCAGCGACTATGGCTTCAAGCATCTCTCTGCTGGCGACCTGCTTCGTGAGGAGCAGGACCGTGCGGGCAGCGAGTTCGGCGAGATGATCAAGACATACATCAAGGAGGGCACCATTGTGCCAATGGAGGTCACTGTTCAGCTGCTGGAGAATGCTATGAAGAGTAGCATTGAGAGTGGTGAGAACCACGGAAAATTGTTCTTGATTGATGGTACGATGCCCAATACAACTAGTCTTCCCCTATCGTCTAACGTTAAGAGGCTTCCCACGAAAACTCGACCAAGCTCACGCATTCGAGCGCTCTGTCTGCCCTTCCAAGTTCACCATCTTTTTTGACTGCTCCGAGGCTGTCATGGAGAAGAGACTTCTCCACCGTGGCGAGACATCCGGCCGCGCGGACGATAACCCGGAGAGTATCCGAAAGCGCTTCAGGACATTCGTGGAGACAAGCATGCCTGTGGTCAAAGAGTTTGAATTGCAGGACAGGGTTGTCAAGATAAACGCGGAACAGGAGCCAGACCAGGTCTACCGGGATGTGCAGGAGAAGCTCAAGGAGCGTGGCGTAAAGCCCATCAATCTTACATTTGTACAGACACAGGCTTCATAGACAGTGGGAGGGGCGCAAGAATCAATATATCTGAATTGCATTGTCTATCATGCAGCTCGAGGGCTGCTGTTCATGAACCTGAAAAGCCTCATAATGCATCCGTCCCAAGCTTACCCCTTTTGAAAGAAACAAACGCGAATCAAGTCGCTGCAGCCGCTTAGTCCATATCTTCATCTATGGCCCTGTGCTGCTTCCTCTGTCCACCCCGTCCGCCGAACCTCGAGGCCATATCAGCCTTCTGGTCTGCCTTGTTTGCCTCGTCCTCCTTCTCCTGCAAGAACCTCAGCTTCTCTTGCTTAATGACGTCCAGAACACCTTGTAGACTGTTTCGCCATAGGTTTAACCTGGAGTCCACCTCTCTCCACTGGTTTTCGCCAAAGACGCGGTATGTTGAGCGGTGGATCAGGAAGGTCTGGTTAAGCTGGCTGAGCTTGCCCTCGACAAGACCCGCGCGGATTACGTCGATGACCCACATCTCGACATCTTCAGATGGTACTTGTAGTTTGTTTGCGATCTTCTCGTAGGGAAGCGACCTGGTCTGACCGGCGGATGCAGCCATGGACGCGAGAGTGAGAAGGCGCATCTTGCGGTTCAAGGCAGCGCCGTCGAGACCGGACTCCTCAACCCAGCCATCGTGTTCATCCTTGAAGTCGTTGAAGTCCTCTAGCAGATCCGAGTTGAAGATCTCGAGGAGCTGGAAGTAGACAGGGTCGGAGTTGCGGAGGGCCTGGATCGAGTCGAGATCGGTAAGATCTTGGAAGTCGAAGTGGGTAGGGTGGGTAAGGGCCGACTTGAGGGCACGGAGAGAAAGCTCACGAGCCTCTGGGGACGATGCTTGTTCTGAAGGGAACGTCCTGAGTGCGCGTAGCAGATATGTGTATGCCTGCTCATCCTCGCCAGCGTCCGATGCGACGTCGCTAACAGCAAGGTAAAGCTTGCGCGCATTCTCCTCCCCAGTCTGCCATGCAGCTATCCAGCTGTCGAGCTGCTTCAGTTGTGGTCGCAGCGTCTCGAAATTTGATGTAGCGCGAATGACACGGAGAATGGCGAGGAGCACGTGGTAGCGCGTTTCGCTGTCCGGCTGGGTGGTGTTGAAGATGGTGCTGAGGATGGAGAGAGCCAGACCACCACCGTTCTGGGGCGACGAAGAGATAGGTGTGCTAAGGTTCTGGCACATCTTGGGGATGAACACGGACACATTCGGCGACTGGTTTACGAGGTGAATAAGCAGGTTGTATGCCGCGATGAATTCTGCGCGCTCATTGTTAGCCCAGTGTCTTCTCCCATCAACATACGCCCTCTTGTGTCATGACTGAAGCCGTACCCTTCTCTGGCGCCTGGTTCAGCGCTTGGCTACCGACGACGAGCTTCTTGAGAACATCGTCCTTCTTGTTCTCCTTGAGCAGGTCTGCGCTCTCGCCCTGGAGGTTGGCGCTCTCATCGCCCTGGGATTTTTTGAGGCTGTCAATGTATTGTGCGAACTCGTCGGTAAGCTCCTCGAAGGTGCCCTCGATGAGCAGCGTGGTCTTGGCGCCCGGCATGGTGAGTGTCGTAGAGTCTGGTATTAGGGGAGAGTGTAGGCGGCGGGCGCAGAGGGCGGGGTTGGTGGATTGTCGACAATGGGAGCGGCGTTGGTGGGATGCCAAGATTGGAGTTGGGTTTTTGGGACGTCGCTATCGATAACGCACAGACTTGATCCAACACAACCGGAACCATTTGCTACGTTGAAGAAACACCACACCGGTGGATATTATACTCCCATGATCGAACCCTTGGAAGCGTCACAAATGTCAGATCTAGACTTGTCACCATTCGCAACGAATTGTTGCTATCCCCTGCACTATCATATCAAATTCAAATCTACTTACGGCTTCCAGTAGGGCATCCAGGCACCCGCCCTCTTGTAATGCAAGCTCATACGCATCACCTTCAACTTCAGGGTGCACCGTGACGAAGGATCTTTCCGTCAGTGTATTTCCGTCTCTGACGTCTAAGACGTTGTTGTACAAGATGAAGATCCTCCATTCGGCCAACTCTCCCTCAAGAACTCTAATTGGACTTGGACGCAAAACGTCGCTCATTTACATGAGTTCGCTACACTGATTGCGTCCATGCAGTACTACCTGTCGATCAACGTCCTCTGCCACGTGAAGTTCCTACATATCCGTTACATTATACCGAACGAGAGAACTTGCTAACGGTGTGTTGACTGCTAGTGAGTACGTAAATGCCGATATTGGAGGGGCTGGCTGAAAGGGGCACCCATTGATTGTCGATTGTGGGGTCATCCCTACGGTGAACAGTCAGTGTCTCAGATCGGAAATAGTATTTCTAAAGACCCATACAATAAGGACTCTGATAAAATTGGGTACCCCGAGCTGTTAGTACATCTAGCTATGCTCGTTTACCAAATGACCATGTCGTAGCACTTCTGGGCGGACATGTAGCAAGAGCAAGGAGCAATTTCATGTTGGGTCGACGAGCTAACAATTTTCCTGCAATGAACAGGAAAAGCCTCTTGTCAAGTGCCGAACACATAAACGCGTTTTGCGGGGGTGACAGGGATTGATCCTTTCAGCCTACAATATACCGAATTCGCTTAGACTCGAGTCTCATCTATAAGCACATGTTTGTCTTAATATTTCTTGGTTTGTTTTAAACATGTTGTGGAAGACCTGCACACCGATAGCATGACTGCAGTGGAGGTGATGGACCCCCCTGTTGCTGTGGGGCCTTTGTAATGTAGTATGCCGACTGCTCGCAATTGTGAGCAGTTCTTTGACGCTTTTAAGGTCAATCGCTTTGCTAAGAGTGTATCAAAATGAAGTTCACAAATGTTGTATCGTTGCTTCTCGCTGCATCGGCTTTCGCACAAACCACTCCCTCAGGCTTCACTCCCGCGACAAATGAAACACTGGACGTATACTACGGGACGCAGTATATCAGTCCTGGTATCGTCGTCAGAAAGTCTAGTATGAGTGCAAGATGTGAGGGAAGAAATAATTATGCTAATGCTGATCAGTCACACAAAGAGCTCCTGTCATTGGTCTTAGCAACACGACACTTAGCGGGAAATACTTACTTGCAATGATTGGTATGTTCCAAGATTACCTTTGCAAAGATAAGCGTAATAACACCATGAAGACATAGATGGTTCTCAAAACGGTCGTACAACAACCGTCTTGCATGCCCTTCTGCAGGATTATACAGCATCTGGCACAAAGCAGAACGGCACGTCTGTCCTCACTACGACAGCTACAACGCCTTCGTCATACTTTGGTCCTGCGCCTCCTACTGGCGCGCCTCCCACTCATCGTTACGTATTCTTACTGCATGAGCAGCCAGCAAACTTCGCGGTACCGGCTGCGCACAAACAAGTCGTCAGCAGCAGATTCGGGATTGATTGGCCAAAGTTCATAGCGGATGCCGGGCTCAAAGCACCGATTGCTGGAAACTATCTGCAAGTGAAGAGTGGGGATAACACAAAGAGGTGGGATGCATAAAAAGGCGCTCGTTGACTCGAGGTTGCATTATCTAGCATCTCGTACACTGATAGTTTCTTATTGCGTGAATGTGGCGGATACATTAATGATGCATCTGCACATCAACTAGCGTTTTCTTTCAAACCAGAAATCTAGCTCTCCAAACCCAATGACGAACCATATGCAATCTTGAACACATCCTCAACTTATACCGCCGTGCAGTTCAAGTTGTTTCCCAGAGTAACTTTGAACACTTCCAGAAGACACTGATACGCGCGGTCGCCATCTTCACTCAACTCTTCACTGCTTTCGATCACATATGTGCCACCTGGTATAATTATACCATTGTAGTACACAATCGTGTCTACGGCTTGGGCATTACATGCTATCATTGTCAAAATCCAATACTTGGGGTTCAAATCTCTGTGCAATACGCACCTTTCTTCTCGTTTGACCACATCCACCCAATGCTATACAGCGTCTGATCGTAGTGTGGGATGTGTCCGGTAGTGTCGTAGACGACTCGTCGTCTTCTCAGGTCGTTCTCCGCCCATGAACTATCTGTAACGGCATAGCTGATACATTTTTCGGCTTTGTGTGCGATCTTGTCGATGGCTGTTACGCCACTAATGGCTGCTGCGAGGACGGCGATGAGGTTGGTTTTGCGCATTATAGCGACATATGTTGGAACGTGTGTGAAGACGTCTGAAGGATTACGGAGGAAAGAATTATCGTGCGTGTTGTTTGGTATGTTGTCCGGGGCAAAGAGGCGGGTTTGTTAGGGGCACGGAATGGGGAACCGATCTTCTACCGTGGTACTTGGATAGGGGGAATAACACTAATACTGAGGTATTATCTCACCACTTCAGGACACTCATAACACGAATTTCAGATCCCTATCTATAGATAGCCTGTCTGTGGGTTTTCAGACACGTACTAAACATTTGAAGGTGTCAATTGCGTTTCGGATCTCGTTCATATCTCAACATATCCTAGGAGGCATATGGCAAAATTTAGCACCCGCGCGATCACTGATAAGATGCTGTGCCATACCAAAAGATGTGTTCAAGAGTTAAGAATTTGGAACATTGTATTGTATTTGTCATGTTATCGCTCACTGTAAGCCAAGCATAACTAAAGTAGCTACATGAAGGGAATCTTGTGGTCAGCCCCATCGCACCCATACCTGAGTACACCCAATCAATGCCCGAAAGCTTGTGAGTTACCCGCATTGATCTTAGCAAACTCCTTGTTCTCTTTCTGCCACTTTCTCGCATATCTGACACCAAAGCCATGTTCAAACACCTCACGGATAGCCTCGAGCGGCATTCCCTTGACTTCTGGGAAGCAGAAGATGACAAAGAGCCAACCGGCAAAGCAGATACCTGCATAGAAGCCAAAGGCCCCTGATGGAGTAATGCCCTTCATCATAGAAAGGAAGGTTGAGGCGATGATGATGTTGGTACTCCAACATGTGACTGTGTTGAGCATCGTACCAACCGCCCTAACCTCCATGGGGATCAACTCGGTGCCGATCCATGCAACAGTTGCGACTCCACTAGAGTAAAAGCCAACAAAGATGATGATTGTAGCAATGAGCACATAACCTGGCCAGCCGATCTCGTCGCTCTGAACAGCCAAAGTGTGTAAGTCGATTGGGATGTAAGAGAAGCTGACGGCAGCAATGACGAGACAGATACTCATTCCCAAGACTGTCACCAAGAGTATGCGACGGCGACCGAACTTGTCGACGATGACAAGGTTGACAAGCGAGAAGATAAAGTTCGTAGCGGAAACGGTGATGGCGACAGCGGTGGCGTTGTTAAATCCTACAATTTTGAAGAGAGTTGCGGAGTAATACATGAGCGTGTTAAAGCCAGACAATTGCGAGATGGCCATGATTGTGCATGCTGCAAATACAGCGCGGAATGTGGATGCGGTCGTGAAGATGCGGGCTAGCGTCTTGAATACTGAGTCGTCTACCATTGTTTGTGTAGCCTCGTTGATGCTCATCTCTATGCTCATAATCTTCGCACGGCGCTGCTCTTCAGTCGAAGTCGGATAGAGACGTGTAAGGATGACACTGGCTTCGTCTGCTTTCCCATGTGCGACTAATTGACGGGGAGATTCGGGGCAAAGAGTCAAAAGGCCGGCGAGGAGGATTGCGGGTGCCGCACCAATGCCAACTGTTGCCCTCCATGCCTGCGAATTGGCGCCTCCAACTTGTGCGAAGCCGGCACCGATGGCTGAGGCTAGTAGCTGACCGAACGTAACACTCATGTTATTGAAAGCGATCATGCGGCCGCGATACTTGGCTGGTGCTAATTCGGAAATATAGAGAGGCACTACCATAGCCGCCGAGCCGACGCCTAGGCCTACAACGAAGCGGCCTACAGCAAATTGTGGGAGGTGGTATGCGGCCGTCTGGAGTACTGTACCAATGACGAAGACACCGCAGGCCAAGAAAATGGGTAGCTTGCGACCGTATTTGTCGGCAATCATGCCGGCAATAACAGCTCCTACGAGTGCTCCCCCAGAAGTAAGCGAGGTGACAAGTTCTTGCTCGGAGGAACTGAGTTCGTGGCCGAGAGATGTACCGATAGTGACGAGGACTGAAGAGATGTAGCCAGTGTCGTAGCCTCAAAATAGTCAGCATGATTTAAAGAAGTGATCTTACTCAGCGATAGGGATACATACCGAAAAGGAGGCCACCAAGAGAAACGGTCACTGAGATCAGCCAAGCAGCCTTTGAAGCGGCTGTGGCCTCAATGCCAGAGAGGTTTGCGATCTGTTCAGCATGTTCGCGTGCAGTCGTAATGTCTTCAATCTTGTCGATGCTAGAAGACCTCTCGTTGAAGATGTCGACTTTCTTCGTGTCCGATGAAGTTTGAGCCATGTTGACTGATATTGGCGGCGATGAGGAGTCAAAAAAGGATGTGAAGTGTTGACCTGGAGCCAGCAATGCAGCGATGATCGTCGAGGCTCGGAAGCTTGCGATGATTGAGCACCATACTCAGGGAGATCTCAGGTCCTACTTATGTTAATTGTGTAGTTTAAAGTCGACACTTCGGAAAGGGCCGGCGCGACACGCAACCAGGCTCGACGCGAAGAAGTTTGGCAAGCTAACATGGATTGCCACGTTGGGACTTGTTCTGCCACCATCGCATGGCCTTTCCCCAGACTTCTGGTCGTGTGTCTCCGCAATCTCATCCGGCATGCGTCATTTTTCGCTTCGCACCCGCTGGGGTACATAGCAAAACGCGGGGGTGGGCCCAGAGACCTGGGCAAACGGGCGTGGAGCAACTGACTGACATTTCAATCGGTTGCTGCACATTGGTTGAGATGGGCATGGCGGGCCGAGAACACTGTTCGCGCGTGCGGCTGAGGTGTTGGAAATAGGAAGTCTGCGGCATAGACTTCTACGTTGGGTGCTAAAGCTTGGGCTCCAGTGCCCGTGTCCTGCGGGGTTGCTATATCGAGCGGTGCGGCTGGATGAACAGGTATGATCCGACACATCTACCGCGACTTTCTAGAAAGACATCAATGCCGACAGAAGGTCACCGAAGACCATGCGGCTTTTGATATATTTGATGCCCTGGTGGGTACACAAATCCCACGGTATGACGTATGCGTAGACCAAGAGAATAGCAACAACAGCATAATCTGAGGTTGGAGGTCTTCTGACAAGTTAAGTCATAAACTTTGGGCGTTTGGGAGCCGCGTTCTCCGGGTGCACATGCGCAGACAATCATGTCGAAGGTCTGGCACGAGACTGGGCTTGTAGCCTCCAGTAGGTGTGCGCGGGAAAAGGATTACTCAATTTTCGTAGAATGCCGATCTGGTGACCAGAGTTTTTCTGTTGTCCTGTTACCAGAGAAGAGGCCAAGATCTGAGCATGCAAGGTGTTATTGATAACTCCATCCAAGAGGCAGTCAAGACTCTTCGAGGCGAAGTAGACGCAAGATGGTGGGGCAAATTCGTAATTTGCTCTACTTGTCGTCGCCGCCGTTCGATGCGAGACACAGGATGGGACCGGCGGAGGTTTTCGGGTTTATTCAATACCAAAAATTGGACCTTCGTACTAGCATTGACTTGGTGTCTTTACGGTGGGGATTGCAGTAACAGTAGGGCGAGCGTATCTTGTACATTATATTAACATTACGTATTGTTGTATAAGTCTATTCATAATGAGGAAAACCATTCGTGTCGAGACCAATTGTTGATCCAGAAAATTGAGAGCATGAAACGCTACTTAGCTGCAACCGCAATCCGTAGCTTGTCATGCCTTGCATTATCTCATTGAGAAGACCTGCCAGACACAACAACTTCTCCAGGAAGTCAAGGTACTATTCGCTTTTGGGGTGTTTGATAGGGTTGCCCTGCTCATCCACAAGTCCCTTCGCCCGCATAACCTTGAGGGCATCATGAATAGGGTCCAACTCTGGTTGCGGCGCCCTATGAGAGCCAAAGTAAGTGTCGGCAAAGGTAAAGTACTGCCCGTAATTGACTGTGAAGTACATGTGGTGCAATGTGTGGTGGGCGGGACTGTTAATAAACTTTTCCGTCCAGTGGCCCGTGATCATGTCGCCGTCGTGAATGAAGATGGTCCAAATCTGGACACCAACGAAGAGGACCAAGTATAGGTACCTCTGCATTGGACATATGAAGACAAAAAGGCTTTGAGGTCTTAGAAACGAACTTTTGAGAATATAGGTGACGGGCTACTTACTGGTACGGCAATGATTGCACAAATCCGTCGAGCGGGTGAAAGGCTAGCGCAGCCCATGGCGTAGGAACTGTTGTTGTTAGCATCATGGTCTATATTTGCGAGAAAGTGACATGACGGTAGGAGCATTGCGAGAAAACAAAACTTACCAATCCATTTGTGGTGTGGCTTGTGGATGTATTTGTACACACTGGGGTGATGTTCCAGGCGGTGGATCCAGTAGATGGCAAAATCATTGAAGGCCATGTAAAGTGTAGCTGAAATCAACAACCAAGGCCAGCCATAGTCACTGGTGTCGGCGTATAGCAAGCTTTTGCCACGGACCTCGGCCAGGAAGATAGGCAGGGTCAAAAGGTTGATGAATGGGACGGCGGAGAGTGAGGACACTATCTCTTGACGGACTTGGTTCTTCAAAAAACGAGGATGGTACTCGAGTCGTCGATCAAATACAAAATAATACGACAGAGAACTGAAGAAGAGGTAGAGAAGAGTTGCGCCGAGCTGAGTGATGATGAGTATCGATACGATCTGGCGATAGATGTTGTCGCGTGGCCATTGGGACGTGGGCGCGTCGTTAGCGGCCGAAAACTCAGAGTATGAGGAGTTCCCTAAGCTGAGGTCGGAAGCAGGCAATGCCCATGCGTAGGCCTTGTCCAAAACAAGAGGATTGAGAAACTCCAGCGCGACATCCATTGTAAACTGCTATGCAATGGCGGGCGTGAAAATCAGGTTGAACAGTGAAGGCAGCGGGAATAATTGTCGCACAAGTTGCCGTTGAGGCGCGGATAGACTCGGTATCCGTGTTCCTTGGCTTGGCAGGGGTAAATTTGTTAAAAGTGGGGTACTTCGCCTCGTAAGATTGGTCATAATTTAGATTCTAGAAGCAAATCACCCCCAGACATCCGCCTTCCATTTCCCTCGCTTCTTCAACCCGTCGGCCCACGCCTTGACATCTACCTCAGCCAAGCCTTTCTTCTCCATGACAGCTTCCTCCAGCTTCATGTCTACCTCTCGCGCCATGCTCGCCTTACCGCAAATGTACATGTTTGCCCCTGACTCTAACATCTCCAGCACATTGCCAGCTCGCTCCGCAACCCTGTCCTGCACATACGTTCTGGGTTGCCCCTGCATTCGTGAAAACGCAGTGACGATTTCTAGCTTGTCGCCTAGTTGTTCCTGCATCTTTACCAACTCGTCTTGGTAGATATAGTCCTTCTGATTGCGGCAACCGAAGAACAACAACATCTTGCCGACGGGTTTACCAATCGCATGCAATTTCGCGCGTTCTTGGAGGAAAGCGCGAAATGGTGCGAATCCAGTACCTGCGCTGATCAAGACCAGTTGAGTCGATGATGTGATGGGAAGTTTGAACTTCGATTTCCTAACGTGCGCGAGGATTGTTTGACCCTGAAGGTCTACACTTTCGACTGTACGATGATAGACAGGAACGGGCGCATTCGCAGCCGACTGAAGGTTGGAGGCTGATAACAGGTAATTGGATGTCAGTCCATGGATGATGGCTGTCGACTGATCTTCAGCGGTAATAGTCTTGTTCACGACGAGTGCAGTGATGGCAATTCGCCGTGGTGATATGACAGAGCTTGATGAGATGGAGTAGTACCGTGGCTGTAGTGGTAGCAAGTTCTCTAGGACAAAGGCGAGCGGTATCGACCTCCACGCATCCCCGGGACTGACGAACTTGAGCAACCTAGCGAAAGTGATGTGTGTAGAAGCCGTAAGCCGTTCATAACGCTCACGATCCTGGGCGATATCGAGAAGCTTCGACTTCGCTCCAGGTGAGGGCGCAAACTGAGCGATTTCGAGCACTGCCTTACGAGCTACGGGAGCGCAAATTTCCAGATGATTCCGAAAAGCTGTCTCGAGCGTTGATGGAGACGGTACCTTTGGCTTATTGGCATGGGTCTTGGGTATGACAGTGAGGCGGTCCTGTCTGCGGTCTTGCAAGCCTAGGACGTCTAGCAATCGATTGACTTCTTCTTCAGGATTGATTGGCCAAACGCCGATGTGGTCCCCGGTTTTGTACACGATGTCCGTCGTCCCCAGATCTACCTCCAGATGTACGCAGTTGCGATCACTCGATGTGAACAACTCACGAGCGTGCTTGATGGTCAAAGGGACGATGGCTGAGTTGGTGATAGATCGTTGGTGGTGTACGGACGTGACGGAATGGTCTTCGGAATCATGGCTCGAGGCGACGAGATCAACTTCGATATTTGGCTCGTAGGTGATAGCCTTCTCCTGGAAGCCCATCCGTGTAAGCAGAGCGAAGACATCGTCTTTCCATGTCTGGTAGTCTTCTTCTGTTCCTCCGTTGGCGTCGTCCGCCCTCTGGCGTGGGATAAGCGCAGTAGCACCAGCAGCGTCAAGGGCATCCGCCACAACATCAAGGACCCTGTTGTAGTACTTGTAGTTGCTATTGCCAAGACCGAAAGCCAGATATCGCAGATTCTCAAGTCGAACCTTATTTTCGCCAACGCGCTTGATCCAATCCCAAAGACCAGCTGTGTTATCGCTAGGATCGCCTTCGCCATATGTGCTCACGATGAAGATAGCGAAGTACTTCTTCTGGATGTTGGCAATGCTTTCGGCATCGTAATCGGAGAGGTCTGCGACCAGGGCGTTTATACCGAAGCGTGCGCCGCACTCTCGACCTAGGTTTTCAGCAAGTCGCTCTGATGTACCAGACTGTGAGCCCCAGAATATGACACAATGGTAACCGCCCTCATCGAGGCGTTGGCAAACATCGCGGGTCGTGGTGGTCTTTCCGTCCGAAGAGCCCTCCGCGACTTGTGGCCTCTCGAAATATATCTGGACCGACCTTGTGGTCAGTGAGGCTGCTAGACTAAGGATACGGATTGGTGAAGAAGCGGCTTTCTTACATGGTAATTTGGATCCGGTTTATCCCAAATGCGACCACGAGCGAGATAGCCCAGTGATGTGAGAAGAAAAAGAAGTGCAGCTAAGCCATCCGCTATAGTCGAAGGCTTCAGACTACTGAACACAGGTGTCGTACTCAGCGCTTGCAGAAGGGGATTAAGCTGTGATCTCAGATCTGGAATATCGACTGGTAGACTGAACGAATCCATGACAGCGGAAGGATAAAAAATGGCTACAGAAGTTTCGACGGGTCGAGTGAACAATATATCCGCGTAGAAGAGTATGGGCTTTCCTCAGTCAGCTTGCAGCATGCGGGTCATTGGAGACGAATACGCCAGCATTCGCACTGGCCAGGTGTTGGCGACGGACATTACTGCTAGAACTGTCCTGTTAGTGTAGCCCAAAACCTCAGTGTGGAAGCACCTCGAATTCTTGTGGAGTAACTCAAGGCATTCGGGTACAATCGTAGTAGACCAACGTTGGGTTGATCATGAGGCGAGTCAACCACGGCACCCCCGCGTTACCCCACAGTTCAGCAATCGTCGGCGACCAAGAGTCGTTCCCCAGTTTAAGTTTGCAAGCGCGCATATGCTGCTCGTAGCAATACATGCCGGAATAGGTCATTATTCTCCGAAGTCTACCCTTCTGAGCTCCCGGGAGACTATCGTCATCCAATTTGTGTAGCTGCATCAACGGGCATTGAGGTGTCGCAACCAACACTTAAGTAAACCTCAGAGCGCACTCTCAAGAGTGGCTAACGGGATCACATTCAGACTTCCTGTCGTGTTGACCACGTTCTATCATGTCGACTGCAGCACTTTCAATCCCATATGCAGCTGCGCTAGGCGCATGCGCTTTTCTCTACTTCGTTGTATATCCGGTCATCGAATATTTTCGCGATGTTAACGGTATGTTGACCATCATAGATGACAAAGGAGCTTCAACTAATGACTCAGGTCTTCGACGCTATCCGAACATGCACCCGCTCTCGGGTATCTCTTCGATACCGTTCATGGTGCTTGCACACGGCGGAGCACGGTCCACATACTTAGAGAAGTTACATCGAAAGCATCCAGTCATCCGTGTTGGACCCAACTTCCTGTCATACGGCGACCTTCGAGCTGTAAAGGACATTTATGGCCATAACACGCCCTGCACCAAGGACGGATCGTATGTGATTACTGCGGGCTCTCATTACCATCTTGCCGATGTAATAGACAAGCACGATCATGCCCGAAAGAGGAAGTTGATGAGCTCCGCGTATGCTATTAAGAACCTGGAGGGCTGGGAGCACAAGGTAGCCGACAAGACGCAGAAGCTACTGAAACACTTCGACGAGTGCTGTACCGCCCCGCTGGCACCTGGACAACTTCCGGAGTCTGGAGACGTAAACCTAGACTATCGAAAATGGACTAATTTCTTCACACTGGACGCCATTGCCGATATCGGACTATCCGACAAGCTTGGATTCCTCGACCGAGGTCACGATAGAGTTACTGGACGTAGAACAGATGGCTCAACGTACGAATGTGACTTTAGGCCAGCACTATACAACACAGCCCGGAAACAGTCGTTGTTGATCTGGCCATATGACTGGTATCCGCTCATTAACAAACTCTCCAACATCATTCCCTTCTACAAGCGCATGAGCGAATATGCAAATGAATGGGAGGGCGTACCAGTTCAACTTGCTCACAAACGCCTTGAACGATACAGGGCAGGAGAGAAGCTCGACGACTTTTTCCAGACGCTAATGGAAGACAAGAACGGCCACCCAAACAACCTGGAGTGGGGCGAGATTATCGCGGAGGTGAGCATCATGATGAACGCCGGATCCGCAACGACAGCGATTGCAATGGCCAACGTCATGTATCAACTGATTAAGCACCCTGAGATCAAGAAGAAGTTAGTACAAGAGATCGATTTGGCGTTGGAAGATGACGAAGAGGAAGGCGACGGAGTCATCGCCTATGACAGGGTGAAGCATCTACCTTATCTTCGCGCGTGCCTCGACGAGTCACTCCGCCTCTTCCCGCCGACCCCTCATGGGCTGCCGCGACAAACGCCAACAGAAGGCGCGAACATCCTCGGTGACTACATCCCAGGTGGTGTCTCTGTCGCTATGTCTGCATACGTTGCACATCGACAGGAGTCCATGTTTCCACAAGCCGATAAGTTCATTCCTGAGCGCTGGCTGGGTGAAGAGGGCAAGGCGTTGCAACCCTACTTTCTGGCTTTCTCGGCAGGCGCAAGAGGCTGCATTGGACGCAACATCTCATACCTTGAGCAAACTGTGGTGCTCGCGAGCGTGTTGCGACGCTATGATTTTGCGCTGAGCAGTCCAAACTGGGAGCTGCAACGGTTGGAGACGATGAACTGGATTCTGGGTGAGATGCCAGTGAAGATCTGGCGGCGAGAGCGAAAATAAGCATAGCAGGAGTAGGCAGAAGGCTTTTTGTTGCATAGCAGAGGTGTTTGGGTGCTTCATAGATCTGCGAATATAGCTCAAATTGATGGAATGGATGTGAAAGGTCGGTCGCATCAATTGGAAGAGACTCATTTACCGTGTTGTATCGAGGAATACATCCTGCGTGTGTTCGATATGCTGCGAGTCGATAATCTATGAAGAAGATGGACTGTGGAAGCCTTGATGGCGCGTTGTGGCGTAGAGTAGGTAGTGCATCACCGAGGATCGGTGCTGCGCGCAGAGTTCGATCGGAGGGCGCGAACATCAACGCCCGGGTTCTTTCGCTCCCCGAACATAGCGGCTTAGCTCATTGATTGGCTTCCCCACACATGTACTACTGGGATTTCTCCGCTTCGCTGCATGTTGTACATAAACGGTTCTACCCTAGTCTTCACATTTGAATCCATCAAATTATTTGATCAAGAACTTCGCCTATGTCCCAGCCTGTACAAAATCAGCCCCCAACGGCGACTCCAGTACCGGTAGCTGAATCGTCGCCGGCCCCACCTCGTCCTGCGCGGTCAAAGAACGGTTGCAATGCGTGCAGGTATGCAGGAATTCCCTGATGCTCACCACCAATGCTCATCAACCTAGGAGACGGAAAGTGCGATGTAACGAGCAAAGACCACGTTGCGGTCATTGTGAAAGACTGAATCTCGACTGTAAGCTCAAACTTCAATGTACGCAATATGTGTGAGAAATGCACTGACTTCGCATACCAACAGGTACATGGCACCGGAACAGCACTTCCAAGCCATCTCAGCCATTTGTCACGGGACAGGGTCAACACCAACCCTTGTTTTCTGGTCCACTACCATTCGATGGATATGGATTCGGTTTCGATCTATCTGGACCCTTGAGTTTGGGCACCTGGGATGAAGCCATGCTGTTGAGTCCCAGCTCGTGGCCAACCGACACCGGACCCTTCGCGAATGTGAATATGCATGCCGACCCTGTTCCGCAATCTATCCACCATCTCCCACACACTCAGAGGCCTTCTGGTCAGATTCTGGGAGTCACTACGACTGCGAATAATGGAGCGCGTGAATTACCAGAGCGTAGACCAAACCAACCTGATCCAGCTTCAACTTCACCGTTCTCGACCGAGGATGCGCCGAATGGACCGAACGAAGACCATCTCTTACACACATTTCTTCAAATGCTCATGCCGCCTATCCTTACACCAGTGGAAATTGGTCCAAAGTGGGCATCCACCCGGGCCTTCTTTGCCACCCTGGCTGCAGAGTCACCTATCGTCAAGAGTGCCATCATAGCATTCGCCGCGATGCAGATGCAGCGTAGCGGGCTAGGTAACGACGTGGCCAAGGCAGATTGGAGGCCTTTGTACGAAATCGCAACTAGACAGGTATCAAGCCGCCTGGCAAAGACGAGAGTAGTCGAAGACAGTAATCTAAGACACATGCTCGCCGCCCTTTTCTTGCTCACCTATACCGATTTACTTACGGAAATGCTGCCGCGAGCCCACGCCAACTTACGAGAAGCATACATGCTTATAAAGGGCGCGGACAAGATCAAGTTCTCTGTCCCAGAACGCCGACTTATTTCTTGGTTGCGTCTTCTCGATGCACGAGCTATCTCAACGGCAGGTGGTGAAGGGCTCTTTTTGGCGGATACGGATGAGACCATCTTTGATGCATCGCCTGCTGCCAATCCCGGATCAGAACCAGACACGCCAGACACTGAGATTGAGGAGATCCTGTTTGATGTGTTATATCACCCCGGAATCATCTTCTATCAGAAAGTACAGTCTTTCGCCGGCCGCATCACACGCATTGACCCCTGGCATCGTACACGCGGCACCGTTCAGGACGAGACGGAAGTGATGGCTATCGCAGCACAGATCTCTAAGGATCTGCATGCACTTTACGGTCAGCGACCGGCATTGATGGATCATGCGGTCGCAGGAAACCTCACGGAGAAGCATCTAGCCAAGAATCTAGCAGGTGCGCTCACACGAAGCTTTCGCACATATCTCGCCAACTATCACGCCTCGTTCATACACTTACATCGCGTCGCATATGTGCAGTACCCTAAGACCAGGGACGTTATAAGCGCTATCGCAAGTATAAAGCGTCTAACACATTTGATGGCGCAGACAGATGAGTCGCTGCCTGTTAACGTCTTGTGGCCTCTCCTCATGTGGGGCTGCGAAGAGGATGATAACGAAGAAAGACGATGGATCATTGACGCAATTCGCGGTCTCGAGAGCATCGCTACCAATGCCAAGGCTACCGCCGATCTGCTGGAAGAAGTACAAAGAAGGCAAGATGAAGGCAAGAGAAGGGTTGACGTGCGTCTGGTCAGCCAGGAGTATTTTGCATCATCGAATCATTTCGCCATTGTGTGACGGGTGCGGTTCAACATCAATGCCCATTGCAACTTCCTCAAGCACACGCTGTCGCTCTGTTTTTCGATCTCGGGCGAAAGTGGCAACGCGGAAAACCTTGCCATATACAGGTCAGTGCAGAAGGCACTTGTCATCTCTGGCACAGATCTGAGCCAATCAGATTGCAAATCATCCTCGGACCATAGCTCCAATCGGGAAAATCTCCGCAACCTTCGATTCGTATCGCTTTGGGCTGAGACAACGCGTGCCAGACTTGGAACACTGCATACGAAATGGGCGGGGTAAGTAGCCCGAATGAAAACTGACAACATGGGCTCGGTTTCCCGGCTCAACGTGGCAACCCCATCATTCACACTTCTTGGGATCCGTATTGTACGATGAGGCAGAGAAGCGGATGGTCAGTCAAACCGGCGCAATTAGTTTCAATGCACGCTAATTATTGAACAGTAAAGCCTGCCGTGAGCGTCATATCAAATGTACCACCTCTCACTATCCAATGAGATTCAAACGCTTAACATACAGGTGTGAAGTTGCGCGACTCGGAAAAATGCAAATATTGCACTGAGCGCAAAAAGCCATGCGTTCGCGGCAATGCCTTTCGCTTCCGCCCCGTCACAGCAGTGAAGTTCAATGCTGGTGAAGACATAGGTTCCGCCGAGCAATCGCTCGAATTTCGAGTGGGTCAGCAATGGGTGGACATCCCAAGTTCGTGTGCGTATGCGACAGGTCCTATCCAAATACAGTGGCTGATAAAAAGTGGCGTAGTGCACTTTGTTGAGCCCAACAAGGATAGTGGTGACGAAGAAGAGCACGAAGCTGTGCCAGAAGGCGAAGCGAATCCCGAAAGCACGTCCAACGATGTTGATGTTACTTCGAATGGCCGACGACCAGACCAAAGTTTGGACGGAGTTTCCAGCGAGAGCCAACTGGCATCGTCATATCGTGACGTAAACCCATTTGCGACCGTTCCGATTCCAGAATTCGACGATACTAGCGATTTGCCGTCCATCCACGACGTTCTCAGTACTACTCACATCCCACCATCCCTAGTTCATGGCACTAGTGCTGGGAGCAACAACGCATCGCAACATATTCGAGCCGCTTCTTCCATAAACCCACTAGCAAACACTAGCCACTGGCAAGCAAGCCCTGGATCACTTCAACGCCTGTCGCAGTCTCCAAGTGTGTCAAAAAAGAGTCCTTTCGGGTCAATTACTAACAACCAGTCTCCTTACAACTCCACAGCGTTCAGTCCCTCCTCAGCACCACCACTCAGGTGGCCTGTGAATAGCGCCCACGAAGCACGTCTTTTCCATCATTACCTGTTCTTCTGCACTTCGTGGATCGACGTATGCGATCCACGAAGACACTTTGCTGTCGAGGTACCAAAACGTGCAGCCCACTTTCCTGTGATTTTAAATGGTATACTGGGTGTTGCCGCAAGGCACTGCTGGTTGATGGGTAAAGCCGCAGATGTGTCGCAGCCCTACATAGATCAGTGCTTACAAGCGCTGATCGTGGCGCTTGAGGATCCGCTGGCACATTGGGACGAGAACTTTCTTATCGCTGTTATTCTGCTTCGTCTTCATGAGGAAATGGGCGAATCCGATGAACACTGCCACCATCTGGTACGCTCTCATTTCTTTTGCCCAAAACAAACGTACAACATTGCTAACCGATGCGTGATCTTTAGGGTACTGCCCGTATACTAAACAGTATCTCATCCTTCGCCGCAGACGGCGGCCTCCGAGAATCGGCATCCTGGGTGTCTCTTCGCCAACACATCTATGTCTCTCTTACGACCCAAAAGCCCCTCAACCTCAGCCTCGATAACTACCGCCACTCTGCCGTGTTCAGCGAGTTCGACGACGAAAGCTGGGCCAATCGCATCATATTTCTCTTCGCTAACGTCCTGCAAGCCGTATTTGGAGGCAGCAACAACGGAAGCGAAAACGTTAGTCGGGAAACATGGAAAGACTTGAGCGACGAGGTAGATGAATGGGAGCGGACAAAACCCTGGACGTTTTCTGCTTTCCATGTCGAGCCTGACGCAGGTGATCGGTTCGAAGGAAGTTGGCCCGAACAGCTCTGCCCGTCAGGCGTTGTAGCAGTCGGTCTACAGTACTACCACCTCTGCAAGATACTGTTGACTATATACTCGCCTAATGCCTCCCTGGTGGGGCTCGCCGGTGTCCGTGCCAGAAAGTCTACCGATGCAGCCATTCGCAAGCACATGAGGATAACGATAGGATACGGTGTGAGTAATAGTCACTGTGGAAATGCCATGTTCCAGGGTAGTCATATTCTAAGTGCATGTGGAGCGTATATCATCGATCCGAGGGAGCAGCAGGCTTGTGTGGAGTATCTGGAACAGTTGCAGAAACTGATAGGGTGGAGGACGGATGGCGTGTTGAGAGACCTCAGAGAACAATGGACAATCTGATAGAATCCTGTCACGCGGCAGATTTTCATGTCCGGGAAGCAATTTAATATTTTAATTGCGAAGCATCCCTTTACAACGATGCTTCGAGCTCATCAAGACCTGATACCTGGTTCACAACCCATTTTCTCTTCTCCTCGTCTGCGTATCGTGGATAAGGCCTTCGACAGTCTGCGCTGGCCTCTGGGTATCCTCGCTTATGCGCAACGACATACTTTGTGCCGTTGATGCCACCCTTGCCGAAACCCCATTCGGTGACTGATAGTTTGATTTGGAGGGCTGACGCTTCGTCGTGCTTGCCTAATTGGTAGAGGTCGAACATATGTAGACAGGACTGGTCTGTTAGCTTTCAATCGCACCAAACTGTAGCATATAGTACATACCTTGGGATACAAGTTTGCGACACCAGTAATTGTGCCAACTCCGCCAACGCTCAGAGCTGGTATGAGCCAGTCGCTTTGACCCGCAAGAGCAACGAACTCCGACTTGCTGAATGCCGCACTGATTCTTGCAACCTTTGCAATTCCTCCGCATGTGAGCTTGACGGCTACGATGTTCTGGTGTTTGCCAAGGATGTCTAGCATCTCGGAGTTAATGTCGAGACCAGCCACGACATTGGGGAAGTTGTACAGAACGATGGGGACAGGTGATGCGTCGGCCAATTCCTGGAAATAGGCTACGATTGCATCCTGGTTCATGGAGAAGTGGAAGTAGGATGGCACCAGTGCGAGGTAATATGATGCGCCTGCCTCCTTTGCCTCAATGGTTTGTTGTATAGCATCGCGTGTGCAGCCTGCTACACCTCCAATTGTGATGGGAAGTTCTCCACGGCCAAGACGTTGCGCGGTTTTGCGGGCTTTTTGGACGAGTTGGGTCTTCTCAGCGGATGATAATGTTGCCGCTTCGCCGTTTGTTCCTGCGATAACGATGCCGTGAAGACCGTTCGAAATCAAGAACTCAAAGTGCTTCTCTTGGACATCCCAGTCAATTTCTTGATTGGAATCATTCTTGAACCAAGTCAAAGAAGGGACATGAATTCCTGGTGGGAAGGAATATGTTGTGGTGCCGTTAGTGCCGTTTGTGGAAGGCATTTTGTATGGGTCTCAGGAAGGAAGCAAGTAAAGAGGAGAACTGAGTGTAGAGGATGCATCCAAACCAGAGCGAAGCCGCCGCATTTTGGCATCCACGACTGCGCGACGCGTTCCGGTACTATGATTGAGCATGCGAGAAGACGCGCTTCGGCGTGGAGACGTGTGGATGTTTCATCGGCTGTTGAGGCACGCGATTCGCTGTCGGCTGCGACCGCGACTGTGACGTTCGTTTCCCGAACTAACTTCGCCAGCCTCGCCTGTCGGCTGCACTAGTCCCACGAGCTTCCTGTGCACGCCACCCAAACCCACGCGACGAGAATGCGCCATCTCTGGAGACTCCACTGGGGAAGTCTCATGCTCGGATGTGGCAACCTGGTCGTCCGCCCCGATGGCCTGGGTGTTTTGTGGGGAAGCGAGTTTGCTTAAAAAGAACGTGGGAACCCCAGGTTTGAGATCGGCATCGTGACAACTGCGGAACGCGCAGCTTCAACACTTATCCAGTAGACTGAGCATCGTTTTGTCAGTTCACAGTCATCATGGGTGGCTTTGCTCGTGCCCCCGAAGACCGACCAACCCCTCCAGAAGTTGTACGTTCTTATCATCTCGAAGACTCGCGATCTGATAAGGTGCTAACATGGCCCATAGTACAATTGGAGGGTCTACATGGCCGCGCTTGTGATCTCAATGGGTGTTCTGGCCTATGGCTACGACTCTGCCTTCATTGGCACTACCATTGCCCAGGAGTCATTCAAACGAGACTTCGGCATCAACGCGTCGAACAAAAACGAGATAACCAGCAATATCACCTCCATCTATTCAGCTGGAGGCCTGGTAGGAGCACTGTTGATGTACCCATTCCTCGAGCTGCTCGGTCGTCGTGCTACGGTCATCATCTCAGACGCCATCTTCATAGTCGGCGCAATCATGTGTACTGGTAAGTACACGACCCCTTGTGCCGTGTATGTTGTGCCATACTGACAGTATTGGGCAGTCCCCAACGGCCAATTGAGCCTTGTTCTCGCTGGACGCTTCTTCACTGGCATGGGCGTAGGAGGCATCGCCGCCGTATCTCCCATCTACATCGCTGAAATCTCACCTCCCGCTATCCGTGGCCGCCTTACCGGCTTCTTTGAGTCCTTCTACCAGACCGGTGCCGTCATCGGATTCTGGATCAACTATGGCATTGTACACAACATGGATAGCTCAAAGTCAATTGCTTGGAGGGTGCCTATGGCTGTTCAGCTGATCCCAGCTGGGCTCTTAGCTCTTATGATACCAGTCCTCAAGGAGTCTCCGACTTGGCTGCTGAAACGTGGTCGTGAAGCCGAGGCCCTGAAGTCATACAGCTTTTTCCGCAACCTGCCAGAGGACCACCCTTACATTGCCCAAGATGTTCAGTACGTGCGAAACGAGATTGCAAAAGAACGTGCCGCACTTCTCCATGGTCAGAAGCATGCTAGCTTTCTTACAACGATCAAAGCCGCAGCACGCGAGGGATCTTTGCCAGGCATGCGAAACAGGTTCCTCTTGGTATTCCTCATGTTCATGTGGCAAGCTTGGAGCGGAGCAGCGGCGATTAACTACTATTCGCCGACCATCTTTACGTCTATCGGACTGTCTGATGTCACGCTCTGGACAGGTATATATGGAATTATCAAGGCTGGAGGCTCCATCATCTTCTTCACCTGGTTCATCGACATGTTTGGACGCAAGTGGCCTTGGATCATTTCTTCGCTCGTATGTGCTTTCTGCCAGTACTACCTCGCCGTGTACATTGCACTTGGAAAGCCGACCGTGGGTGAGCCCATGTCCGAATCGACAGTTGCTGGTGGCAAGGCCGCAACAGCCATGATCATGATCTTCGGTGCGGCCTGGTCATTCGGCGCAAACGGTCTCCCCTGGATCATTTCTTCCGAAATCTTCCCTGCGTCTATGCGATCCATATCCGGACCATGGGCGGCAGCGTCAGTCTGGATATGGACTTTGATCGCGACCAAATCGCTGCCTTCTATGTACACCTCCATGGAGTGGGGTGTATACGTTTTCTTCGCAACTTGTCTTATCTGCGCTAGCATTTACGCCTTCTTCTTCATCCACGATACGAAAGGGTTACGAATGGACCAGATGGACGAGTTATTCGGTTTTGAGAAGCGCGAAGAGTTCATTGTACAGGCAGATGGGAAGGATGCTGACTATGAGAGCGAGCACCACGAGAAAGCACCCGCGCAACGGACCGAAGCCGTATAGCTCGAGAATGAGAGATGTATGTAGTAATAGTCATGTGTTTTAGCGTCGAAAGTCAGCTTGAGAAATCCGAGTTCCTGATCAGCGAGAGCCAGAAATATTTTCACACACATGCATCTTGACACGACTTTACAAGCTTACACCTATATCCCTTTCCACGCAACGTAAGAGGAATCTATGGGTCTATCGAAACGACCAAAGATAATAACGGCTGCTTTGGTCCTTACGACTCTGGTAATATACCATGTGCATTGAGTTATTTCGTGGGAAGCGCTGCACATAGGCTAAATCCTTTCTCACTTTCGAACAATCTGTCGGGCTATCGAGTCCCAGGCTAAGCTACGTGCTAACCCCGTTCGTTTGAGGCCCTGGAAATAGTAATGCCAATTGCCGTATGACACTGCATATTGGGATCTGGCTTTGCTGCCTTTCAGCCGCAACCGAAGAATTGTTCTCGAAACGCAATGGTTGCGGTAAGAAAAGGCGGTATTCGATAGGATGAACGACCACGAATACAGTCGTGGCAGGAAGGCATAAGTCGTACGACTCGCCTTACTCATGTCTCCTTCTCCATTGGTTCTGCTCGGCCTCAAAGCATCATGTCGTTGCTCACCCTCGCGCTACTCTGCACACTTTACGCAACATTAGTCGCAGCCGTTCCACAGACAGTAACTCTTGCCGCAGCACCCGTTCTACCACCAAAGGGCAAAGTCACCTTGACCACGCTCGACGTCGATCTTGAAGGAAGTGGCTGCAGACCCGGCGATGCCAGCGTCATGCTTGCTGCGGACAACTCCGCTATGACCATCATTTTCGATAACTTCTCTGCCGCCGACGGACCGAAAAATGGGGCTGCGAGCACCCGCGCGTTCTGCAGGGTGAATATTGGCATGACATCGCCTGGATGGGCATTCGATATCAGTTCGGCTGATTTCCGCGGTTATGTGTATATCGAGAAGGGTGTGAATGCTAGTTTGGTCAGTCGATGGAAATGGATTGACAAGAATGGGTTAGATTTGAAAGGCAAGGTATGCGGTTCTGACAGCTGGGAATGTTGCTTGGAGGTGCTAACGTGAATCATAGGGAAACATCCAGAAGAAAATAACAGGGCCTTTCGAGGATGACTTCCTCCTACACAAAGACGGTGAAGTGTCGGATACAGAGGCATCGGTTTGCCAAAAGAAAGACGCAAGGATTCAGATCAGTTTGTCGGCAACTGTGGATTCTGGAACATCGAAGAACAACGGGTACATGCAAGGAAGTTCAGCGGATGCCGCATTTGGTGAAATACTGAATCTTTCGTGGAAGAAGTGCTGATGCATGAGTTTAATTTTATGGGGTATCAATTTATGGCCAAGAGAGAAAGTTGTCCGCCTTTGCCACTTTGCAGTGTTTGTTGCTGCTCATGACAGGGCCAGACCAGCGTAGTTAAACTACGCCTTGGTGTATGCCGGCAAGTCCTCGGACTGCGCCTTAGCGGCAGCCTTCGCCTTCCTCCTCTCCCTGCGGTCCATCTCCCTTGCGACTGCCTTGGCCAACTTCCTGCGCTCTTCGCGCTCCTTCTGCTTGATGATATCGCCCTTGCCCTTGCCTGACCACACCTTTCTGAACTCCTTGCGGAACTTTTGGTTGAAGGTAAGGTACTTGTCGGCTTCCTCTTCAGCCTTGTTCTTCTTGTGTTCCTCCTCGTCGTCGGTGTCGTAGAAATCGGACTCTTCATCAGCCTCGTCAGAGACAAGACGGTTGGTTTCGCCGTTGGAAGACTCGAGGCCGACGGCGCGCTGGTTACGCGCTTTGTCCCATGTCTTGGTTCGGGAGTAGGCGACGCATCCTGTAATGCTCAGAACCGTGAGGAAGGGGAAAGAGAGGAAGAGCATCATCACGATGCCGAAAGCGACGAGGTCTTCATCCATGGTTGCGGTTTGAAAAAGCGTGTTTAGGTATGTGTATTGTTTGAGAGCTGGAGACGTGGATTGCGCAGAAGAGAGGTATGTCTTAAGGGGAGGGTTGTTCGCCACCCGCAGCCCAGTGTGGCGCAGCTACTCCGGAACCGTACGTCACAAGCGCGAGTCATGCAAAAAGCATGTGATACAAACTTTGTGACACGGTTTCACTCTTCATATCCCAGACTTATGCCGTGGCAATTCTTAGTATACTCGCAGCATGAAACTTTTAAAGTTTGCTCACTGCCTGTAGCGGTCGTGTTGATGCCAAGCTGTTGCTGACACTGGCACTACCTAGATATCCAAGTGCTGCAGCTCGTCCTTTCATGCCACTCCAACTCAGTTCCTCCACGTCAGCCCAAGGAGGGTCCACAAGCATGTCCTAATCTACTCCAAGTAGATCATCTCTAGCTCCTCAGTCTCTCCCTCCAATTGGTCTTCGTGTCTCTCCTCATACCTCTCCGCCTTGTTTCTCCTCTTGGTCAACTTTGTAACCGCAGCATACTTCTGCATAGCCTTTGTGCCTACGCTGATAATCTTCCTTGTATGTCTCTCATAGTCTGCTTCTGATTTCTGTAATACGTCCGCCCATGTCAAGCCCTTTCGCTGCATCGCCGAATCGACTGTCTGATGCCATGCCTTGATCGCGCCTGCCGCAACTTGGTACTCGAGGCCTTCAGTACCTTTGAACGTTGCCATCTCTTCTGCAAACTTCTCAAGCGTGCCCAGTGGCTTCACGGCTTGGATCTTTTCGACAAAAAATTCCAGTTGCGACTCCCACGGCATGTCACCATGGGAAATACCGTACTGCGCACCAGTGATGTCGAGAGCGGTCTGTTTTCCCGTGGAAGGCACAGTGATGCGCATGCACCAGTGGGTTTGGTAATACCCCAAGTCAAGTTCTTCCCCGGGTTCTACAGCCACGATGGTGCACTCAGTAAGGGTCTTGAGGCGAACGTTGACTTCTTCAATGTGTACGTCGAGGCCTGTTGTTTTCATGGTCAACGATGTTTTCCCTCATCATTGGCGGATATTGTAGACGTACCTGCGAACAGCTGTTCTACGAGCTTCTTAAGGAAGCCGACGTCGTAACACGGAGTGATCGCCAGCACCTTCTCCTTGGCTGTAGGGTTGCCGACGAAGTATTGATTGGGAAAGTCAGCGAACCAGCCGTTCTTCCGCCCTGACTTCATTGGGTCCTCAGTGATGATAGTGAGACCGTTATGTCGTGTGGCAAGGGAAATGCTGGCACAGAATCTGTTCCATGTAGCTTCGCGATAGGCGTAAAAGACCTCTCGAAGTACGTAGCAAGCGCGGTGGATGCGGAGGTCGGGTGAGCATACTGGGACGGATTTCAAGAGGGTGAGATAGTCTTTAGTTGTGCTCTTCAAGCGGTGTCGAGTTTTCAGGTAATCGTCAGCTCTCGCGAGTGTCATCCGCTGTTTAGGCATTGTGTGAGTTTACGTGATAAATGTTGAGCGGATGGAGGTGCTGGTTCAGAAGATAGCCTTCATACGGGCGTTTGCTCGTGTTGTTGTTTTGTGCTTCACCATGGCGACGAAAATGTCTGATCACAAACAACGAAAATCTGAAAACAACCTTACTGCTAGAAGCCATGGATACTAGGTAGTCTGAGTTACAGCATCCTGTTGATTACAATAATACATTACGGGATCCGGTTGACTACGATTAGATTAAAACCTTTTGGTAACGTTTTAGAGAAGAGAATTGATTAATTCCATATCCTACAAGCTATGACGAAGGAGCAGTGCTTCGACGAACAGTCGATGGCCTTCCTACAGAGCTATGAAACCTCGATTCAGGTTGCTCTATGTCTGCTTTCGTGAAGAATGAATGACTTGTTGTATTTCCAGATCTGGTACAGGTATCATATTTTCTGTTCTGAGCCCACTCCTTGTGTTCTTTATCGATTGCTTGACGAAAGTCTGCACGAGCTGCTTGAAGTGCACTAGCAGGTGGAGGCTGGACAGTTTCTGTCACATTGTTCTCACCGGAACCTAATTACGGCTCCTTTGTGATGCGGTCAAGAGCAGCCAGGCGGCCATTAAGCCTCACGCTCACAATGACGCCTTGCGAATCACGTCGGAACTCTTCGTTCGAACTTTGTGAACTACGATACTCTATGTACGTATGTTCGTATATACGTGTTTGTGAGCACTGACTCTGTGAGCAATGTGGTAAATGAATCCCCTGAATGAATGGACGCTGAGGAGCAAGACGACAACAGTAAGACAGCAGTCAGAAAACTTACTTGAGACACTACCTATGCGTAGAGATAACGCCCTTTTGCATGCCGGCCAATCTCTCACTCTCTTGTTAAACTTGGGAACAGAGTCTCAGACACTATCACTGATGCGGTATTGTAACTTCACTTTCTGCAATCCCTTTTGAACAGTCTCAGATATCTTCCAGATTCTTACAACTCAGTCTCGAAGACGGTCTATCATCATTTGCAATGATCCAGCGGAAAGTTGTCCTTGCTGCATCATCAGCTCTTGCATCGACGAGCTTGACAAAGCTCGCATCTGGATCTCTTCTGTATGGCTCGTTGCTTCCAATATGATAACGTGGCCAGTCCCCATATGAACTATTTCCACAACCTGCACAGTTGACGCTATAGAAGTCGAGCGTCGTACCTTCCATCTCCGCGCGGTGGCTTAACCCGCAAATAGTACAGACGTGGAGATAGCGGACTTCGCGGTCTAGACCAGGTTGTGGTGCTTGAATCATGCCGTACGGTAGAGGGGAAAGAATCTCAGACGAATAACATTGTGAACAGAGTATCTCGCCGCAACGTTTACAGACCAGGTGTTTGAAAGGGAACGCTCCCTTGTAATGCGTGATGATGTTCTCGTGGCGGCAGTGGCAGCATCTCCATATCCCATCTCCAATCTCGGCGTCGCTTCGCAACGCTCGTAAAGCAGGATACCCACTTTCTTGTATTATGTAATGCTCTGTGGGTGCTTCGGCTGGGATGGCTGAGTTGAAGTCGTCTTGTAAGCTTCCAGGTCGAGAGCTGTCCTTTGAGTTACGTTCGGCTATTGGCAAGAAGAGATGATGGGCTGTTGCTGGTGTGTCTTTCCTCGTATCGACCTTCTCGAAGACGCTCGTCAGTGTCGACGTGAATGCTTTGGATAGTCGCTTGGCGCGAAAGACACTGCTCTGATGTTTCATGACGAGCTAGGTTGGACAGTGTAGTCGTCGCACGGGCGAGGTAAGTGTTGGTGTGCGGACAAAATTGCGCGTGACCACAGTGAAGAAACAAAGAATTGGTTAGCTGTTTAGTTGCTCACTTAGAGCGTAGTAGAGGTGCGATCGATCACGCCTTCCACCTTTCTCTCACTACGTATCTGCCAGGCAAGCGCGGTGAACTCACTCCCGGCTTCGGCTTGGTTACCTTCTCTCTTCCATCTTCCAAGCCTGAGAAGTAAGTAAATACCCAAAAAGTATACTCCTGCTTTTACTTTGCTATATATGCGCGTTTCAGTATGGTAGGTTCCGCATGTCTATCTTGGCTGTGCTGGCCATGTCAGAACCAAGTTGGCTTCCTCGTCCCAAGCAACGTGTCGAGCGAACGCGTGCCAATGCTCAGGTCCACGATTGTGGAATATATGCTCAACGATGTTCATAGATTCTGTATAGTATATACCTGTGGTACGCGTCAGAGTGAGACGGAGGTAGTGGTAGACGAAGTAAGCAACAATACGTCAAAGAGAGAAACTCAACATCTTCTTTCGAGCAGGGTACTTCTTCCTACTACAATAAAGCGTATTGAAATTAATGCAGATATTAATTAGTAATCTAGAAGTCGATTATACTATCAATCTCTATTAATTTTTTTGTTAGAAGCTATTGTAAGCTACAAGGTAAAGCTTGTTATCTCTATACATGTTTGGTTTTTCCCTTGTGTACGGTGCAAGTCGCTCTGCGTTGTGGAACACTCAAAAAAGGGAATTGCAGTTTCCTACAAGTTGTGCTAATAGTCGACTATACTGTTAGACGATTTCAAGTCAGAATGAACGATATGAAAGAAGCAAGAGAACGAGATGAACAAAGCCGTCCAGGGCTGTGACGTACCGTTGCGGAACCCTGCGTTAGCGCTGACGCGCGGAACATTGAAGGTTACGATCTGTCCTCGCGTGCCTCCGCTTCACAACCGACACTCACCATCATCGCCATGATCCAGGCATTCCTCCAGGCAAGTTTACGAATAGCCGCTTCCAAGTTAGACCGTATTAACACCATCTAGCGCCTGGCCCGCTGGCTCGACCGGCCGCTCTTCCCATGGAAGCGCCTCGTCGTTGGCTTCTCTCTCGCAGAATTCGCCCTTGAAAACTGGCTTCTCTTCCGTCAATACCGTGTCCTCCAACGAACCACTGTCCCCAAGGCCCTCGACAAAGAAATTGAGAGGGACACATTCGACAAGTCCCAGGTACGCGCACATTGACTGCAACCCCGCTGTATTGCACAGCACTAACATGGCATGACAGGAATATGGTCGCGCCAAAGCCAAGTTCAGCTTCATCTCCGGTCTCTTCAACCAAGTCAAGTCTCTCGCCACGCTTTACTTCAACGTATACCCGCTCGTCTGGGCCGCCGCCGGCACTGTCGTCGCTCGCTATGCGCCCGTCCGCTTCTCTGGTGAAATCACACAGTCGCTCCTGTTCATGTACATGCTGGGATGGATCGATCTGATTGCTGGTCTCGGCTTCTCCTACTACCACAGCTTCGTGCTGGAGGAGAAGTTCGGCTTCAACAAGATGACGGTCAAGCTCTGGCTCACGGACATGGTCAAGGGCCAGGCTCTTGCGATCGCTTTCGGTGTTCCCATTGGAAGCGCTTTCCTGTCTATCATCAAGGCGACTGGCCAGGGTTTCTTCTACTACCTATGGATGTTTATGCTGGTCGTTCAGATTACAGGCATGACCATCTACCCGATCCTCATTGTGCCACTGTTCAATAAGCTGGAGCCGCTCAAGCCAGGCAAGCTCAAGGAGTCTGTCGAAGCTCTTGCGTCTAAGCTCAACTTCCCTCTCTCAGAGCTACAGGTTATCGATGGCAGCAAGCGCAGCGCCCACAGCAACGCATACTTCACTGGACTCCCCTGGATCGGTAAGAAGAAGATTGTTATTTACGACACATTGCTGGAGAAGAGCACAGAGAAGGAAGTCGAAGCCGTCCTGGCACACGAACTCGGACACTGGAAGATGAACCACACCTCGCGACTTCTTTTCATTAGCCAGGCGCATCTATTCTACATGTTCGCCCTGTTCTCCGTCTTCATTGACAACCGCTCGCTGTATGCCGACTTTGGCTTCCACAGGGAACATCCGACCATTGTTGGCTTCATGCTCTTCAACGAGATCTTGTCGCCCACCGACTCCATTATCAAGCTACTTCTCAACATCTGGACTCGCAGCATGGAGTACGAAGCTGGTATGTACACTGATCCAATCCAATATCTCGAGCAACGCTAACATTCAGCAGATGCTTTCGCCGTGAAGCTCGGGTATGCGCGCGAGCTCGGTGCCTCGTTGATCAAGCTTCAAATCCAGAACCTGTCAAGCATGGATGCTGACTGGTTCTACTCGAGCTTCCATCACTCGCACCCGATTCTGACAGAGCGCCTCAAGGCTATGAACTGGACTGGCGACAAGAAGGTCTCAGAGGATAAGGCGAAGGACGACGAGAAGCCTGTAAAGGCAGCGGATCGGGAACTGTAGGCGTAGATCTCGATCAGGATTTGTACAATATCGGGTATAAAAGGTCATGGGTACATGACCACGCAGTCGCGAATGCGATAAGAAATTCGTAGAATACAGCTCGAATGCAATGGCCAGTATATCTTTCGATCTCGTTGCAGCTTGGGCGCAGGTGTATCTCTCGAGGTCGTGATGCCTGATAGCCCTACTCGGTCGCCTTGCTCTTCGCGGCCTTTTCTTTCTTCCTCTGCTGATCTCGCTCTTTCTTCGCCCTCTTCCGCGCCTCCTTGTCTATCTGACCGTCCGCTACGACCGGCTCCTCTGCCTGCTCGTTCTTCCTCTTCTTCCTGTCCTTGTTCTTGGGAGACTGTACTTGAGGCTCTTCACCACCCTCTTGTACAACATTCGTCCTGTCGCCAATCTCGCCGATTTCGATATCGCCTTGCTCCGCTTGGTATGAAGCTAGATCTTGCCAATCATCGTCGGCACCCGCCGCTTTCTTGCCTGTCTTGCCCTTTCCACCACTGACAGTGACATCGGCAGTGAAATCCTGCTGGTCCTCTTCCATGTCTAGCGCTCGCTCTGGCTCTTGGTATTCGCCGCGCATACCCGCTGCCACACGGCGTAAGTGGTGCATGATTGGATTGCCCATTGCACCGCCTTGCGCATTGAATGCGACGCCTTCTGGTGTGATGGTCGCATCGGGGTGAAGGTGTGGGTGAGTTTCGGAATTTGAAAGGTACTTTTCGAGGATGCCGGATGCGTCGCTGAGGGAGATGGGCGCGCTGGAGATGTGCCGTCGCGGAGGAGGGGCCTCGAGAATCATCTTGGCGCTTTTGGTGGGAGGTACAAGAAGTTGGTGGGTAGTTTGTGTTGTAGAATGTGATAGAGAAGTTGCTCAGGTTTTTGGGAGGAAGCCGGCCAACTTTTTGCGCACGGACGGCAGCGATTGTGTTAGCTTTGCGGACTTCGCGACGGGCATGCCAAACTGCACGCTCGCATCTGCATATCGGGGCCACGCCACCACGAGAACGGTACTACAGGCAGAGAGGAGGCAATTGCGGCTCCATCACAAATCATGAACGCCTTCCGGTGCTTGAGGGTCGTCGTGCGCCCTGCAACCAGCGCATCTACCCTCCTCAGACCACGCATAGCACCAACATACCAGTACATATCTCTCCCCAAGACCCTCCCGCCACGCATCTGACCAGCCTACCAGAATATCCACACCCTCATCAACCCGCCAAATATCTCTCCTCACACCCCGGCGTCCCATACTGCCCCGCACAAACACCCTGCCTGCAGCCGGCAGCACATCTTTCGTGCCCTCATCTTCCGAGACACTAGACCTCGCCTCGAAAATCTCCTCACATCCTGGTCTGGGCAGTACACAGATCCGGTGCGGTCCGCGTGATACATACAACCCAAGCCATCTGGTGCGGAAGAGGAGACATGGGTTCCTGAGCAGGATTAGGACGAAGAAGGGGAGGAAGATGATCATGAGGAGGTTGAAGAAGGGAAGGTGGAATATCAGTCATTAAAGAATTGTCCATAGAGAGGGGTGGCGGGTTTGACTGCTGGATGATTCCCCAGGTTCCCTTCAGATGCGAGCAGCAAGGGCGCTATGTGTATATTGAATGTACTGTGTGTATGCGTACTCTGCATCTATAGGCATGTACTATATGAGACGAGAGAAATCAGTAGTCCTCACCGTCGCATCCACTAATATCCCAGGCCTCCTGACGTGACTCCTGTCGCTACCGATGAGTCTTGCTGACCGACATCGCTTCGACCAGCGCAGGTATTACCAGCTCCTTAATCACAATCTGACACTCCTTTCTGCGAAAACGGATCCCTCCACATCTCACTTGCTCTCATGTTGACGATGCGATCGGCAGAAGCGCTGTAAGCCTTGGGCAATCGCCACGCATCTGTCGAATGGTGATAGACAGGCCACGGATGGTTGCTGTTGGCACCAAAGAAATCTTTCCAAGATATGGTCCGGAGCTTGATGGCTTTCTAGATGCATCTCAGGCCCAGACCTCGCTGCGAGAGATCGGTAATTGGTTTTAGAAGGACGGTCGTGTCAGCTTAGATGTAGAGTCTGAGCGCCGACATTGCTATCGTATCACTTTGGCATTGAGGATTCTGCATTTTCAGCTTTTGCCTCCTCTTCCGTCGCCTGCGTGCCATCCTCTATGCCGTCCTCTATTGCTTCCACAAGCTTAAGCTCTTCGTCAACCTTATCAATCTGCTTTAAGATGAATGCAATTGTTGCGTCTCTCGCCTTGTCCACCCTCGTCAACGCATCCATAGTCATCTTCCCGTAGTCCTGCATCTTCTGCGGCGTCGGTGGCGCGGGCTCCTCGTCCTGCAACTTTGCCTTCTTTTGACTCAACAACTTCCGCAGTGCGAAGATGTTGTAATCTCTCTCCTGTAAATTGTTCACAAGCTCTTTCCGCTTAGCTTCCT